TGAAACAGATTGTAAAAGTATACTTCAGTTGCTCCAAAGTGAAAGTAAATACAATTAACAGAAGCAAACAACCAATAAACTTGAAACTTAACGAGAATTGTTTACATATAGTTTTTTATACTGCTGAGTTAACATTTTGCTGGAAATTAAATCAATGAAATGTTTGTAAACTTACGAGTGTATTTTTATTTGCTTTAACGATTTTTTTTGATAAGACTAGTTTCTTTACACGTCTCGCACACATATTACGTTACGTAGCGTCGGTGGCTCAGTGGTTTGAACACTTGACTTGAAAAAATCTACAGGTTCGGATCCCGCCATGTACCAATGTGATTTTCGATTTTTCGAATTTTCATATGTACATAATTTACCCGACGTTCTTACGGTGAAGGAACATCGTGATGCAACCTGCACATATCGGCGAAGAAATTCAAAAGATATGTGTGAAGTCAACCAACCCGCACTTGGCCAGCGTTTGACTATTAGCCTAGTCACCCCATATTAGGGTAGGCTCCGAGCCCCTCGGTAGGGACATGTAGTGAGCTGGTAGAGATAGAGGTAGAGGTATATCCATGTTCTGTTAGATGTACTGTAAGAGGGATTTATTTGAATAAGTACATTTGATATTCCATCGAAATATAATTCAAGTGTATTCTCATTTAATTAACATAAATTGTAATTCTCTAAATCTATTAAGATAAGTAACATTGGTATAATAGAGGACGTTATGTGTGAACTGTAGAGCGCTAGGAAGTACCAACACAATTCTCTTGTAACAGTGTTTGTCTATACGCTACCAACGTATAAGGGAGTTTGCTCACAGACCGTGTCCTATTAAGCTTAACCGAGCAGATTCTAATGTTGGATCTTAGCTACCTTATACCGTCGTAAGTTAGTACAAGTACCTTACTTAGGTTGTAAAGTTTTAGAAGTACGGTCGAGCAATATTGAGCATTTTATAATTAAATCCCTTATACTTATGTATTTTGTAAATGCTTGGTTGGATATATAAAACTGTTAAAACTTATTATATTACAAAATGTGGCATAAATTATATTTTGCTATTTAAAAAGTGCAGGCGCTTTTGCTATTAAATATGTACAGGCGCTTATACTTAACAAAAATGTGGTTTTGATAACATTTTCTCAATACAAAATTTAACCTAATTCTAAATCGATTGTCAAGTCCATAATCGAGGGGATATACGAGTATATCCGTGGAGTAGGCGTTCACCGCACGTCGTTCAGACCAGTAGCTGGCAGTAATTAAATTGTTACGGTTAAGTGGTCAAACGACGGTACTTCCAAAAAATAAAAGTCGTCTAAAATTACGTTAATGTTAATTTTATATTTTTAGGTGTAAGCAGAAAATCATTGATTATAATTACCAATTAAATTCAATGAAAAATGAAAGCTGAAATCAAGTTTTGTAATAATAACCTCCAATAACAGCTCTTTTTAATTTCGATCCAGTAACAAGACTGAAAGAACTGTTCTAGAATATTTGAATATTAGATATTTTTTAGTTATATGGTAAAACAGATTTTCTCAATCTTTAATATCCAATAAATAATGAACTGTTTAACAAAAGACGATATTTAGAACACGATAAATGCAATACTGTGATGAGATGTAATATTCAATATCTAGTTTCGCTGCGGGTACTGATACACTCCGTATACCGATGCTATCGGATCTATCGAACTAATACTATTTAATGGTCGACCGAACATCACTAATAACGTTACAATTATAACGTCAAATATACTAGCAGTTGTTCGCGACTTCGTCCGCGGGGTATTAAGAAAAAAGTAAGTAGCCTACGTGTTCTTCTAGGATATGCTCTACATCTATGCCAAATTTCATCCAGATCCGTTCAGCCATTTAGGCTACAAACTCTAACAAATATCCTTCCATTCATCCATCCGTCTAATCTTTCGCATTTTTTAAATTAATAAAATTATATTAAGGGATAATGTTTCTTTTTGATGGTGAAAGAATTTTTGAAATTGGAATTTATGGTTAGACCATAAGTGATAATAGATGGCGCTAGCAACAATCGTAAATATATTTTTCTTTTATTTAAAAATAAAAGCATATTTCTATTAAATAGTAACATTTTTATGAGCTAGTTAATTGTAAAATGATAATTGTTTAAGTTGTAAAAATATTTAATTATCGTACTGGCCGTCAAGAAAGCGATAGACATAATTTGTTTAAAAGAAAACAATGGCGATTTAGGCGCGAATGAGAATGTAAGATGTGAAGCAAACAATTTAACAACGTTTTGATTTTAACAAATGCAATTTTATCAATTATTGTAAATATTGTAAATAATGTGTGTGTTTTACAGCAAATAAAGAAGATTTTATCTAAGGTACCAGTTTACATATATATAATACGAAAATACAAATCTTTTCTCTTTGTAATATTAGCATAGTTTTACATTTTTATTGCAGCTTGTTATTACTTGAATGCCAAAGGATTTGTAAAGCCCGTTACAAGTCTTCAATTTTAACTGAACAGTAGAATTTCACAGTTGAATCTGAAGTAGTCGCCGGTTTGACGTATAAAATATTCGATTTTTTTAAAGGAATAGCTGACTTATTAAACTAAGGGATTTAAAATTGATAATTGAGGGACTGTTAATTGCTCCAACGACTAGAAGATATTCCTTAAGTATAAGAGTGGCTTAAAAATTCATAAGAAATCATTTTGTATAGTACAAGTACATTTATCATAATTTAACTAACATTGAATTTGGTAAATAGTTCCAAGTACAATGAAACAATAGATTTACATTTTAAACCAAATCGTTCTTTGGATAATGACGAGCCTTGTTTTATTGAAGAAATATTTTGGACGTTTGTAATAAATTTAGTAATGCCGGGTAATACTTTTATCGTTTAATGATAAGTCTCTGTAAATATCTTAAGTGGCTATTAATCTGAAACTCAATTACGATCATACATAAAGAGTACTGTAATAATTAGAATATAAACATTTAAAGCGAAATTAAAATTACTTTTTTTTTTATAACATAAGGTGGCAAACGAGCAAGCGGCTAACTAAAATCGCCAAAATGGCAAAGCGACCGATCCCCATAGACATCCGCAATTGCACATGCGTTGCCTACCCTTATCCGACGGAAGAGGAGACGCACATAAAGAGGATATTTCCCCTTCCTATGCATCTCCCCCACTGTCAATCCATTTCCCCTTCCCAACCTCTCCTTATAAGAAAAGGGTGGTAAAGAAAAAGGGACTTAAATTAGGCCTCCGGCACCACACTCATCAGACGAAACACGGAATTGGTTCCATTTCACGCCTGTCTTCTGTGTGGTCGTGGTATTACACCGGGCGAGCCAGCCATTCGTGCTAAGATGTTAAAGCGGGCACTACCACTGTATAAAATATACTTTCCCATTTAACAAGTCACTCAAGGTTTACTCAAGGTTTTATTGTAAAAATTTAAATTTTTATTGTACAATTATACTAATATTACAAAGATTAAACATTAATTACTTGTATTTAAAAGGCTCCGAAACTACATTATTAGAAACCTACATTATCTCTGACTAGCTGTTGCTATCGATTTCGTCCGCGTGACATTAAAAACATAGCCTATGGCACTCAATGGTAACAATTTTTAAAATCGGCCTAGTAATTTTTGCGTTATTCCAAAACATACAAATCTTTTCTCTTTATTAATATAAGGAATAGATAAAGTCTATATTTTACATTGACGAGAAGGGTATGGATATGACAGAAAAGATATGAGTCGTATTTTCTTTGCCCAGGCGAAGCTGGGGCATAGGTACAATATAATCTTCAGAAGGCATTTACATTGGTTTTGAAATAAATTTTTCTGCGTCATTAGTATGTTTAGTTTATCTTTAACTCGGATATAATAGTATTAAAAATTGCGTCGGTCAAATATGATTTGATAAGATTTGTATTAATCATGATATAGCATTAGGCACGTCAATAATTTTTACCTTATCTGTACTAATATAATAAAACGTAAACACACACTACTTTGTGGCGTAAGATATCAGCAATCATAGCATATTTCTGAATAATTCTTTCTTTAATTAAAAGCCCTACACTCACGTCACGCTTTAGGCTCTATACTTTCACGCGATTAAACTTAGGGGTACATAAATTGGATACAAATTTCAGTGTGGGAAAGGGACCATAAATTACAAGCCAACATCAAGGAACTAAGATTGCGATGGTTTGTCATCATGATATGTCATTTTGGACATTTGCAATTGATAGTTTGACAAATTTAAATTTATAACAAAATATTCATAATTTCATCCGGATGAAACCGCACGGGACAGCTAGTCATTGATAAATATATTATAGCAGGATAAAAAGACTAAATTGTTGGGTTCCGTATATTTTTCTTACAATTAAATGCACCGAATTAACTAATAGAATCCTCATCATAAAAAATTACTTCTACGTAAGATTTTTAATACAAGGGAAAATTTTCAACCTTATTTGTGTATTATTTAACAGGTTAAGAAAATTGCACAAACAGCGCGTTTTGCGTTAGACAGTTTCAAGATGTTCGGCAATATGGAAAAAACGACAATTAATATTATAATAATAAAACAAGACATGGAGGAAATGAACGTCCTATTATATCGAAACAGGCGACATCTATGTTTGTAAGTACATTTTTAAGGTTAGAAATACATACAGCGTGTTCAGAAGAAAGAATAGGTGTTGTCTCCAGCAAAACTTCTTCCTCAAACCCTTAGAGTTATGATTTATTTCATGTTATTTTTTTAAATCGACGTCTCTCACTTTACCCATCCTTCGCGTTTTTTAATTTTTGGAGGTAGGGTTGAAAATATTTATTTACTAATTCAACTACATTTGTAATATTGGGTTTTGAAATACAACCTCAATACCAGTAACACATATCTTTAAGTATAATGCTATTGGTATAATACAAGATTAGGAGAATTCACCTCGGGTACCCTAATTTCCCTAATTGGAGTATTTAAATCGTTATTTACTTATTTCATTCTATCATCGTCAGTGTCTTAGTAAATACATTGCAGTAAGTACCTCGTTAACATATTTTACTTTATAACAAAACAATAAATATATAGCTTTCATAGTTCATACTACATATCTTTGCCTTTATAATATACGGGATGTTCACAAAGAAAATGATCAGTATTACTTTGTTTAATTGTAACTTCACTATATCAGATTGCATACTAATATGGTCAGAAGGTCACATTTTTTAGTTGTCTATGTTTAGATCGAAACCACTAAATATCTATCTTATAGGAAAATATGTTTAAAAAAAAAATTAAATGATCATTTTGTTGTAGTTATATATGATTCATTGTTTCAACGTTAAATACAATTAACTTACCATAGTATCTTTTATAGAGCGTCGGTGGCTTAGTGGTTTAAGCACTTGACTTGTAATCTACGGGTCTTGAGTTCGAATCCCGCCGTGTACCAATGTGATTTTCGATTTTTCGAATTTTTCATATGTACATAATTTACCCGACATTTTTACGGTGAAGGAAAACATCGTGATGGAACCTGCACATATCAGCGAAGAAATTTAAAGATATGTGCGAAGTCAACCAACCCGCATTTGGCCAGCGTGGTTGACTATGGCCTAGTCACCCTAACATAGGGTAGGCTCTGAGCCCCTCGGTCGGGACGTTCAGTGAGCTTGTGATGAAAAAGTATCTAAAAGTAAAATATAATTAAAACAGTATATTTTATTCATATTTCAGACCTCTATTGTAAGTCTTTCGATATTGTTTTTAATTTCTGTTCGATTGAGACTACACTAGTAACCTTCGGCTTCCACTGTTATTAATCAGGATTACTAAAAACCTAGGCCCTTCAATCGCCTTCCTATCTTGTTCTTTACTAGCTGTTCCCGTGCGACTTCATCCGCATAAAATTATGAAAATTTTATCTTGTTGTTTACATGTGTCAAATTATCAATTACAAATGTCAAAATGACATGACATGAGAAACCATGGCAACCTTACTTCTTTGATGTTGGCAGCAACTTATGGTCTCTTTCCCACATTAGGGTTTTTATCCAAAAGATGTACCCCTAAGTTTAATGGCGTAATATATGTAGCCTAAAGTGTGACGTAAGTGTATGGCTTTTTATTCAAAAAAAGTATTATTCAAAAATGTGCTGTAATTGCTAACATAGGGAACAAAGAAGTGTGTGTTTACGCTTTAATATAATGGTAGAGATATCTATAATAATCGTATTCTTCTCTATTAGAGTAGGATTTTAAAGCTTGACCTTCAAAACAGTAATTTGACATACTTTTCACGACGATTTATATAAAAACACATCTAATCGATAAATTATTTTTTTATCGTAATATTAGTTAAAATAGATTTAATCTACACTTAATTAATCATTATACATGTACCATATCTAGTAGTTTTTTTGCATACTTTTATGCCGAAATTCCGAACTAATAACAATTAGATAAATATCGTAATTATGATATAAATCAACAACTTTCCTAAAATTGGGTTGAAATGTTTTGAAACTTTAAGGTAAATAAATTTTATTACTTTAATCTTTACTCCAAAGATAAACATATCAATGGGATAACGGATTATCTATGAAATAGATAATAACCGAAATTTATTACTTCGGCTAAAATAATTTAAAATTACAGAGAGTTATTGCTTTATGTTCTTCAGTACGTTTTTAGTATATATCTTCTAAAAGATTTGTATGTCTGTATATAACGAATGAACTCAAAAACTACTGGATTGGATTTAAAAATTCTTTCATTATTAGAAAGCTAAATAATCACTAAGTAACGTAGGCTATGATTTTTTTATAATTTATTTTAATTCCTCACATCAATACAGCGAAAAATAACGTAAAGCAACTTATAGTGGTATGTAGCCCTAGACCAAGACCCATCTCATCATCATCATCATCATCATCATCATCACCAGCTCACTACACGTCCCCACCGAGGGGCTCGGAGCCTACTCTAATAAGGTGTGACTAGGCCATAGTCAACCACGCTGGCCAAGTGCGGGTTGGTTGACTCCACACATATCTTTTGAATTTCTTCGCCGATATGTGCAGGTTGCATCACGATGTTCCTTCACCGTAAGCACGTCGGGTAAATTATGTACATATGAAAATTCGAAAAATCGAAAATCACATTGGTACATGGCGGGATTCGAACCCAAGACCTGTAGATTACAATTCAAGTGTTTAAACCACTGAGCCACCGATGCTCTTGTCCCATCTAATCTATCATCTAATAAAGTCCCATCTAATGTTAATTTATGATGTGGTCGAAAGATGGTTCTCGCTAGTTTAGAACATTTTAATTTTACTTAAACGCCTTAAATTATTCTTCAACAATACAAATATATAAGTAATGTAGCAAAAGAATATCTAAGCAATCTAATTGTAAAATGCAAAAATGATAAGTCAAGGTCACACTATCATTGATAAAGAAATTAATGATTGTTTTACAAGCTATCGATCAGGATTATTATTTAGGCTGACTTTGTGATATCAAAATAAATAATTTTAGCATTAAAAGCTCACGAGTATACGAATTTTAAGTAAACAAAGAATTTAAATCTTTCCTTTATAAATTGACTAGTTGTTCCCATGCGGCTTCATTCGCAGGTCATCATCGTCATAAAAACTTCATTTTACCGTTTACATTTGCCAATTTATAAATTGCAAATGTCTAAATGACATGACATGATGACAAAGGTTGTCCTTTCTTTACGTTGGCAGCAACTTATGGTCTCTTTCCCACATTAGGGTTTTTATCCAAAATGTTTACCCCTTAAGTTTAATGGCGTTAAAATATATAGCCTATAGCCTGACGTAAGTCTAGGGCTTTTATCTAAAAAAGAATTATTCAAAAACATGCTGTAATTGCTGACATCTCAGGCAACAAGGAAGTGTGTGTTTACACTTTATTGTAATAGTATAGAAGTATAGATATCATTAGGTCCTACAACAAACATTAGTTTTTAAAGAGCAATATTTGAATACTTTAAAATATTAGCAAATAACATTCATGTAAATTATTTGATACTTACCTAAATGACTTCACTAAACATACTAATCGATTCAAAACCATGACTCAACAAATCTCTAGATTAAAGTTATTAATTTCGTCTTTTAAACTTTTCAGAAATGTATTTACTTCTATTAGTCTCCTTATTGGGATCCGCGCTAAGCGTCCCGTTAGACGTTGAAGATGACGTCACAAGGAACGTCAATTACCAGCACTATCTCCTGCCGGGAGAGTCCTACCCCACATTCTACGACGTCAGATTGTTCTTGAACCCTGACGTCACAGACAGTTTCCGAGGCGACGTCACCATTAGGATAGTTCCAAGAAGAACTACAAACCAGATTGTACTGCAAGCTATGGAAATGCAGATCCACAGCATACGTCTCACCAGATCGGATAGTCTTCAACAGAATCTCTTCTTGAGTTTCGACCATGCGACTGATAATACGCATTTCCTAACAATCAACTCAAACACACCGCTAGTTATGGGACTGACTTATATTGTCGACATTAGTTATACCAGCAGATTCGCTGAGAACATGTTCGGAGTTTATATCTCCACTTATGAAGAGGCTGGAGTAGGACCACAGTAAGTGTTTTAAACTATTTTTTATAGAGAGAGCACAAGAAAAAGTAACATGAAGCTAATAAGTTGTTGGGTGACCCCATCGGGAAGCAGAATCTAAACTTACTAGATTAGTAGTAAATGCTAATACACCTACGGAATAGTCTAAAGAAGGACATAAAGAGAAAATACAATACGGATTTGAATTCTTGGATATAATAGACAGAATAGTTTATTAATAACGGCACGTGTGCCAATCATACAAGCATGTCTTGATACAAATGTCGTTTTGTAGGCGTCTGATTACATCACAACTTCAACCTACGTTCGCCCGCCGCGCGTTCCCCTGCTATGACGAGCCTGCCTACAAGGCGGTGTTCAGGACCACCATCTACGCCCCTCCTGCGTACCCCGTTGTCAGGAGCAACATGCCGGAAAGAACTGATCTCTTAAAGTAAGTAGAATGTATGAATAAAGTGAACATAACTTTTTTGTTTCATCTTAAAGACATTTTTGGATACACCGGTAGACCTGGAAAGTGATGGATGGATTGCGTGAAAGGTGAAGTGATCAAGAAGGGAGTGATTTTTGAGATGATGGATGATAGAGCTATTTTCAAGACGAAAACTTGGCGCACCAAACCTACGGGAGTAGAATAAGGTAGGGGAGATGATGATATTGAAGACAGTTAATTTTAAATGGCTTTGTTTTTTCAAAGTAAGCTAGGAACTACGTATATATCATATATTTCAGACCCGAAGTTGCTGGCTATCGCAAATTTGAGTTCCAAGATACCCTCATGATGTCTTCATACCTCATCGCGTACTTAGTATCCAAATTCGAATACGTCACCAACGAAGCGAGCCCGCTCTACAATGTTCCGTTCAGAGTATACTCTCGGCCTGGCACTCAGAACACGGCTACGTTCGCTTTGGACTTCGGCCAAAGGAATATGATCGCTCTGGAGAACTACACAGAGTTCACTTACGCTTTCCCCAAGATGGATAAAGCGGCTGTACCAGATTTTGCCGCTGGCGCTATGGAGAACTGGGGTCTTGTTATTTACAGGTCTGTTTTAAACTTATAAAACTTTTTAATTTCTTATATTAAATAAAACAGAGCAAAATTAATTTTGTCTTTCCCATTTATAGATACAATTCATTGCAAAGTTACCCTATTTTTTTAATATTAATTTGAATGCAGGATAAAATCTTTTCTTAGTTACTTAAGTACTGTAATTTAGAAGCACGTAGAGCTGTAATCTAGGAATGGTTGTCATTCTCAGAGGACCGTTTACGTCGGTAACAGCCGAGACCTCATTACGAAAGAACAAATGAACTTAACGCACTCACTGAATTAGCTACTCGAGAATAAGTTGACGTAATGAAACATTTTCACTTATTCTTTCCTCATGAATACTAAATATTTTTATGTTTTATGCAGGTAATTTTCTTGTATGTATTCAATAATTGTACATAAATTACCAGAAAGATTTAACAATCTAAAATCAATTTCTTTGCTTACTTCTTTATTACCATTCAAATATGACGCCTGATAGAAATATATTGAAGAGCACATACTGTGCCGACCCTCCGTAGGGATAAGGGCAAGTTGATAATGATGATGAACGTCTTGTTTACAATGTTAAAGAGAGGTAGCTCTGCTGGTGCGTGATGGCATCACAACGACCAACACGCGGCAGAACATCGGACGTATCATCTGCCATGAGAACGTCCACATGTGGTTCGGTAATGAAGTCAGCCCCACAACGTGGACTTATACTTGGCTGAACGAAGGGTTTGCCAACTTCTTTGAAAATTTCGCTACAGATTTGGTAAGTAGTAAAGCATATGAAAAGACCTTGATAAAGTATAGATACTCCATATGCTTGCGATAAAAATTCAACGACCCTTCTATTTTTTTATGTCTTCATTCTTCTCACTAAGCATTCTTTCGAAGTCTACATTTAATGTTATAAAGAGAAAGATAGATTTGTATTTTTGTATGGATTGAAATAACTCAAAAACTACTGGACCGATTTTAATTTCTTTCACAATTAAAAAGCTACGTTATCAGTGAATAACATAGGCTATATTTTAAATTTCACACAGACGAAGTCGCGAGCAACAGCTAGTTGTATATATAGTTGCTTTGTGTAGACTTCTTGTTAGATTTAAGAGTTCCATAGTAAATTATTTTTAGTTGATGAAACTTAACGATTCTAATAGGGAAGTAAATTAACCTTTAAGAAGGATTGACTATTTTTTGTGCTATCAGGTGTTACCAGAATGGCGTATGATGGATCAGTTTGTACTTTTGTTACAAAACGTTTTCCAAAATGACGCAGTGCTCGGTGTCAACCCCATGACCCACCCCGTCTTCACTCCTTCACAAATCATAGGGACTTTTAACGCTGTCGCTTATCAGAAATGTAAGTAAATCATTTTTTATTTTTTATGTCTACTTCTGGATAGACTGTGTTTTTTTTATATTTATGTTCTTGAATATAAAAATATGACTTAATCTTAGCTGGCTCCGTGATTCGTATGATGCAGCACTTCCTAACGCCCGAAGTATTCAGGAGGGGACTTGTCATCTACTTACGTAGCAAGTAAGTAATTTTAACATAAGCTCGACATTAAGTTTTTTTATAAATCAGTTTATTAAGTGAGATAAATTTTAATTTTACAATATAAAACGAGATGTACTATAATTTTGAGATTTTACTTCTAGGTTTACGCTTTTTTAGAAATTTCAGAAATAAAGATTTTAAAGCACCTAAAAGAACACATCCCTTGACAAATAGTAAAATAAGAGCATGCCCAAACCTTAGACTAAACTATCGCACGACTGTTTAGTCGCGATTTGATTCCTATAAACTATGGAAGTTACACAACAGTGGTAGAGCCCGCTTTAACATCTTCGCACGAATGGGCCGGCTCGCCCGGTGTAATACCACGACCACACAGAAGACAGGCGTGAAGTGGAAGCAATTCCGCGTTTTGTCTGATGAGAGTAGTGCCGGAGGCCTAATTTTAGCCCCTTTCCCTTTTCACCCTTTTCTTAAGAGGAAAGGATTGGAAGGAAAAGTGGATTTGACGGTGGAGAAGACGCATAGGAAGGGGAAATATCCTCTTTATGTGCGTCTCCTCCCCCGTCAATTTAGGGTAGGCAAGGCATCTACAATTGCGGATGTTTATAGGCCGCGATCGCTTTCCATTTCGGAGGATTCAGGCCGCTCGCTCGTTTGCCACCTTATTTTAAATATAAAAAAAAACACTACACGATGTTTACTTGTGCAACGAAACAGTTGAATGCTGCGAAACAATCGACGATCGCACAACAGTTGTGCGATCGTCGATTGTTTTACTTTAGCTAATTCAAATATTGAATGTAGTTCTCGTCGCGCGGTCACTCCTCCGGATCTTTACACTGCTCTCCAGCAAGCTTTGGATGAGTCCTCTCATAGCATACCCTGGCCACTTGCGACCGTACTAGATAGATGGACCAACCAGGGTGGCTTCCCTGTGCTGACTGTCCGGCGCTCTGCCCCGGGAGCACAATCTATTTTTGTTTCTCAGGTACATTATACTTTGTTTTATTCTTTTGGTTCATTGGTAAATACAATTATTGCTAGTGTTGTAAATATTATTTAAAATTTTCCTTTCGCACGCGATTGCTCCCCCGTGGTATCTACCAATTTTCACCATCTACACCAAACTTCAACGAGATTTTATACTACAAATTGTAATAAACATCCATCCATTCATCTAAATTTTCGCATTATTTTTAGATTTTTAATTTCAACTGTGTATTTGAGTTTATATAACTTATTATAATACTTTTCTTATTATATCATAAAAACAAGTCATTTAACTATTTTTTATACCCGTAGGAACGTTTCCTGACAAACAGACAGCTGTCTTCTTACTACCGTTGGCATGTGCCCATCAACTGGGTTTTGTCGACCAACGCTGACTTCTCTAACACCAGCCCTCAGGGTTGGGTTCCTCCCTCCTTCCCCGCCGTCTCCTTCGACATCCCCGGACTTTCCAATGCTGATTGGTACATTGTCAACAAGCAACAGACAGGTTAGTCTCATTCTTAACAGATTTACTAATTAAAGTTTAACTAACCCGTGTATTTACCAGTTTCCCAGCTAAGTTTAACCATTCATTAGTGTTTTTGGTTCGATAACATTATGAAATTCGTCTCCTAACGTAACTTGTGTTTTACTTGAAACTTGGGCCAACTTAACATTATTGAATCGCTAGGTAATGACAAAATGAAAGAAAACCCCAGCATCCTTATCTTATAAAGGTAGAATTAGTAATAGAGCAGATAAGAATTACTTGAGTATCAGTAGCTAAGGGAATAACCACTTTATTTTCTTTACATACAGGTTACTATCGTGTGAACTACGATGTGGAGAACTGGCAAGCTCTGGCTCGTGTACTGAACTCCAGCCATCAGACCATCCACGTTCTGAACCGCGCTCAAATTGTTGACGACTCGTTTAACCTCGCGAGGAACGGCAGACTTGTGAGTATAATAATTTTATACTTAAATTATTTAAACTTTGGTAAGGCATTATTATAACTAGCTTTCGCCCGCGACTCCGTTCGTATGGAATAAAAAAAGTATCCTATGTTCTTCCAGACTAAAGATGCCAATTTTCATCGAGATCTGTTCAGTAGTTTAGGCTACAAACTCTAACGAACATTCATCTAAACTTTCACATTTATAATATTAGTAAGATTAAACGGCTAGCATTCACTATTTTATAATTTTATAATTTAACTTTATATTAAGTAATATTATGTCTGTATCCTAAAAAGAACCCAAATTGAAGTCGGCTTTGAATTTAATTATTTTTCAAACGAATTATTTATATTCATTCCATTTGCTCTACATTTTTAAAACGTTAATATCTTTGATAAAATCTCGTAAATAATAATAGCAAATTAAAAACGAAATAAGTCGGAAAATTCACGTACGTTTCGTAATAAATGTCAAAATGTCTAAAGCGCTATCTTCCTCCGGCATGTTTTCCTTCCAAAACGACGGTCGCTTCACCTGAACAGAGCATTGCATGACAGAGATAAAATGTAGCAAACAGTAAAAAAAACAATAAAAAGTGCTATTTAAAAAGAACATTGATTTCAAACTTCCTCAGTAAAGATAACTCAATTTTGATATATTTATAGATAATAAAAAGTAAATAGATTTTACAAGAAATACGTTCTATTGTTTTCTATGAGATTGAAATTTATGTAAGCTATTGCTAACGAATAACATAAAGAAATACGGAATAAAATTAGTTTATATACACTGAAATATATTGATTTCTTAATAAATTAACCTTTTGATAAAAAGAAATACAGTTTTGATTAAAAAAATAATAATCTTGTAGTCTCTGTAACTTGTAGGTAACCTATGTCAACAGTATACGTTACGAGGGAGCGCCGTCAATACTATCGGGTGGCGGGATATTAAATTTATCAACACGTCGCAATTTTGAGGGATATTTTAAAAATCTCAATCCTCATCTTGAAAATTGTTGCAAATATATGAAATATTACTTAATATGCAAAATAATCATTTATTATCTACGAAAGATTTGTATTTTCATATGTATTGAAATAACTCAAAAACTACAGAGCCGATTTCAAAAATTCCTTAACCATTAAAAAGCTACATAGCCTATTTTAATTATTTTATATTTCACGTAGACGAAGTCGCAAGCAACAGCTAGTTAGTGACAGTAATCGATCCACCAGGGCTATAATTGTTAAGTAGCCAGATAAAATTTAACTAATGCTAAGTTTCTGAAGTTTTCATTTATTTTATCATTACTCATCAACAGAGGCAAACTCAAGTTACGTAGTTCGGAAAACCAAAACTCTAACGTATGGTTAAATGTAGCTGGGAAACCGGCCATAAGTCGGGATAAAAAGTATATTTTGTATTATCTAATCGATCAACATCTGAAGTGTGTCGAAACTATGACTCACTTTGATAGAACCGTTGTTATCATTTCGTCACCTGATCGACTGATACTAATCACACATTGCCGATTTAAAGATGCCATACGAATATGAAAATTTTCACTAACATTTCGTGGTCTTTTCTTAAATGAATATGTATTTATTGCCACGAAAAAGAAATTACATAAAGGTCTTATTCTAAAGAAAACATATAATCGTGGCAAAATGTGGTCAGCTCAGCGTATGCTGTGCTCCGTTCTAAATCGTAATTGTTTCTATTCCCTGAATTATTAACAGCAAATAGACCAGTCATCGTTCATTTCTACGACTTAGCACTTACGAGTTAGGACGCTAGCGTTTGTGCACTATAAAAACGTCAAAGCGTTCTGTTTTAAGACTAGGTACATTGCCAAGACAATTATTTTTGCATACAAGTTATGCATTGTGCATGAGTGTTGTTTGATACCCCGCAAATCCAAAATACCTAACGGGTCTGAAATTTGTATCATACGTGTATTAAAGTCTATTAAGAGTATAGGCTATTTACAAACTTTTTAATTCCACACAGACGAAGTCACGAGCGACATCTAGTTATACAAATGTTAATCTCCCCTCTAAACAAACAGAGACGCTGTCCCCGATACGTGACAAAGCATTCGAGCGACGCTAAACGGTTTACCGTCTTCGAGATGTGATTTACGAGGATGTACTAGCTTATTATATTTTATAACCTCAATAAAACATCCTCGTAATAAATATCTAATTTGTATTTCAAAGATTTATCCTTGTTTATGAATTTATAGGTAGATGTAAAGTAACTTTTATTATGTTTATTTTACGAATTGTTATTAGTAAGTGAACATTTCTATTACAAATATCTTGGACTTCCGAGATAGAGAAAATAAATGATTAATTTTATTTATGACATCAGACGTATTAAATAATCAGGTCAGAGGATCATACTAGCTCTCTCCCGCGACTCCGAGTGCGTAGAATTAAAAATGTGTATTATGTGCAAAGTTCATTGAGATCCGTCCAACAAACATTTACTCATATAAACTTTCGCATTTATAATATTAAGCAATAAGAGTTCAAATTAAGTGTAACTTTATATCTTAAATTTAAGAAAAAGAATCGATGAGATCATACATTTTTCCCACTATCAGTGGGTATGACCAATCTTTATCGTGTTTGGATAGTCCAGATTATATTGATATGTCTACAACTTCTTATAATAATATTTTATATTAAATTGTAGAATAGAATAAATGAATTTAAAAGAAAAAACAATTTATCGAATTCCAATTAATCAATATTTGTTATATTTTATTTTGTTTTCTTTAAACTTCTTTTTATAGCATTTTTACCTATCTTACCAATATTACAAATGTGAAAGTTTAGATGGATGAAAATGTTTGTTAGAGTTTGTAGCCTAAACTGCTAAACGGATTTAAATGAAATTTGGTATAGATGCAGAGGATAGTATGGAAGAACACATAGGCTACTTACTTTTGTTTTTTCTACTTAAACACGGACGGAGTCACGGGCGAAAGCTAGTATTGTTATAAGAGATAACGAAGTTAATAACGTCGAATTAACAGCAGTTTTTCAATATTTATGATATCATTTCTTCCAGAATTACGTACACGCTTTCGAGATCTCTCGGTATTTAGTGCAAGAAGCAGACTACATCCCATGGGCATCAGCTAATACTGCGCTAAGCTATCTAGACATTGTCCTCAGTGGATCAGATGTCTACGATCTATATAAGGTTAGCTATTTATCTAAACTAGACTAGATATAAACTGTGACGCTAATATTGTTACCCTTAATTTTTTGATTAAAAATCTTGGATATGTTTTATAAGCTAACAATAGTTTATTTAGAAAAAAATAATACATTAATGTACTTAAGAAAGTAAAAAAATAATTTGTCGTGTATTCATATAAGACACAAGAGTGAAGAAGTCTAGATATAAATCCAGTTTTAAGTCTATTTAAGTGTTTCTAGTCTTGTCAAGAATTACAATAAGAACAATCATTGAACTCATATTTCTTACCAACAGACTTACATGCTGGAACTATCAACACCTTTGTACGACCGTTTGGGTTTCTCTTCTCAATTACCAGAAGAGCACGTGACCGCTTACCACAGGAATATCGTCCTCGACATCCACTGCAGGCTCGGCAACCAGCACTGCGTCAACCGCTCGCAGGAACTTCTGGAGCAGTTCAGGAATAACCCAAGTATGTAACATCTAAGAAAAGTTAAAAAAATTGCGGTATTTTATTTTAGGCCCGCTACATTCTGTTCAAACTGTTGTTAGCTGAACAGTTCGGTTGTGTACAAAGCAAAGACTTTTAAAAAATATATAGACTAGACATAGAACACACATTTTTCCACCGGTACTTCCTTAGAAAATTTTGGAATTGGAATAAATTTCAATTAAGGTTGAATCATGTATCATTTTGACATTGACCATGTCACGTACTCTTCTATTTAAAAGAAAAAATGTAAGCTCATAGGAAGAAGCGAGACTAAACAGTCGTGCGATAGTTTAGTCAAAGGTGTGCGCACGCTCTAAGTGACACCTGAAAAATGTTAAGTGAAGTGTGAATATGCCTAGTCTATATATTTCTTAAACATCTTTGACTGTGTAGCAATATTTGTAGTGTGTTTTACAAACAGCATAATATATGTGGGATCGTTGCAAATAAGTGGAATCAGCGGTTTTTTTTTTAAATTAATTTACAACCATCGTCATTAACATTTTTTTCTTTATCTTTCTTATTTTTGAATTGACATCTGACATCTGACAGTTATAAAAAGGAAAACATAAAAACAGCTAAAACCTCCGACATATAATTGTTAGGTACAAAGATTTGAATAACAAAAGATTGTATCCAGGTCAGCGTTTGAACCCTGACGTCCAGACCACAGTATTCTGCTCCGGTCTGCGCGGCGGCGACGTCAATAACTTCAACTTCCTCTGGAATCAATACCTCGCCAGCACCGACTCCAGCGAACAATCTATTCTACTCAACGCTCTCGGCTGCACTTCGAATGCTGAACGACGCGACTTGTGAGTTATTGGCCTGATATCAATTCTATGCAGATTTTACTATCTCGCAATGCAGGGATGGGAAACCACTGGCACGTGTGCCATAAATGGAACACGACACAATATTTTAGGCACGTTAATGATCATAAAAACACTATGAAAAACTTATTACTATGCATCATGGAATTAACGCAATAATCAGTTTAAATCGTTTGTTAGCACGTCTAAGATCGGAATACAAATTTCTATAAAAAATGCCACTTTGATGCATAAAGTTTCGCCACCCCTGGCGTAACGGTTTAATATAATTTAAATAATCAATACAATTGATTCTGTATTCAAAGCAAATTTATTCTTTTATCTATTGATACCATTTTTTTAATCGACTTCGAAAAGGAGTTCGAAGTCTACGATTCGATTGGTATTTTTTTTGAACCGGACACAAATTATTTACTTATGCTAATATTACAAAGAGGAAAGATTTGTATTTTTGGATTTTCGTATGTATTCGATTAACGTAATAATTGCTGCACCGATTTTAAAAAGTCTTTTATCGTTAGAAAGATCTGTAAGTGACATAGATGATATTTTTTAACATTTTTTTAATTTCACACGGACAAAGTCGCGAGTAACTCTAGTTTAAGTAATAATATAAATTGATGCATCTTAATTAAAATGTGTGTAAATTTGCAGCTACCTGAACCAAGTGATCAGTCCGACATCAGCAGTCCGCGACCAGGACCGGCACTCCGTCATCGTGTCCGTCATCAACTCCAGCCCTCAGAACATGGAAGTGGCTCTAGATTTTGTTATTGAACATTTCGCTGCTATACAACCGAGGTAATTTTCACTGTCCGATTCAGCAATTTCTTCTGCTTCTCTCGATATATAACACTGTTTTCTTCGCGAACCTTTTTCCGCCATTGTATTTTTCATAACTTTTAGATATACGGAGCTACTTAAAAGTAGAAAAAAACTTGTTAAAACAACCAATGGACGTTTGCGATCGATTCCAATTCTAAACTAGTTTTACTCTTAACACGTTGAATCCGATGATACCAGGTCTAAAACACCTGGTATCATCTCGGCTGCGAATAAGAAATTTATATATGATATACCGGGTGTATATCTACCTGGTACCGCAGGAACTGTTACAAAAAACTGTCACTTTAAATGTGTTAACAAACAAATAGACAAATAAGACATCTCCAGCTCGAAAGCTGGCGATCCTTGATTTTTCATAGCAAATACGTGTGAAAGACTTAGTGAAAAAAGGATTTAAATCTGATACTAAATTATTCAGTAATTTATATTCATGAAGTAACACGCGTAATATTTCTGTGTACATTAAAATTTACAGCACGTTTCATTTCCTTTCCTTTATGGAAAATTCATGAAAAGCACCAACAATACAATACACACGAGGCAATGGAGACGCGATATAATTTTCATACGAATGCGTCCCTTGAATAGGATGCTTTCAAGCATTTCATTATTCGAAATCTGATGTTATATTAATATTTACAAAATACTAGTTTTCGCTTGTCTGCGTCCGCATTAAAAAAAGTAGCCTATGTGTTCTTCCAGACTATCCTCTACATCTGTACCAAATTACATAGAGATCTCCAGCAATTTAGGCTACAAACTCTAACAATCATTCATGTTAGCATTTATAATATTAGAAAGATTCTTTATTCCTATAACTAAGATGGTGATAAAAATCACATAAGCTCTTTAAGTAGAAATATTTAACGATAATTCGTTATTTTATTATATTTCCAGAGTCCAAGGTCTGACTGGTACAACTAACATTCTTAACGCCTTCGCAAGAAGATTGACAACTCCGCAACACTCAACAAAGGTACGAGTAATATCCACATTCAACATTTTATTAAAACTTTCACGACCACGAACATAAAATGAAAATCTCTCTTTTTGGTTGCCAATATCTTTTTATATAGGAAAGAAACACCTTATTTATGAACTTGCAAAATGTTTGTTTATTAACATGAAATTTAATTATAACTGTAAAAAAAACGTTTAAACACAAAGAAAATTAAGTTTACTAGCTTTCACCCGCGACTCCGTCCGCGTGAAATTATAAAGAGATACAAAAGTGAGGTGCCTGTGTATTCTTCCAGACTATCCTCTACATCTATACAAATTTCATTAAAATCTGTTCAGCAGTTTAGACTACAAACTCTAACAAACATCCATCTAAACTTTTGCATTTATAATATTAGTATAACATGAAAAATGTTGGTTTATTTCCGCCAATTTTAACACATAAAAAATACTTTGATTAATAAAATACACTAAAGTAAAAAAAATAATTACCAAGATTTTAAATAAATAAATTATTAAACTCCAGATAGCAACATTCATAACTCGTCACCAATCTATCTTCACGGCCGGTGAGTTAGCGTCCATAGGAGCCATACAAGAGAACATCGCCGCTTCGATAGCCTGGAGCCAACAGAACTACGCCACAGTCAGCTCCTGGCTTAATGAGAACTTCAGAAGTAACGCCAATACTATCACTTCCAGCTTACTTATTCTTATTTCTATATTTATTGCCCTTTATAATATGTAAATAACTAGCTGTTCCCGTCCGGCTTCATCCGCATCACATTATGAAAATTTCATTTTATTGTTTACATTTGTCAAATTATCAATAGCAAATGTCAAAAAGACATGACATGACAAACCTTAGCAATCTTTCTTTCTCACTTTCCCACATTAGGGTTTTTACCCAAAATATTTACCCCCTAAGTTTAATGGCGTGAAAATATATAGCCTAAAGCGTCACGTAAGAGTAGGGCTTTTTATTAAAAAAAGGAATTATTCAAAAATATGCTGTAATTGCTGACATCTTAGACAACAAAGAAGTGTGTGTTTACGCTTTATTATAATAGTATAGATAAAGATAAAATCCAGTGCCGATAGCCTAATGGTTAGGGGTACGGACTACCGATCTTGCGGTTGAGGGTTCGAATCCCGCCATTCGACAACACAAGCCGAGAGCTTAGAATGGTTGAAGAAATATTAGTAAATTAACAAAAATCTACTAAAGTTATATTTAAAAAAAAATATAGCTAAAGTAAGACAATTTAAAACGATTTGTTATGTCAACGAAGACTGATGAATTGAAATTGAAAGTGTTTTAATAACAAATGTTAATACAAAATGAAAATAAAAAAAAACATATATTAGTGTGAAATGTAATATAAATGTTTTAGAAACATTAATATGTTAAGACTATTTGCAGTTTTATATTAATAAATCTAGCATAGCATAAGTATTTATTTTTATATGTTTTTGTTAATTAAATTATTTTTCTAAAAAATGTCTTTTATATTCCCATTATTCTTAATATTATTACGAACAAAACAGTCCTAATAACTGAGTAAAATAAACTACTTACTCAAAAAAGTTAAACTGTCCACATATAAATATAAAATTTAAAAATAAAACTTGGAACTAAGTACGTATTTGCACCTATTATAGTGTTTGAGACAATACGCCACGAAGTCCACTAATCTAGCACAAGCCTGTTGCTGACCGATTTGATAAGCTATAATCCCATATCTCTTGCTGTCACGCCAAGATGACTCCCAAAAGCATCGAGTAATTGTACACTCGTTGTCACAAAAAGTGGGTACTGAAATCATAAATTTAAAATATTTAAGAAAAAATTACATAAATGAGTATAGAAATTTAATATTTGTGTTACATTTTTGTTTATAAATCAGAAACAATGTGTTCAACTTAGCTATTGATATTAGAATGTAACTAGTAGTTGGTGAACAAACTTTTTTACGTAATTCGACAGTATGCTTAGCATTGTAGGTTAACATGTATAAAAAATAAGTTCTTAAATGTTAAGAAAACTACGAAACAACTATTTACAATTATGAGAATTTTTATAATTAAATAACGAATTCAAGGCAAAATAAAAAAGCAGAAATCAGTTTTTATCGTAACATGTTGTGTAATTTTATTTGGCACGAAGTGTACACAATCTTGTATTATCTAAACTAAAACTCTCGCCCTCCAAATATAAGTTTATTGCGGAACTTTCCCACTCTTAGTTTTTTATCAATCATGATGTAGTGGACATCAAGTATCTAAGTAATCAAGTCTGCTTCGGTGTTATCAAATTTTGTGCCGATGAAATATATTACTTAGTAAAAATGAAAGTTGTGAAAATGAGTGTGATACGAACAATATGTTATTTAACATTAATAACAATTACAACAGCATTACCGATAAAAAATCAAATCATCGAAGCCCCAGATTTAATAGAGCCAGAAATTATAAAAGTAGCGAATTTAAACATAACGGAAACTGCAAAAGAATCAAACGATACGTTACCTGAAATAAGAGAACAGAATATATTAAAAACTTCGGACACTGGAACGAGAAATCAAGTCAGACCGGGAATGTCAGTATCGAATTATGACGTGGAAATTACTGTAAACGACAATGGTGACACATTTAATGGGAGATTGTTAGCTCAGGTAATCGTAGAAGATGCTAGTACAAGAGAAGACGATATTATATTACAAGTCGAAGGTTTGACTATAGATTCCGTTCAGTTTTCAATGGCTGGGGGGTCTAATTTCCAAAATGCAGACTTTGATGTTGACGATGGACAACTTGAAATAAGCACCGGCATTGAAGCGACTTTGTACAACTTTAGAATAGAATATCGAGGATCTTTAAGTACGATTGGCAGAGGTCTTTATGTTGGTAGTTATATTAACGACGGGTAAGTAAATTACGTACATATCACATTTATAAAGTCCATTTTAAAAGAAATTCTGTTTTGTACACTTCAAGTCAACTAAAACATATGTTAAGAAAATGAATATGATGTCCAAGTGGGTGCTTGTGTAGTCGTGGATTCAAACCTACTACATGACTCGTAATGCGTATATTGAAAAGTTAGGCTGTTACTATATTTTCATATTAATATAGTTTCTTACAACAGAGTTAACAAATTACTAGAGTCTGTTAGTCTAGGCCTTTGTAAGCCTGATCTTTCTGTTTTTTGAAAATTTTGTTGCTAATTTAGAAAGCGCCTGATGATTTTTTTCAATTCAAACATTGACGAACGTAACCAACTCTTGTAACAATTGCTAAACATCAATGGATTCCAACTTACAATATAATTTAGCAAGTGTACCGTACCTAGCCTTTAAGCTATTGTTGTATTGGTATACTAAAGCACTTTTCAATAAATAAGTTGCTTACATGTTTGAACTTTTGATATTAATTTTAAATATTTGTTGGAATATTTAAAACTATGGGGTTAATCATACTAATATTATAAATGCGAAAGTTTAGATGGATGTTTGTTTGTAGTCTAAACGGATTGCGATAAAATTTGGCATAGACGTAAAGGATATTCTGGAATAACACATAGGCTACTCAGTTTTGTATTTTTTTTACTCTACGCGGACGGAGACGGAGGCGAAAGCTAGTTATAAAATAAATTTATGTCATGCTTTGATTTATCTTTTTTTAATAATTGTATAGACTTACAACAGACTTAAATACTTTATAGAGATTAAAATACATGGATGAAGAAATCTCAAAATTTTCCCAAGAGGAATTTTAATTTATTTGTTTTTCATACATTTGAGATTTATGCGCTGTATGTCGGACGCACTTGAGATATAGACATATAGTTGCTTAATCTTGCGTGAATTTCATTTTACATTTTAGATAAGAGTTGTTATATTGATATTGTCGGGAGCGATATAGGATAGGTAAGAGCTCATGAGACGAATCGCTCACTCAAAATTCACAGATAAACTGTTATATTTCAAGATAACGTCAATAAACATGGTATCGAGGAATGCGAGTTTGCGATAAACATCAGGAAAATGTTTTAAAACACTTGCAAGAAAAGAATATTCCGTTTCTATATTAAAGGAAAAGACAAGAGAATTTGTAACGAATGCGATGGTTTTAACCATTATTTTTAACACGGGGAGTGTTCCGTGGAGCTGTTTGGAACAATTCCCGCCGCTGAGTTTCGTCATCGGACACGACAGACCGCCAGGTACCATCCTCACTATATTGATGGCTGGCATTCCACAACCGTGCGGTTTTCGCGAAACTTTCTGCCCCGCACAGCCGCGATGTGGAACGGTCCGCCCTCGGCTGTATTTCCGAACCAATACGACTTAAGGTCCTTCAAGAAGCAAGCCTACAATTTCCTCAAAGGCCGGCAATGCATCTGTAGTTCCTCTGGTGTTGCGGATGTCCATGGTCGTTGACCACCTCTGTGTTCCCGCCGCTCGTTTGCCCACTTCTCATATAAAAAAAACAGATGTCTGTGCGTAGGATAGATATATAGGTGGAGAATATGAAAAGAAAAATGGCATAGATTAAGAGCATAAAAGCACACGTACACAACCAAGTATAAATTTTAATGTACGTGTTGTAAAGACAATAGAAGGTGCGACGAAGAAAGGTGATGAAGATAATCAGGATGCTGCTAGACGAAATCTTGTAGCATGATAAGAAAACACTCTATGAATTAAAAATTATTTTGTTCCTCTGTAATCCTGCTTAAAAATAAATTACAGTAACTGAATGAAAACAGCATTAGATAAACGATAAAATATTTTAGATGATACACAATTTTTCATCTTAAATGTGTGTTATATATTGATATAATTTTTAACAAAATCTTTAAGTCTTAAAGTCTTTAAACTATATTAAGTTGGACCTAAGTCAAGGAAACTTTAAAAACCTACTTTTCGTTATTACAATAGTATAAAACGTCACCTTCGCCTGATGAGTGTGGTGCCGGAGGCCTATTTTTAGTCCTTTTTCCTTTTCACCCTTTTCGTATGGAAAGTATGGAGAGGAAAAGTGGATTTGACGGTGGAGGAGACGCATAGGAAGGGGAAATGTCCTCTTTATGAGCGTCTCCTCCTCCGTCAGTAAAGACAAGGCAACGCATCTGCAATTGCGGATGTTATGGGCAGCGGTCGCTTTCCATTTCGGTGGATCCAGGTGGCCGCTTGCTCGTTTGCTACCTTATATTATAAAAAAAATCGATAGAATGTTCTCAATATTACATTTATATCCCATAAAGCTACCTGAAAAGAAATCGACGATCATATTAAAATCACAAAATCAAATAAAGGAGATACAAGGAACATATTATTTTTTTTTCTAGTTGCAGTTATTAGATTAGATACAGCATGAAGTCTTCTAACTCATTAATTACTTCTAATAGCATATTCATGAACATTATAGATTCTAGAACAGGTGACACTTTTATATTAATTTGACTCAGCAAGACACAAATATGAAATCTCAAAAATCATTTCATAGATGACTTACTTACCATCTAAGGACACTACAAGAACATGCTCATCTTGTGGCTGTGTGATAAAAAATGTACCAGATACCTACATCGAGTCCCTTTAAAGCTTCTTTGACGTAAATAACTTAAGATTTAAGATGATTCGATTTTATCTCTTTCGATTTTGACATTATCTGCGTCACGTATATTTTATAAATCTATTTTAGTAATGATTTCGCTACTTGCATGTTACACTGTGTAGTGATCGCGAGAACACGGTGTAAAAGGTCATTTTATTGATGAAAATGGCCCGTAACAAAAGACAATGGAAATTAATTTTAGTGACCTTATTTCTCTTAAAAGTGTCTGTGATATCTCTTCCGATTCAGCGAAATTTCAATAATGAAAATGCGGATTCTATAGATACCAAATTTGTATCAACATTCAAACCGGAACTAGATGTTGAAAATATAATTGCTAAGAACAATGTAGTGAATGAAGATAATGAAATTAATTTAAACGGGTCAAACTCATTTAATGGAACTGCTAGAAATGCTCCGTCTCCATCACGAAATAACGTAAGACCAGGACAAGAAGTCACACAATACACTATACAGCTAACAGTAGACGGTGATAGTTTTACTGGTAGAAGTCTAATGGAAGTTCGATTGGAACCAGATTCAAGGGAAGATGAATTGATTTTCCATTTCCGAGGTTTGCAGATAAATCGAGTTTTGACCGCAATTTTCACTGAAGCAAATCTTGCAGAGACTCCATTTAGGGTCAGGAATAATAGATTGGAAATCAATCCTAGACTTGCCGCTTCGTCTTTCATAGTAGTTGTAGAATATACTGGAAAACTGAGTGACAACGGTCTTGGATTTTATTCAGGATCATACGATGACAAGTAATAATTTAAAAGCTCTTTAGAAATAATTCCGTAATCATTTATACTACCATTAAATTAGTATACTGTACTGCTTTTGTTTGTTCCTGTGTACTTTAGCATAACAAACATTTTTATAAATTCCGGAACATCAGGTTTATGGCTAGATTAAGTTTTACCGCACACTAATAATACGATTTTTATATTGTTTCAGTACCTATCTTGCGATGAACCTTCATCCCACGAACGCTAGAAGGGTCTTCCCTTGTATCGACGAACCAAACCAATCATCCACAATTAGATTCACGTTTAATAACATTGAGTATGACAACTTGGTAGTAAATTCAATGCTAGAAGATAACAGCCAGTACGTATACTCCTATTGTACTATAACATACATCATAACTATTTCTTTAAAATTAAATGGAATCTTGTGCCTATTTATGCCTAATGTTTTTTTTACAGAACGCAGTTCAGGCCCCTACAAGGACCTCCACATTTATGGGGAATGGTGGCTCACAATTTGAATAATGCTTATTTCCCAACACCGAACGTTGTGTTGAACGGACGTGCACAGGTTTTGAACCAAGAAGCTCAAGCATCTATCGCAATCAATCATTATTTCCACGCACTGAACGAGTGGACAAACAAACCTTACCTTGAAATTCTACTTAACCAAAATGGAAGGATGAACGTTATAGCATTGCCTGATACTGACCGAGATTGGTATGCTCTGTCAACCGTGTGCATTTGGTAAGTTGTGATGAATAACTATTTAGTTCAAATTTAAGTATCAGCATTTAAATCTAGCCTTTAACACAAACACATGAAATTATTTTGATTCAGACGTTGCCAGGAATCGTTTTATAGGGAGATGAATTAGAGGTTTTCTATATAATCTAATACGAAAAAATAACTATTTTTAACCATAGTTTCAGGCGTATAATAAATCTTTGGTAGGATAAAATTAATTTACTCTTTATTTTTGTTGAGGTTTTTAAAAATAATCATGTATTTTGATTAGAAGACGATCTCTTGTTTCAAAATGTTATGACGCTAAACCGTATCGTTTTGATATTGTCACGATTAGTTTGACGAAGATATCCGCTGAATAAGATAGTAGGTTATCAGCTAACCAGTACTGTTCTGCAAATATTATTCAATCGATATTTTTCTTCACCATTCTTACGGTGAAAGAAAACATCGTGATGCAATCTGCACATATCGGCGAAGAAATTCAAAGATATGTGTGAAGTCAACCAAGCCGCACTTGGGCGCGTTGACTATGGCCTAGTTACCCCTTATTTAGGTTAGGCTCCGAGCAGCTCAGTGGGGACATATAGTGAGCTGGTGATGATGATGATGATGATATTTTTCTATATAAATCCATAAGTCCTTTATGATGTTATATAACAAGATATTCTTTGCATATATTTTGAATAACAAAAATGCAATCACAATACAATTCTTTCTAACATCTATAAATATCCAATACTCTATCATAATTCTAATCTAATTCTAAACATGAAAATCTGATCTCTTCAATTCTGTTTTTAGGGAACCGTATGTTTTTATGGAAATAAACCATTCAGTTAAACAAAGGCAACTAGCACTGACTAAGATAGCAGAATCGATGGCGAGGCAATGGTTCGGCTACGTCATACATCCCGAGAACTGGCGCTTCCAGTGGGTCACCAGTGGCTTGGCTACTTATGCCGGCTATGAAATGCTTAAGGATGTAAGTATTTAAATAAAGTACATAAGGAAACGTACATAAATACTATCTAAAAAAAGTTTAAATATCAACGAGTAGTCGTATTGGATAAATCAATCGAAACTATTAGTTAGTCTAGACAATAGGTTAAGCAAGCAACATCTGCTGGATTTAATAGTAAATGCAAAATTTTTGCTTTTAGATTTATCAGTAATATATTTTTTTTTTATAACATAAGGTGGCAAACGAGCAAGCGGCCACCTGAAATCGCCAAAATGGCGAAGCGACCGCTGCCCATAGACATCCGCAATTGCAGATGCGTTGCCTACCCTTATCCGACGGAGGAGGAGACGCACATAAAGAGGATATTTCCCCTTCCTATGCATCTCCTCCACCGTCAAATCCACTTCCTCTTCCCAACCTCTCTTTATAAGAAAAGGGTGGTAAAGGGAAAGGGACTTAAATTAGGCCTCCGGCACCACACTCACATCAGACGAAACACGGAATTGCTTCCATTTCACGCCTGTCTTCTGTGTGGTCGTGGTATTACACCGGGCGTGCCGGCCCATTCGTGCTAAGATGTTAAAGCGGGCACTACCACTGTTATAGTAATATGTATGTATGTATAATGTAATAACTCTGTTACAGTTCCAAGATGGTCCCCTAGACACGGATAATGCTTTACTAGATGTGAACACATTATTCGTAACAGAAGTAATTCAAGAAAGTCTCCTTCGAGATGCATATACTAATACTCAAGCTCTTGAATCAGATGAAGACATTTTTGATGAAGAAGATATAAGGCATAATGTAAATGGATTATTGAAATACAAAGCGCCTGCTATAATGAGAATGCTAAGACTGGTACTGGGAGGAGCTGAGGATGATTTTATACAGTTAGCTGCTAGAGCACTCCTCAACAGCAGGTATATTGTGATTTAAACAGACTCTTTGCAGATAAAGGAGACAGTAATAAAATGTTGATCCAATACCTTCATGTACTAAATGTGTCTATTATTATTTTCAGATCTTTACAGACAGTTAACTCATTGAACTTCTACGATGCAATCAACAGTGAATGGTTATTTGGCGGAGCAGAAGTAATCGATGATATATCAGATTTCTTAGAAGCATGGGTTCAGACCACAGGTTATCCTACAATCCACGTTGGTTTAAGACAAGGCGGTGTTCTGATAACACAGGTAGTTAAAACATTTGGTATAAAAGTATTTAAACAATTATTACTTTTAAAAGTAACTAAACTGTCTTTGATGCCAATCATATGCAAATTATAATATTATAATTATATTAATACGGTTTTATCGCATTTTTAGGAGCGTTTTGCGTTCTCTCCTGTTGCGCAAAGGAACTATGAGATACCAATAACATACACAACTAACGAGAATCCAAACTTTGATGATGATAATATTCATCCAGTAAGTGTTATTGATGGTACAACAACTTTAGATTTGGACATTGATGAAGATGAAGGCTGGATTATATTTAACATTCAAGCTCAAGGTGAGAGACAATATAATAGATATTCAATGAGTTAGGAATATTGATTTAAATTTGCTATCTATAAAATATTTAGTAAACCTTCTGATTTAGAAGTACATTTATATCAGGATTCTCATAAGTGGCAATTTTTATTTCAAAGACAACGGATGACTTTATACCTGTTTTCTCTAAATTTTGTGGAAACATTTTTGTAATAATGCAACGTCCAATACAGGTTATTATCGAGTAAACTACGATCCTGATTTATGGGACAACTTGATAGACGCTCTCGAAGACCCCGAGCGCAGGGAAGAGATACATCCGTTGAACCGAGCTGCGGTAAGTCTATGCGATACCTTATCTATAAGATTTAGTTCCGTTATTTCTCATACATTATTGGCAATACATTTAAAGGTTTTATTCAGCCTTTTGAAAATGTTATACGTCATACAACTGTGTCCGCATGTAACTTTAACGTAGCACTTTAGTACTAAATTGGGGATTAGGTCGTGTAGTTCCGAAGTAATCTATTCTTTTTATATATATATATATATATTTAACAATAAGAAATGAAGATTATAATGCCAATAATATATTTCAGTTGCTCGACGACGCTCTAAATTTAGCAAGGGCCAGTAAAATCGATTATGAAATCGCATTGAGAATCGCTCTCACTATGGAACATGAAACAGAGTACGCAGTATGGAAGGCGTTTGTAAGGAACATGAACTTCCTGAGGAAACGACTCACAGCCATGGTTGAAGAAGATGACGACTTGGATCAAGATATTTACTTAGTCAGTGGAATAATATTAATTTTTATTATAGAAATCTCTCTTTTACATGACGTCATTCATAAGACTAAGCTTGAAATTTGTACTTTTAGCAGGATGTGAATGATTTTGAACCAAGATAACAACAAATTCCGTACTTATTACTATTTTGTTTCCAAACAGAGAATGGTGAGAAGAGCTATTGTTGCATTTGAAGAGGAAATTGGCTTCGAACCGGAACGTGCGACAGAACCGGCCATGGTGTCCCTTACTAGAGGTCTAGTGATGGACCACGCCTGCAGGTCTAACTATGATCACTGTATTGGTGTCGCTATTGACATGTTTTATGATCCTAATAATAATGAAGTTGTGTAAGTATCTATTTCTTTATTTGAAGTGGCATTCACTTCACAGTGACACTTTACACACACACACTGGTTGTCACAGCTGGGGTTGTAATTTAAATTGTACAATTTCGATTACAGAAATCCAGATATCCCTCGAGACCTGAGGCCGGCGGTTTATTGCACAATGATGAGAGAAGGTGACGAAGACGCTAGAAGTGCATTATATGAACGAATGGAAATTGAACCATCGTATTATGAGCGTATCGTCATCTTAGAATCACTGGCGTGTTCTCAAGATGCTGGTTTTATAAGAACGTAAGTATTATCCAACTGTCAACATTAATTTCTAACATAGACTGATTCAATATATGGTTTGTTTATATTTCTTTTTGACGATTAGGCTTTTAGAAGAAACAATTGCAAACAATAGCCCGTACAGTGCGGAGGAAAGCGTTAGGATCTTCAAAGCAGTCGCAGAAAGCAGCTATCAGAACGCAAGGCTCGCCCTCAACTTTATTATATTGAGAACAAATGAAATTAGGAATAGGTCAGTATGTACTTAACTTTGTAACAATATCTAGAAGTCACAATTCGTGTAAACTTTTGGGTTGTAACATTTGGCTTCATCAAACGTGTAGATCAGGTTTTTCGTGACTTAGAAGATGATTTAAAATTAGTTGAAAGTTCCATCATCACCCTGCCTTTAGTTGATTGTTTATTACACTTTTTATTCATCGTTGTCCAGATACGGTGGTGCAGACAAGTTAGAAGAGGTCATATTGACGCTAGCAGACAACATGGCTAATGAAGATTTGTCTATTGATGTAAGTATTGCTTTTTTATATTTAAAAGTTACAATGCAATAAGTTAAGCTGTTTAAAAATCAGTCTCATTTTTAACAATGAAAAAAAAAAGATTCATAATAATTGTAATTTTCATATCTTAACTAATTTTACAAATCCGAAAGTTTCGATGGATGGATGGATGGATAGATGGATATTTGTAGCGGTTAGGCTGAATAAATCTTCATGAAATTTTGTATAGACATAGACTATAGTCTGGAAGAACACAGACTACTTGTACTACATTTTTTCACATTATATTTAAGTTCTTAATTCAAATTTCAGTTTATTAACTGGATTGGCTCTAGAAACAACAATTTAGATGATTCTGAAGACTTTGCTGAAAGTGTAGCAACACATGTTGATGAAAATGTAAATTGGGAAAACGCACAACTCGAATACGTCTACGAATGGATAGATGAAAATGATGCATCCACTCTATTTGTTTCTGCAATTTTAATAACTCTATCTCTAGTTATTACTCTTTTTAATAATTAAATCGATTATTATTTAGAGTAAGTGATTATTAATTTTGAACTATTATTAACTAGAGTAACGGTGATTTTTAATATTATTTTTAGTATAAGGAAATGTTTATTTAAATAATCGAATAAGGATATTTTATTTTATTAAACTACTTATTTTTTAAGATTGAACCTATATAAAATAGTATGAAAATAAGAAATAATTTAGAGTTTTAAGTTTCAGAGTAAAATATTTTATTATTAGTAAGCGTAAAATAGTACATTTTTAGTTTTAAAGTGTGAATTTAGTAGAAGATGAAACTCTATATTATCTGCATTGATATTATATGAAGTTTTATTTAGCTCATAAATGTATTTGCAGAAATTTAATATTTGTTGATGGAAATAATATCGACGACCAATTTATGTTTTCAAATAAATTTTGACAAATGTTAATTGAGTTTAAAGAGAAGTTTTTCGTTACTATTTAATAATTTAATATTTATTAAATGTTATGTCGATATTTTAATAAAGCCTGCAAATAATTTATGAAGCAAAGTTTGTGATCACTTCTTCTTATACAAAAGTGTAACTAGATTGATGTGAAAATGTTATTTCAACTTTAAATTTAAGTAAATTAAGTTTGTATTAAGTAAATGAATGTTGATCAGAATAATAAAATAATATCATAGGCTAAAATGACAAAATTGCACAAAGTGTTAGGTATTATTATTTTTTACTTAAGTTTTAATAATAGTTAAGTATTTTTAGTATTATTGTAGCAGTACTATGAAAGTGTATTATTAATCATTTATTAATAAGAAGAATATTAATATTTTTATTGTTGCATTATCACTCACGACTATTAATAAGGTAATATTAAATTATTTTACATTTTATTAATAATTAATCAACTAAATTTGTTGCAAACGCGTCCTCTTGCTTCAAATTTAGGTTTTTAGTTTTTTTTTTATTTTAATAATATATTTTTTAACGTTTACTAATTTAATGTGTACAGAATAAATTGTGTGTTAAATAAATTTGTTGGTAGTTTTTTTTTTCTCGATTGCAATAAACCTTCTCCCAAGTTAGTTATTTTTCAAAGCCGAATACTATCATAAAGAGCAGAGATTTTCATTTGTGGATTTTTGCATGTATTTACTTCACGCAAAAACCACTGGGCGGATTTTAAAAATTCTTTCACCATTAAAAAGGTAATTTATCTATGAGTAACTCGAAAACGAAATAATAAAACTATTGTTTTCTTTTCAGTTTTTTTATTATTTTCAGATTAATCGTTACATTTAACAAATATTAAACGACATAACATATATTTTTACATTAATAAGTTATAATTAATATTTAACTGACAAATATAAATTGACTAGATTTACATACAATTAGAATAAATATTCATTAAAATTAACGTAAAAATTACTTGAAAAGAATCAAATATATTATTTTATACATTTACTCATTTTTTAATATTACAATTTAAAAAAGCAAGCCGATAATAAACTGATTAAAAGTAGGAATGTGAATAAAATAATTAAATAAGTTCTTTATTCAATATTATTATTAAAATAAATAAAGTTAGTCTTGTAATGGCAGCGATTGCAATATTAATACTTAGTACTAAAACATTTCTTAGCGTGGGCTTCCACTGCTACAAAATGACACGTCCAAACAGAACTATTAATTTACTATAAGCCTTTCTCCACTAATAGTCGAATTATATTACGATAATTTAAATATAGATTGTTTTAAAAAGGCCTCAATTCTCCAAATTCAATAAAAAATCAGACAATCGTAAGCGGCTCTTGTAAACCGAAGCGTTTCAGAAGTCGGACGTTAGGTTATCAAATTATTACATGTTGAAAAAAAGTATAGAATTTAATACGTCACAGAAATACTCTATGCTGATCACAGACGAACCATTTGTATTAAAAAAAAAACCATTTGTCCAGTAATTAACTTAAATCCAATTTATCTAATAATTAAAGTTATTGTTAATAATATAATTGTAATTAAGAAGGAAGACATTATCGAAGCAGATCCTCCGGGTCCTGCCACCAAAGTTTGTACAGTTGTTGAAGATTCTGTAGTTACAACGAACTGTGAATATATAAATAATAGATTAAGGGCCTGTCCCACCACTGGCTGATAGAGGCTAAGATAGCTTAAAAATGACGTAAAATATTTTACACGTTGGATTGTTAGCAAATAATAGCCTATGTTACTCGATGATAACGTAGCTTTTTTAATAGTGCAATATTTTTTTATATCGCTCCAGTTTTTTAAATAATTTCAGTTCCTTGAAAAATACAAAAATACAAATATTTCCTCTTTAAAATATTAAAGTATGGATTGAAAAGGACTTATTTTAAGTTATTGAAAGTTTATTTTTTTTTTACACTGAGGAACTACCGTAAATCGCAAGTATAAATATATTTACCTCAGTAGTTGACCGCACGAGTTCCTGAGGCCGAGGAGTTCCTATCGGTATTCGATACAAGAATCTGTTCTCTTCTCGCCTAAAAACATTTTACAGATAGCTTTATTTAATGCTTAATTGTCTTGGGTAGGTCCCTTAAAAAAACTGAGACTGCGAGACTTTTATAGTCTGCCATACACGGTTACAACGAGCACTGCGGTGTTTTGTCGAATTCAGATCGTACAGTCGGGTACACTGGCGGTGTAACACTTTAAAAGCTACAACCGTTTGAACATTTTGAAACGAATAAAGAAACAAAAGTCTATACAATGCAGCTTATAAGTGTATATGTGCGTAAAATAGTCGGCAAGCACGGCTAGTTTTTTATTATAATTATGCCTTCGTGTGCACTCACTGCTATCTCATTTGTTATGTGTAGGAAGAGACGAAGTTACAATGAACAAGTTAATTTTCATCGTGAGACACCGAAGATTTCCGCGACTATACATGTGTGATGTATGAAAATGATTAGGCCTATCTAACTTGGAGGTTCGCCCCTGACCAGATTATGTTTTTTTAAAACATAAATATACTTGCATTTTATGTTCTGCGTTAATTTTCTCCTCCAGTTCACAGCGATTCAATCCATCGCCACCGAAATTACCATTTGATTCGCTTTGATGTACGTAGTAAAACGTTTCTCGGAAATCGGGATTCATTCTGAAATCAATTATTAACATAATTACTAATTATACACAACATAATTAAGAACACTATACACTTAGAAGCTTCCTAATTAATTTTTTTCATACTAAAATCGAGTAGTTTTAAAGCAATAGTGAAATCTCTAAATAGCTTTGTAATGTATCGTTATTATAATCAAATGAACAGGCAGTTTCGTCACTTTTTGGCCTTATTTAAAAAAAAATTATATGCATACAAATATCTGTAGATTACAAGAATACTAGTAGTTTATAGGCTGTTTATTAACATCTAGCTTTCGTGCGTAACTTCGTCCGCATGGTATTAAAAAAACAAAAATAAGTAGACTATGTGTTCTTTCACACTATGCTTCTACATTTGTGCCGAATTTCATCGAGTTCCGTTCAGCAGTTTAGGCAACAAACTCTAAGAAACATCCATCGATCTAAGCATTCGCATTTATAATATTAGTAAAATGTTTTAAGTACATATGTCTTTCGAACGGTGTACGTATCGATTTCATGTAATGCAAACACGGCTGATGTCTGAGAGTGCAGGCGAAGTCAACAATAACACTTCTGAAGAGACGTATGTTTGGTCGTTGTTCTCGATTGTCTATTAGTCGTTTGTATAATGCAGCTACTTTTGATCGCATAAATTCCTGTAACATTAAAAAAATTAAGAAACACTACTTCTAGTCACAAAAATTAATTCAGTATTATGGATTAAAAGAGATCACATAGATTTGACATGTAGATATGTACATACTAGCTTTTTTTTAAAAAAAAAAACAAAAGCAAATAGCCTCTGAATTCTTCCAGACAATCCTCTATATCTAAGACTAATTTCATCATGATCTGTTCAGCAGTTTAGGCTACAAATTCTAACAAACATCCATCCAATCCAATAAAAGTTTATGTTGATAAGGTTCAAATATTTCTATATTAAATACAAAACAGATCCAGGTACTGTAAATAGTTTAATGTAGTTTTTCCGTAGCTATTTGATCCGAAGTACCTGCCATTCTTGATACAAGGTCTTTGTCATATGACAATTAGCGCCATCTATCTTCAATAGTTCGAAACCGGCGGCTGCGGCGTCCCAAACCACATCGCTCAATTCTTCATTGAGATAGTCCAGAATTGTCATAGCAATATTTACATCCAAATCCCCAGCGCTAAATAACGCAAATACGTCGTTAACAATCTGTTGAAAATTAACATTCAATTAAAATATTGTACAAATAAGAAATGTCTTTTGCAATAAAAATCCATCTACTTTCCAATTTCATACTCTAGATGGCGCTAATATAAAAAAATCATGCAAAAAACAATCATTTCTTTAAATTTTGTATTTAATCATTTTAATGCTTACTTGAGCTCTGTTCAGTTCATTAATAGTAAGATGGTCCTCCTTTAAAGTTTTAGCTATAAGTCTCCACGTGTAAGTGTCGTAGTTAACGCGATAATACCCTGGAATTAGAAATAATGTCAAAGTTTTCATCTTGGATAGTATAATAAAATGAAAAGTATAGGCAAATTTTGAACCTATAAAAAGGGGCAAAACCTACATATTTGTGGTTACAAATTGTCAAAATTAAATAGATATGTAAGCCTTTATTCTCCGAAATATTCTTATATAGATTTTAACACTAACATTTGTTATAAACTTTACAAACAAATAAGTTATTTTCCGCTTCCAGCTTGTCCTTCGATATAGGTCTTCCTTAGATTCTACTACAAATCCCTGTCCCTGAGAACTAACGAAATTACCAGAATGTTGAAGAGAAATTAAAAACAAACACGTGTTGTTCTGCTTCTGACTCAAGTCGGGATTGTACACATAAACGCATGAACTCATGCAACGGTTCCACAAATAGACCGCAGATTATTTCCACCTCGGCCAAGGATGCCAGCCACTCTGAGGTCAGATTCAAGATCAATCGTTTTCTAAGAATTGTATAAACAATATATTCTCATTTTTTATTTATACATATTTTTTCCTTAAGTTTTTTGAAAACAACTTCTTGTGATTTCTTTTATTTCACAGTTAAAAAGGTAATTTGCCTGTGAGTAACATCTTACTAATCTTACTAATATTAAAATTGCGAAAGTTTAGATGGATGGATGGATGGATGTTTGTTAGCGTTTGTAGCCTAAACGGCTGAACGGATCTCCATGAAATTTGGCACAGGTTTAGAGCATTGTCTGGAAGAACACATAGGCTACTTTTTATCCCGGGAATAGTGACGGTTCCCGTGGGATTCATTAATTTAGTTTTTTAATGTTTACTCGATCATTCTGCAACGGTTCAACATATCTTATTGAAATTTGGCACAGATATAAAACAAAGTCTGGAGTACACATGGGACAAGCTTCATCCCCGAGAAATGTCCGGTTCCCGAGGGATACCTAGCTTTTTGTAATTTATATAGTTTGTATGTTTTCGAATACCACGCGGGCGAAGTCGCGGGCAACAGCTCGTAAGCTATATTTTTCAATTTCATGCGAACGATGTCGTGAGCAACAGCTAGTTATAGTTGTAGATAGATGAAGGGAATAAATGTAGAAGGAAAATTACCAGAAGCATTCCTGTTAAGTATTATCCAGCCTCCGTCCAGATTCTCTCCGAAGGAATACGTCTGCATACCGATGGTGAACCGAGGCTGGTAGCAATTGTAACAATTCTCGTTGTTCTGCATTATGTATGAAACTGGGATCAAATAGTTCGAGTCCACACGATTGAGGTTTGTGAAGCTGAATTGTCTCTGAAATAACATTAATCAATCTTACTTCTTACTAAAATTATAAATGCGAAAATTCAAATGGATGGAAAGATGTTTACGTGTAGCCTAAACGGCTGAACTAATCTCGATAAAATTTGGCATAGACGTAGAGGATAGTCTGAAAAAACACATCGTCTACTCGCTTTTTTTTTAATTCTACGCGGACGGAGTCACAGGCAAAAGCTAGTAAAGAAATTAAAATAACTAAATCACTTTTCGGACGATTGAACCTCCAAAATAAAGTTGAGAAACGTTACTAACTGCATTCAAAGATATTAGAAATAGTTAAACCCTTAAATTACCTGTTTAAGAAGAATAACATTTGGATTTCGATCTCTGAGTACTTGCACGTTAATAACAGGATACCCAGCTTGATGGAACCACGACTTTAAGACCCTTGATGCTGTGGAACCATTGAAGAACTGATGAAGACATTCTACCGTGTCTTGATCCAAGCTGATCATGAAATCTTCCAAAGATATGTATTTCCCTCTCCTGAAGATAAATATAGCGACATCAAAAAACTATCGTTACAATAACATAATCTATAGCACAACTGTTTAGTCTCGCTTTGATTCCTATGAACTTATATGATGCGCATACTACTCGATTTTTAGTTTTTTTTTTATAACATAAGGTGGCAAACGAGCAAGCGGCCCCATGAAATCGCCAAAATGGCGAAGCGACCGCTGCCCATAGACATCCGCAATTGCAGATGCGTTGCCTACTCTTATACGACGGAGGAGGAGACGCACAGAAAGAGGATATTTTCCCTTCCTATGCATCTCCTCTACCGTCAAATCCACTTCCTCTTCCCAACCTCTCCTTGTAAGAAAAGGGTGGTAAAGAGAAAGGGACTTAAATTAGGCCTCCGGCACCACACTCATCAGACGAAACACGGAATTGCTTCCATTTGACGCCTGTCTTCTGTGTGGTCGTGGTATTACACCGGGCGTGCCGGCCCTGTAGTGCTAAGATGTTAAAGCGGGCACTACCACTGTTGTGTGCTGTTGTGCATAAACAGTTGAATTGGCTGCGAAACAATTGACAATCGATAATCTGTCCGATTATAGATTACGGTTGTGCGATAATTAAGTCAAAGGATTACTCCCGCTCTTAATAAGACATTTATTAACTCAGATGTTGATGAAAGATCAAAATGCAAAATACGGAAGAACAAAATTTGCACAAAGTAGCCGCACAAAAATAAAACGTAAATTCGCAATGTTTATTATTTTCGTATTTCGTTAGAACATTTAGAGCAGTGTTTCACGGTTATCGAATGATCTTGACCTATATAATTCAACAATCATAATCTATTAATAAATAGTGAATCTTTAGAATCAAACAACGTACTTGTAAAATCATTGGTATTTAACAGAGATTCTAAAATGTATAGACAAGGCATAATCGACGCTTCACTTGAGACATTTTTCACGTAATCTCAATAACACTATCTGTAATTAGGTCCTCACAACGACATGTCAATATAATTTAAAGTAAACATTTAAATAAAGTGCCAATAACAAAAAGATGGGCTTTTTGTCACTGCCTCGTCTATATATTTTTAATGTCTTTGGTATTTAGGTTTACAATTCAAACTTACCGTGAATTAATGTATCTTACTAACGCCTTCTGGAACTTTTCCGATCCCAGCCAATTCTCTACCATCCATAATATTGACGCGGTCTTCATTGTCACAAGGCTTTTGTATCTTGAAGGTATCTCGATGGCCAGTGTTCTGTTGAATGTTGCCAGCGCTGGCGTACTGTGATACCAGTCCACTAACATCGCCTTATGCTTCATTTCGAGACCGTATTTACCAATCGGTGAACTATGTCTTCCTTGATTATACTGAAATGTATAAACGAAATTTGTACTAACATAATAAAGAGGAACGATTTGTATTTTTGTATGTATTGAAATAACTCAAAAATTACTGGGCCGATTTTAAAAATTGTTAAACTGTTTTTTAAATATAAAAAGCTAAAAAAATTGTTAATTAAATATAAAAAGCTACGTTATCAGTGAGTAACAAAGGCTACGATTCCTATTATTTTTTATTTTCACGCGGGCGAAATCGCGAGGGTCAGCTAGTATCATTAGAAGCGAAAAGATTTGTAATTTGGATGTATTGAAAAAACTCGAAAACTACTCAACCGATTTCAAAAAATCTTTCACCGTTAGAAAGCTACGTTATCGCTGAGTAGCATAGGCTATATTTTCAAATTACATGTTAAACGAAGTCGCGAGCAACAGCTAGTATTAACTAATCCAATTGGCAATGGTACTTAGTATTTGATATGTCGCTGGTAAAATTAAATTCCCAGCTTCGTGTTACCTGAGCTAAGAAATAATATGCTAAATACGTAGCAACGCCTTCCTTGAACCACTCCTCTTTCCACCTGGTCCTCTCGGGCTCGCCAGGGTTGCCTAGCCATATCCTGCTCAGCTGCTGCGCCAGTTCAAACTTCATCATTTCCATTTGCTTTATACTGGTAAGCTGTGGTATGTACATCAGTCTGTTGTCTCTGCAATTAGGGTAATTATAATTTAGAATTCGGATGCCAAAAAACAAGAAATTGGTAATTGGTTCTCTGCAGAATGGATGAGTTAATTTGAGTGAATAACTATTTAGTGATAATCAAAAGATAAACAAACGCGATGATTAGAGTATAGTTTTTGAGTACTTACATTTTTTATCTATAAATGAGTGAGTTAGAAGTACTTGTCAATCGTCGAAATTTACATACTAATGCTCAAAGTTAACTGGAAAGGTGGATGTCATAGAATGGTTTCTGTGGCATATTCTTCTTACTTTCCTTACGTTATTTTCTTAACCAATTAATTAATATTATCATTATAAATAATGTTTTTGCAGTCGTTATTCAGTCAGATAAAATTAATGTTTGCATAAATCTGCTTTCTAACATCTTAAAGAATTGTCGAGGTCAACAGTGCCAAGGCTGGTACTAACGTAAGCAATGTTTTGTTTAAAATTTCTGCTCGACAATGTTTATTTGGGAAGAGCAAATTTTCAGAATAACACTCAAGATCAAAATGTACACACAAGAACATTGTTCCAAATATTTCTGGGGAATTCTCGTATCTGGTTTTCCCTAAGCAATGTTATAAGTAATCATTTGAATTTGGAAATGACTTTTAAAATTCCACTAATCATTTTAAATAAAGGATTACGTTCGTCTCTGAATTATAGATGGATTTCGTCAAGGATAGCATAAGCAGTACTTATAAGAAACAGAAATTAAAAATCGGTCCACTAGCGGCGGAGTTATGCCGTAACACACATAAAAAAAAACATACAGACGAATTGAGTACCTCCTTCTTTTGGGAAGTCGGTCAAAAATAACAAATGTCTAATACCTCAAAACCACTTATAAATCAGAGTTACACTTACCCATTGGTTAAGAGATTCCAACTTCCTATCTCATATCCATTAAGGATGGATGGTACAGCCACTAAATTGATCGGGCCAATTACAAGCGGCCGATTGATGGTTGAGTACTCATGGATAAGATTTACAATCGTATCTCCGAACTGGAGTATGTAATTATAGTTCTGCAGCGTAGTTACAGGCGCCCAGACGATTAGTGTGTCATTAGTTTTTGTGGCCAAGACTCGACGATTACCGAAATTCGAATGATGGAAACCAACTTGGTATAACGCAACTTGTGGTGATGGGATGTATTCGTATATTTGATAATCGTTACTAGCACTGAAATAGAAAATTTATTTAACATAGGATTAACAAAGAATAATTTTGTCACAAAGAACAAAAACCAAATATTTACATGACCTTCCTTATTTTAACTCCTAATCCATCTTGTAAGTAACCTATGCATCATTACTAGTTTTCGCCCGTGATTCCGTTCGCATGGAATTAAAAAATAACTTTGAAAGTAACCTATGTGTTCTTCCAGACTATGTTCTACAATTATATGCCAAATTTAATGAAGATACGTTTAGCAGTTTAGGCTACAAACTCTAACAAACGTCCATCCATCCACGTGTTAGCATTTAGTTTTTTTTAGCGTTTCATAACATTAGTAAGAAGTAAGATAGAAAGGTAGTATGTTTGTTTATTAACTACTAATGAAATAAATCTGTAATTGCTTCAATTTTTATCCGTAGTCTACACGGCAGATATTTCAATTTTCTCTAAGACTTAATATAGACACAAGTTCTGGGAAGAAAAAGTTGTCGGCTTTCCCTGATTATAATTGTACACTGTACATATAAAGGTGTGGCCATACTGTTAGAGCAATTGGCAAAAATAATCCGTGAAATTATATTTAAATGTTATTTCTATTATTGTTAACTACATAAATATCCCAATCTTCTTTTCGATTGTTTTCGGATTACTAAGTATTGTGCTTTTTTTAAATGTGTCTTTAAAATATTAGTAAAAATTAAATCATAAATCAATCAACTTTGTTTAAGTTTGCTTTGTTTGCTATTTTAAATTCCTTGCGCAAAAACTGTTTGTTCTGTAGAATCAAATAATTACTCTTGGGGATGTTATTTCTGTTACAAATGCTAAATATTTTATTTTAGACTTTTGTAGCATGTAATAGTTTGTTCCTGTTGTTCAAACGTTATAAGCGTCGCTCACAGTCTGCTCCTACACAATCCATTAGACCGTATTAGGTAAGTGATCGAGTGGTCACTGGGAATGGTGTCAATTATTGTGGTTTCTTTGCGACCGGTCGACGTATCTCCAATCACCCGGACTAAACACGATACAAAGAGTACAATTTGTAAGCTAGGAACTAATATGGAAGTCAGATACAGAGTTGATTGCCTTAATTGTTGTGTAGACTCTTTTAGGGTAGAGGGCAAACAAGGAACCACTAGTCAAAATGACTTTCGATTGGCCATGTTGCTAGTAAATTTAACAAAATGTTCCAAAATTAATGGGAATAAATACGTGACAATTGCGGGACTTATCCAACGTTATTGTCAGTTCCATATATTTTTGAATCTCCGATCTGCGATAGCGATAATCGAATGTTAGTTTGTCTAAAGAGCCTGGTCGCTTAAGGTTAAATTCTCTAATGGACAACTCGCCAGAGGAACGTTAGTTGAATTGCCAACTTTATGAGAGCGCAGAGGCCTAAATGATTATTCTCTGTTTGCACTATCTATTACGATTGAAACTGGTTGAAAATTACTTCGGAATATTCAAATTCTAGCTGCTTCTATATGCTTTTCTATCCAGATATAAGATTTATCTTTTTGACGGTGGAGGAAACGCATAGGAAAAGGAAGTGTCCTCTTTATGTGCGTCTCCTCCTCCGTCAATTAAGTGTAGACACCACATCTGCAATTGTGGATGTCTATGGGCAGCGGTCGCTTTCCATTTCGGTGGATTCAGGTGGCCACTTGCTCGTTTGCCACCTTATTAATTATATAAAAAAAATAGTCTTTGATTCAGTCTTTGTTTTCATACAACAAATAACAATTGGCTAGCTATTTCAAGCCGTTCAACGATTGCATTTCAACCGCATGCCCCAGAACTTAATAACTAATATAATACCGTTTCATTGCCTGTTATAAGCAATTTGAATGATGCAACAATAATGTTATATATTTATTGATAATGTAACTAATGTTACTCTCTAATGATATGCTTTTTAATATTGATAGACTCAAACCATCCGGATAGTACCGTAACAAATACGTACAGACCCCTTTATACATTCCGTGCATCTAAGTCGTGGCGTATTTCCACTGCCATTTGTCTTCTCAAAAAGATTGAGGTGCATAATCTTACGGCTGTGGAAGCCAACAGTTGTTTTTTGTAAGTAGTTATTGATATGTTATAAGGCAGTTATTTGAGAAACCACACGCATGGTGAGGAGGTTCCTGTCACTGCAGCCCTGACCACTGACCACTTACAAATCATATATATAAATAATAATAAAATTTGATATATAAAACTAGACAATTATAAGTATTTTAGTGTGTTTAAGATGTACTTACGTATAATGACGTTGCTCTTGAGATATTACCAAACTTGTGTTCGAATTCTGCATGTCGACGCGAGACTGCGGCAGGTAGACTTTGAATTTGAAGACAGCTTCAAAGCGCGGATTGTCGAAGCACGGAAAGAAGTATTTCGCCTTGTTAGGTGATAGACGTGTTGTGTATAAATATCTGAAAGAAAGAAACAATGTTAAGGATTGTAGGGGGGAGGTATAAAGTCTGAAAAAATCGTTGACGTAATTTATGGACGGCCCCCGAGCAGTTTTTGAGTTATTTCGATATTTACAAAGATAGAATATTTTCCTCTTTATAATATTAGTAGAGATAAACACAACAAGGATAAAAACAGTTATGTAAAAGAATCTGTATTAGAAATTTCTAGTTATTTCACATCTGTCTTTCCGTCTCTAAGTAGGATGTGACAAAAACTTTAACTCTTTGTACTATCTTACTTCTTACTAATATCATAAATACGAATGTTTCGATGGATGGATAGACGTTTGTTAGAGTTTGTAGCCTGAACCAATGAACGGATCTCGATGAAATTCGGCATTGTAGAGCATAGTCTGGAAGAACACATAGACTACTTATTTTTGTTTTTTTAATACTACGCATACGGAGTGGCGGACGAAAGCTAGTTACAAATATTTTCAGACAAACTGCTGTTAACCGTATCTGGTATTTTTATCTGTACACAGTGCGATGTAAAACGTCTCCCGATATGGAGCACGAGACAAACTGGTCGCCCACGCGGATGTCACAAGGCCGTCTTAGAGCCAGCGACGCGCGACTAATCTGCACTTCAATTGTACACAACGTTCTACGAAAAGAGATACATTTGTGTTTATGATTAAACTAGTTGTCCCTCGCGACTTCGCCCGTATGAAATTAAAAAGAATAAAAAACATAGCCTATATTACTCTCTGATAACGGAGCATTTTAATAGTAAAAGAACTTTTGAAATAGGCCCAGTAATTTTTGAGGTTTTTTAATACATACAAAAATTCAAATCTTTTCTGTTTATAACATTAGTACAAGTTATTTTTACAACATTAAAGACAAAAGAAAAACGCTTTTTGCTTGATGTCTAATGCAGGATACACACGTTGGCGTTAAAGTTATGTAATTAAGTAACAAAACCGTCATGCCATATCTAACGTGTGTGGCCTACAAAAAATGTTTGTTTAATCTATGCACATTTACATTTTCGAACCTTGATATCGTTCATTGTCAAGAACATTTTTGTTATAGTTACTCGATCGGTTTTAATTTGAGGAATTATGTTATTTTCCCATTCGTTCTCATTAACAAATCATTGCTTACCTCAGACGTTAACACTTCGTTGCTTAGGTAACTCGAATTTAGTTTTATCGCCTAAAGCACACCGAATTTTACAGTCCTGTTATGAGTATAACTGCACTACGATTAATCAAAACAATTCTTAAGATATTACTCTGTACAGCATTTAATTCAGAGCTTATCTAAAATTCGAATTTAAATCCCTATAGTTTTTCTTGTAAGAATAGGTAGCATTTAAACTAAAGGGAGAGGTTATTGTTGAACGAAGTTAACGAGCCGTAACATTAGGGCTATAAACTAACTCCCACTGCGTCTTGACGACAGGAAGTGATTTAACGAAGGTTACATTTGTTTACTAAGAATTCGTTCCTTTTTTAAAAATGTCTGTTTTTATTTTTTTTTTCTGTACTGCCAACAATTTAAAAGCGAATGTCACAGCCATACATTAATTTATTTTTAACTTTTTTGGGCGTTCTTAATTTGAATGTATCAAAAAAACGTTTGTTCCTTGCTGCATTCCAGATAATGTATAGCTTCCGTGTGCATAAATATTTTGTTGAATTACGCTTTTTTCAGTGTTTTATTCACCTTGAGTGTTGTGTAGTGTTAATTATTTAATGGTTTTACGTCAGCAGTCCATTGAATCATTTGCAATAATTGCAGTTGACCAACTTCAGTAGAACTATAAATACATCTACAGTCAATAATGTAGAAATAAAAACCACAAAATTGTTACTATTTAAAATAGAGACGTAAGGGTAATGCATGGGGCGATGAACAAAGAGGCGCTAAATGCGCATAAAAGGACGACACTTGCGCCCTCTTTCGTATATGTTTGTATACCTATGAGGGGCGCCGTAGATACTCGCCCAGGGCGCTAGTAATATTATAAACAATCCTGTCAATTACCGACGCATATGTTGTAAATTTATGAAATCAATAATTCCTTAAAATGGGCTCAAGACATTACATTCCCATAAAGTAGAGTTAAAGTATAGTCTAACCAGAGATAATGAAATCCCCGCAATATTGCGGAAATATATGTAACATTACTTTGCGTACATTAAGAAATGGTGTAATAACTATTGCGATTTAAGGGCTCCCAGTCTAAGGTATCTATATTCTTGGTTCCAATCAAGAATGAGTCCACGTTCAATAGATGTAACGTGGTTTTTTCATTAGCTGGGTTTATTTATATTTATCTATTATACGAAAACATCTCTTTATTGTATTTTGTAATATTGTAAGATATGAAATTCTTGCGATTCAATACAAATTATGTAATTAAGAGCAAACTAAAATGACATCTCCCACGTTTTTTATTTCGTAATTTTATAGCATTTACTGCGTTTATTTCAAGTTTAAACTTAGGAAGTGTTGTAAAAATCGCCCCCGCGCAATCCCATAGCAATGTGGGTGAACAAGGTGAACCTTCCTCGTTTACATTTGTATGCATATGTTCACATTAATTCATTTTTTATGTATTAACTATGATAGCAAATTTATGAGACGTCCTTGGTAATAATTCGATTCTTGGAGACGAATAAAACTTACGTTTTGTAACTTGTGTCTTTAAAAGAAACGATTACCAAATGTATATTTCCCTATCGCAAGACATATATCATGGAAATTTGACTCTTAGTACAAAAAAGTTTGTTGATTTTTAATTTTAACATTATTTCTTCGTTGATTGATATGACGGACATCAAAGTCGTATGCACACAAACAGAAGACATAATTATTTTTAGCCTCATTGTCATAACGCGTTATATTTATTCATAAGTATTGGTTGCGTTAGCCATTCATAATCTAAAATTAAATGGAATATAAACTGCTTTAGAATTATGGCGTTATCAAACCTTCATTTATTTCAATACTAGCTGTCACCCGCGGGTACATTCGTGTGGAATTAAAAAAGTAAGTAGCCTATCTGTTCTTCCAGATTATGTTCTACATCTATGCCGAATTTAATCGAGATCTGTTGAGCAGTTTATGGTACAAACTCTAACAAACATCCATTTATGCATCTAAACTTTTACATTACAGACAGACAGAATCAAGTGGAACAAAATTTTAATTGACATTTCTTAAAATCCCAACCCTTCTATAAATTTTATATAAAACTGTTTTAACTTAAGTTATCGTAAATATACATAACGCAATAATTAAATTTAAAATATGCTACTTACTTGGTAGTACCATCTTCATTGAAATCAAGTATAAATATTCCATCACTTTCTTTTTTCAAACGTTTGTTGAATGAAATTTTCAACAAATATTGAGTCTTATAAACATTATACTGTTTTAATGAATCCGATAAATAAATGTACAATTTGCCTCTAACTTTGTCTACCTCGTAAGGTCTATGTTTATTCACCAAGTCTATGTCTCCATCGAGCACTTTTATCGAATCTCGCCTTATGTCCAAATCTCTAGCATCCAATTCTATAACTCTAACATTCGGTGCATTTGCTATAATAGTTACAACCATATTGCAATCGTAATAAGAATCACCAGTTTTAAAAATATAAGGTATTATTGTTAATTCATATTGCACTGGATACACTGTGTAATTTAAACATTCTTCATCAACAAAACCTCCTTGGATTGATGTACAAAAAAATAATAAATAAAAAATTGAAAGAAACATTTTTTTTTAATTTCGATCTAATGTGATAGACACGTCCTCGCGCCGCGCGTATTACTGCGTTTTGTATTTTGCACTGGCCATTGCCTTGGCGCCAAAAGTGACCAGCGTGCTAAGAACTCCCCTGCCCCCTTAAGTCGCATAAATAACGATCAATTTCCAGGAACGCAGTACATTAACATAGCTCTAAATAATTTGGATAAATTTGGACGAAAACTTACGTACATGTACAGTTTAGCGCATTTTTTGTTACTGGCTGGTTTTACTTTTTTGTTGCGTTAATCTTTATGTGCCTATTATTGAGGTAATATTGGACTAAATTATCGCACAACCGTTTGGTCTCGCTTTGGTTCCTATAAGGTTATATAGATAAGACACTACTCAATTTATAGTTGTGGAAATAAATAGTTGAATGGGCTGCGAAACAATCGCACGACTGTCGTGCGATAGTTTAGTCAAAGGCGTGAGCCAGCTCTTATACTTGACATAAATGCCGAACGATAGCGGAAAAGGGTAGCAAGACAAAGAGTTTGATATCGTCTTTATAAGGTTATGGGGGTGTTCCAACAGGAGTAATAAAAAAAGTTGTTACGACCATACTGTTTTTAAAGACTCTATATACCTATTTAAGTTTTTTTTTATAACATAAGGTGGCAAACGAGCAAGCGGCCACCTGAATCCGCCAAAATGGCGAAGCAACCGCTGCCCATAGACATCCGCGATCGCAGATGCGTCGCCTACCTTTATCCGACGGAGGAGGAGACGCACATAAAGAGGATATTGCCCCTTCCTATGCATCTCCTCCACCGTTAAATTCACTTCCCCTTCCCATCCTCTCTTTATAAGAGAAGGGTGGTAAAGAGAAAGGGACTTATTTAATTAACAATTAAAAAACATTTTCTATAACTAAAGCAAATTAAAGATAGCAAAAAGGATCGATTATTTACTTTAGGATCGATTATTGGGTTTGGCGATTGGAATGTAACATTTCGTCATAATGTGTGTTGTCTATAAGAACGGATGTCGACGTACGGATGTGCTGGTACACAACAGGTAGTAACAAATTCCATGTAAATTATAAATAAAACAACATTAAAAAATATTATTCGAAACATTTATTACTATTCTACTGCTTTAGTGGAGTGGAATCTCTATATATCTTAAAGTGTTAGCTAAATTATTTGTACAAAAATTATAATCAAAAATAACATTTTATTATACAAGTTACACTTAATATCTAATTTAATTTACATTAAAAATATTTAGCAAGAATTAATTAGACAATATTATTAATTTTTTAAAGTATTTCTGCCCCTTACAGTATACGATTTGAGTTGGCACATCGATAAGTATAAGGCACTATATTACCATGTGCCAACTAAACGCTAGTTTTTAATATTTACCACACATAGAGATTAATACACCAGCTATTAATATACCGAAGGAAGCTGTGGTGGTAGTCCCTAAATTCTTAAGGCTCTTCATAATATCAGCTTTATGGTTATCGGCCCAGGAGACAGTCGCGCGCGCTTTTCCCAAGCCCCCTCTAGCCGCGGTCACTGTCTGCTCACTGCATTGACTGCACGAACTCAACCAGTCTTCGAACTACGACAAAAACAGTTTATTCATAACTAGCTGTTGCTCGCGTCTTCGTCTGCGTGAAATTAAATTATATAGCCTATGTTACTCACAGATAAATTACCTTTATAATGATGAAAGACTTTTTAAAATCGGCCCAGTAGTTTTTGAGTTACTCAATACATACAAAAATACAAATCTTTCCTCTTTATAGTTAATATTAGTATATATATTAACAGTTTTAACATTAAAACCCTTTATTAATTTAAAATCATCAAATGTAGTTGAAGTAAATTTTTCCCCAGTCTTTAGTTTCTTAAGACTTGTATGATTTTTTTTCATCTGTACCTCATTTAATCTTCACGTTTTTTTTTTTTTCATTTTTAAATGTAAATTGCAGATGTAACGTTAACAAATCTGATCAAACGCACATTGCGTAAAACACTTTTTGCGTATAAAGAATTATAAAATCGCTTATTTGCAAACTTCCTCTCGAGAATCTCTAAAAATAGCATAAATAGGTCAAATGAGTCGTATGATTCGCGGAGCTAAAAATGATTGTGTTTGCAAGGTCACGAACAAATTTACAATACGATAATGGCGAGATGCCAGTGAGCATAACTGTTTGATAAATGTCATATTAGCAATAATATTGACCTTGTTGCCTAGTGATTAGAGTATCCAGATGATGATGTTCAAACCATTCATTATTTTCGCGTATAACCAGCATATTTATTTCTATGTCTACTTTTGCTAGTTTGTGGTTAGATTTTATAGCATCTTTTTTCTAATGTAACCTTTAAAAATACTAGAAAATTACTATCTTATAGTTTTTGTTTGTGTTTAGATAAGAGAAGATGGCAAAAGAGCGGCGGAAACCAATGATTAATGACGTGCTATGACATGGCAATATCCGAAGAACTACAGATGCATTGCCGGCCTTTAAGGAAATCATAGGCTTCTAGAATCCTATAAATAATTATCAATGCAATTTTAAAAACAAACGCAATAGTATCATCGTAATAAGTGTTTTAACGCAAATGTGCCTTTATTGACCTTCTCTTAATTGCTTTGTCACTGTGACCCGAATGACCGGCCCTCAAACACCGCTCGGTGTTACGCATACATTCATTAAGAGCGCTTCGCTATTGTTTGACAAAGTGTTCCAACAGGGAATCCGACAACTTTCGAAATCGATCTCTTAATAAGAGTTACAAAAACAAATGGGGACCTAACATGAAAGTTTTCGTAACATTTTCGATTAAATTTGTATTAGATTTGTGCAGTTCCTGTATGGATTAAAGTAGACCAAGAAATTTCATACAAATGCTATCGATGACATTAAGAATACTCACTCGCAAACTGTTGTTAATGCTGTGATTGGCTGACAGATAGTCAGACTAGCTATGTAAATCACAAGGATTAACTATTATTTGAATATATCTATGAATGCGTCTGTAGTTTTTGAATTAAGAATTTGGCTCTCTTATTTCAGAAAAAATGGTTTTGAAAATAGAATTTGGATCTTACCTTCTTAAATTCATCAGCAGTACGCAAGCTATTAGCAATAGTAGACAACACAGAGTCTATTGAGGTTGTATATCTGGAAATTAAAAACGTTTAAGTTAAGGCCTGTATTAACATCATAATTAGTATAGAGAAGAACAGAATTCGACAGAACACTCACATTTCAGTCCAGGCAGTGAAATTCTGTTCCAAAGCTTCTAGAACGACGGGTACGTTCTTGTATTGAGATAAGACACTCGATACGGGAACTGTTAGGTCCTGTGTCTTTATTGGACTGTCTTCTACTTGCATTGACACTAGGAATCTATAAAAACATAAAGTAAGTTTTGAATCATCAACAGACTCGATTTCACAATCGATTTTAAAGCTATTTTCTCGCAATATTATCAATTTAAAACAAATTATTTAGATGAGTAATACACGATTATTGTAAAATAACAGTATAAATGCTTTACATGTTCATGATTAACATAACATCACCTATTAAGCTGAGTCTTATCAGTTGTGCAGCCGAGGATCTCTCCAATAGTCCTGGCTTCATTGGCCACATTGTGGGTGGACATGCGTCGCCACAAGAACTCATAATCATCAGCGCCGCCATATCGTAACCCAGTGCAGTAAGCAGCGACACGAAGACTGGGAGCTATCCTAAAATATATTTAACCTTTGCATAAATGGAGTTTAAATTTATTGAATTATCATCTCTCGTCCTTATTCTATTGTTTTTTTAATCTATCTTAAGTCATTTCAGTCGGCACTGCCAGTCTGCCTTCTTGATCATGTCACCTTTCACACAATCCATCTCTTTCTAGGCCTATTGGTGTCCTCATCATAACTAAAGTTCTCAAGTTTGGATAACAAATTAAACTTTAGAAGACCAATCTTCGTTGAAATTGATATGTTTTTGTAAGTAAAAGTTGTATCAATGGATTATACTTACTCTGTACCGTTTTCTTTCAGTTTCTTAAATAATGCCAGGGTATAATCCACGCAGCCTTGATGTCCCAATTTACAAGCGAATTCCGTTACTTGAGCACGATTTCTTAGAGTTACAAAATCATCCGACGCTCTGTCTTCGTAGCCGATTTTGTTGATGATGTTATCTATTAGTTTCAGTCCGTAATCCTGGAATTAAATAATAACCTCAAATATACCGAGACATAATTGACTATCTAAGGTATTATTGTGATTTTAGATTACTGAGTTGACGCCTTGAATTGTCTTAAACTTACCTCAATGATTTCTAAAGCATCAGATCCCAAATAGAAAGACCGTAATTTATTTAAACCTCGAATAGCAGCATTCCAGACCGAATAGTGTGTTTCGTCAGATAAAAATTCCAGCACATCATACAGAAGTTCAAATTTCACTTCATCAGCATAAAGAAAAGCGAATAAATCATTAACAATCTGGAATGAAAGAAATAATCCACTTAAATAAAACAATTTACTTTATAAAATATGTCCAATTTCTTGTATTTTCTAAGATCTTTAAGTAATTATAAAGTTTACACAAAATATGACCATTAGTAAGTAAATACCTTAGCTCTGTTTATATGATCAATTTTTTCCCGATCATTGCTCTTTAGAGCAGCAGCGATTAATTTCCAAGATTCTGTGTCATAGTTCACCCTGTATAAACCTAGAATAATAAAATGACATATCCATAACCCACTAACACACCATAATCATGTTACAAATTTAATGTAAGTACTCGTATTTGAAAGTCGAAACTTTTTGCATTCATTTCTGTTCCGCTTACCTGTTTCTTGTAAATTGGAAATTACCCAATGATTCTCTGTCGTCTTAACTTGAACATCGATCGTTTCTGTTTTGTTATGCATTATAAATAATGGTTTGGTATTTTCGAAGTTCGGAGACAGACCCGTGGTAAGTGTTATTGGTATCTTGTATAATTCATCGGATTCAATCGTAGAGTTGATGTAGAAACGTTTCTGTAAATTATCAACTTATTATTAGATAACATTACAAAATAAAAAAAGGAATATTAAACATGAAATCAGAAGTAATTACTTCTGGCAAGTTTATAACCAAATGAAGATGCATTGCATTTGCTTCTATAACAAGTGAAGAATTTCAAATAATATGGAAAAATGCAGTTAAACTAACTTGGGTTAAAGTGATTTTATTTTCCTCATAGTTGACATCAACATGCAGCACGGGATGGCCTGATTTAGATATCCAAGAACTCATAACACTTGTAATATCGGTTTCTGGATACGCCGAAAGAGCATTGTAAGTCACCACTGCATTATGTAGACTAGTATACAATCTGTCCGGATAACCAACGTCGAATTCACTGAAATTTAACATTCATTTGAATAACTAAATATTTAAAACTAAAGTAACAATTAAACCACGGTAAAGAAATTAAAATCTAACGACATTGTAGTGCAACGAACCTAGACCTAGAAAGAGATGGATGGATTGCATGAAAGGTGACATGATCAAGAAGGGAGTAATGACTGAGATGACGTATGATAGAAATATGTGGAGTACAAACACCCGTTATGCCGACCCTACAGGAGTAGGCCAATGATGAAGATAATGATCGTAGTGCAACTATAGAAAGAAATCATAGGTTTAAAGCACAAACTTACTTGGCTCTAAGATAAGCGTTCAAACCAAATTTAAAAGCTTCGTCTCCAATAAGATGGTGCATCATTCTGATAACAGATCCAGCCTTTTGGTATGTTACTGTGCCGAAGTGACCGCTGATTTCAGCAGGTGAGTTAACATCATTGTTAGTTATAGCGGGAGCTTCGGGAGAATCATCGGCTTCGTAAGCAGAGTATACTGAGCCAGTCACAAGCATGTCACCTGCGCCTACAGCTGGTTCTATCTGTTGATATTTTGGAAAATGTAACCAAACGTTATAATCCACAATCACAAAATAAATAAACAAGAATTTCTTGATCAAATGTTCATTTCATTGTGAAAATAACGATATTTGGATGATTTTGCTATCTTTCTTACCAAAGCTGTAATGTAATCCTGGAAATAATTGGCGAATCCTTCATTTAGCCAAGTGTTACTCCACCAGTGGCAGGTGACAAGGTTACCGAACCACATGTGCGTTGTTTCGTGAGCAACTATCTGCGCCACTCTGTACTTGTAATATGGTGTTGACACTTCTGGTACGTACAATAGTAAGGCTTCTCTGGAACATAAGCATTTTATTTAATTTTTCCCAATTACTCGTGATTTAGCTAAAGACAAATTATACCTGTATTTTACTAAACCCCAGTTCTCCATAGCACCTGCATTGAAATCTGGTAATGCGACATGATCCAATCCTAGTTGACTGTTAGTAGAATAATAATCGATTCCGAAGTAATCGCCCAGAGCTTGTACAACCCTCAGTCCAAAGTCAAAGGCATAGTCAGTTTGATTCTTCGCCTCTGGTCTGGTGTACACACCAAATTCGTTCGTCCCGTTTATATTCACTGTTGCATCGAACTCCGAAATAAGGAACGCGACCAGGTATGTTGACATTTTAGGGGAAGGGTAAAACTGTTCCCGCACGTAGCCATTTGATCTAAAAATGGAACAACACTTTAATATTGGTAAAGAAGGAAAAATAAATATATTGTAGAAATATAGCTATGTTATAGAAAACTAGCTTTCGCTCGCGACTCCGTCCGAATGGTATTAAAAAAAAACAAAAGTGAATAGCCTATGTGTTCTTCCAGACTATCTTCTACATCTATACTAAATTTCATCGAAATCCGTTCAGCCGTTTATGCTACAAACTCTAACAAACATCCATCCATCCATCCATCTATCCATCTAAACTTTCGCATTTATAATATTAGTATGATTCTAATATAGCAATAATTGTTTGATTCAATTAAAAAAAATGGGTAGCCTATATGTTCTTCCAGTTTCACAGAAATCCGTTCAGCCGTTTAGGCTACAAACTCTAACAAACATCCATCCATCCATGCAAACCTTCGCATTAATAGTAAGAAGTAAGGTTATTAAAAGGTATTCTTACAGGTTGACACTACTCTGTAATTTGGTGTTGGCTCGTGTTTGTTTGTAGCTTGCGGGTCTATCGATGGTCAACGTGAACACAGCTTTCAACGCCGGCTCATCGAAGCAAGGGATCACTTTCCTACCGTGTGTTGGCTCAAACTGTGTTGCACCTAACCATCTGAAATGTAAGACGTTATTCAAATCGTAGTAACCGTTAGTGCATCGGAAAATTTGAATAGTAACAAAGATTGTGAATAAAATAATTTCCATAAATTAGCAATTGTGGAGATTCCAAAGGGTTTAAGATCAATTTGGAAATTATTGAATTGATATTTTTTGGATTATCCGTTAAAATATTAGAAGAATGTCTTTGTATATCAATTATCTTGGAGAACTAACTATTCTTTTTTATTTTAAAGGTAGAAACTTCATTTACTATTATGTAATATTTTGCAATACAATTGTTACGTTTGTATAGAATCTGTACAAAAATCCCCGAGATAAGTTGTTGATTTAGCAAGACTCGATCGCATTATCTTCTTGTTTGTTCACGCTTCTTCACATTGTCGTAGACAGATAACGTGGGGATTACTTTAAGTGGTATATTGCTTTATCTCTTTCACGTTATACACTCCACTGTCACTTTTTATGATCACACTATGTAATATCATGTATGTTGTAACAATGTGATGAGCGGGTATTTTGCAATATATAACAAATTCTTTTTGATCTCTTTGGTTGCTACTTATTGCTAACTGTATTAATTCTGATTCTATTTTTATAACTGTCGCCATGTTTTATTGTCTCTCAATTTTTGAAGCTGGTTATTTATTATTTTTTTCAAAAGCCACTGAAATGGAATTAGTGTCTTAATATAAAAAATATTACTTACTTCTTGACTCCATTGTCGTAATAATAATTTCTGTAAAATCCTTTCAGATCTTTTCTTATTGGACCAACGTAAACAATCTTCAAATTATATTCAACATTAGTTTGCAATTCATTTTCTAAATTTATCAAAGCAAATGTATATTTTTCCTCAAACTGTACATCTTTAACTGAATTCGATGTGCCACCAGTTATCGTTATATTTTCTGCAGAAAATTTCAAATCCTCCGAATGTAGTTTTATTTGATTAGTGTTAGTTGAAGTTGTAAATTTTATGTTAACTTCGCCATCAAAGGTGAATGCTCTATCATCTCCTGTGTTGAAATATGGGGTTATTAAGATGGAGTATTCTGATGGTGTTATTGGTGTGTTCAGTCTATAGTTTGTATCACAAAATACATTGTTCAATGTTAAACTAAATATCACTATCTTCGCGATATTTCGAAGCATTTCTGAAAACAAAAACCATGCATATTTAGTCGTAGAATTAAATGCTTGATACAATGTAGAGGAAAGATTTTTATTTTCGTATGTATTGAAATAACTCATAAACTACTGGGCCGATTTTAAAAATTCTTTCACCATTAAAAAGCTACGTTGTCAGCGAATAACATAGGCTATGTATTTTTTTAATTCCAAGCGGGTGAAGTCGCGAGCAACAGCTAGTATGAAATATATTAAATCAAAAAAATCGATGAATAACGCCTATATAATTTGCAATGTGTGGAATATGTATTCATGTTCCTTTAACATTAAAATAAATTATTACCTAATGTGATGAAGAAATTTAAATAATAGAATTAACTTTGGTTATCTTTATGTTATAAATAGGCTGTTTTAAGACTATGAAATAAATTCTCCGTTTTTTTTGAGCTAAGTCACGGTACAAAGATGCGAGTATCTTGTACTAACTTGTAACTTGTGTTTACTTGTCAGAATTAATTAATTTTGGAAATCCAAACTTTCATTTACTTAAGTTATCTTACTAATATTATAAATGTATAGAAGGATGGTAATTTTTAGAATTTGCCGCTTAAACGCCTGGATGGATCTCGATATAATTTTGCTTATGTTGAACATATTCTAAAAGAACAGATAGGCTACTTACTTTTGTATTTTTTTTTTATAAAAGCTAATTTAATAATATGTAATAGTAAAGATTTTTTTATCAGAATTAGCATAAGCGTTGTATTAAGAATTAACACGTCAAACTAATTTCAAATTCTTTGATGTTAGAGTAAATTTTTCTCAAAAATTTGTATTGTTAAATTCCTAGATTATTAAGTAGTTTTTTAATATAATAATGCACATACCTGACGTGTTGGCTTCGACAGTTTGTGTACACTAATAATGTCACTCTCACATTAGATATTTGATAAGATACATCTCAAGTATTTGCTTATCAAGGATTCGTTGATAAACGCCTTCTGTGTCAAGAGAAACTTGTCAGCAGATTCATTTTGAAGTTGTGGTATGATCAGAATACTTGGAATTAGAAGAACATATTTAAAATAAAAACAACCGATTTTAATTTGTAATTATGGTGCCGGAGGTCTAATTTTAGTCCCTTTCCCTCTCCACCCTTTTCTTAAGAGGAGATGATGGGAAGGAAAAGTGGATTTTACGATGGAGGAGACGCATATAAAAAGGAAATGTCATATTTATGTGCGTCTTCTCCTCCGTCAATGAAGGGTAGGCAACGAATCTGCAATTGTGGATGTTTATGTGCAGCGGTCGCTTACCATTTCGGTGGATTCAGGTGGCCGCTTGCTCGTTTGCCGCCTTATATTATAAAAAAAATACATAGATTTAGAAGGAATTCTCTCCACGATGTTGACAAGTTTCCTATATTCGAACTTGCTCTGTGTGTTTCCTAGAGATATACATAGATGTACAATTTACAGAAGTAACATTACTTTTCTAATAAAGAACGTTATTAAAAAAAGAGTTATTAAATGTTATTTATGGAAAAACTTAGGATACAAACAAAAAAAAAAGATTTTTAATCAAAGCATTTATTACTTTAATTGTTATCAATACAAAACAATCTTACTTACATGTATAAATTATTTACAGCTAGACATTTATTTAAAATCTTAGAGCGTGACAAAACTATCGCACAACTGTTTAGTCTGGCTTTGATTGCTATGAGTTTATAAGAAGTTACTACTCGACTTTTAGTTGTGTAACTAAGCAGTTGAGTTGCGGAACAATCGACAATCGCACAACGATTATGCGATAATTTAATCAAAGTTGTGCGTTCGCTCTTAATATGATTTAAATCTATCTAAGCATCATTGCGATTAGTGTAGTTAGTAGCAGCATGACAGTGGGCACAGCCGCCGCAGCCGAGCCTCTAGCAGCTCTCAATATCGCACTAGCTCTGTCTGTACCCCATTGCATATTAGTGCGAGCTGATGTGATAGCATTCAATCCAGTCTGGAACTCAGGAACAGTCGCCTGGTTCGCTCTGAGCCAAGACTCCATCTATTCGAAAATATTTTTATAATATATAAAATAATAAACTTTACATTGTGATTGTAAGTTTTATTTTAGTACTAGCTTTCGTCCGCGTGGAATTAAAAAAACAAAAGTGAGTAGCCTATGTGTTTTTCCAGACTATCCTCTACATCTATACCATATTTCATCGAAATCAGTTCAGCAGTTTAGGCTACAAACTCTAACAAACATCCATCCATCTAAACTTTCGCATTTATAATATTAGTATGAAGTATGATTAGTGTAACGTTAGTAATAACTTACGTCTTGAAGACCTTCTTCGTCCAAATAACTTGCCAAGTTAATGAGGACATTGTCGAACCAAGCTGGCAGAACGACCCTAAAAACAAAAAAAAAACTTTACAAGGCTTCAATTACCATTTAGCTCCATTTAATGCTCTTAACGCCTGATTATTCATGGAGTTTTAATACAATTAAAATTTTTGCTATTTGATTCAACAAGGCGTTTTAATATGGCGTTAAAACTGTATAAAGTATCAAACGTATATAAAATCTTCATTATTTATATGTATATTTTGTACTTACGCTCGTCTAATATCATTGACTCTTTGCTTTACAAACTGGAGAGCAACCTTGGCGTTGTTACGATTTCCCATATACAGGAAAGTTAAGGCATTTACTCTGTCTTGTGCTTTAACATTATCACTGAGAACCATTTCTAGGAATCTGAAAAATATCCATTTTTAGAGAAAAGCTTTGTAAAATAATGAGGTAAAGTTGAAATATTATTACTCTTGTATTGCTCTTTCGTTAGTAGTGCATCCCAAGGCTCTAAGCATTGCGACTTGATCGCCCATATTGTTAGAGTTCAGTCGCCGCTGGTAGAGGTAGAACCAATCCTCGTAACCGCCGTCACGGAGACCCTCGCAGAAAACATGTCTTCTCAAATTAGGGTTGACACTAAAACATTTTTAATTAAATCTATCTATATTTATAGTAATATAATAAAGCGTAAACACACTACTTCGTGGTATAGGATGTCGGCAATCACAGCATGCTTTTGAATAATTCTTTCTTTAATAAAAACCCTACACTTACGCTTTAGGTTTTATATTTTCACGCTATTAAACTTAGGAGTAAATAAATTGAAAAAAACCAGGAAGAGGCAATAAACTACGCGCTGCCAACATTAGGGAACCAAGGTAATGGTAGCGGTAATTTTGATATTTGTAGTTGAGAATTTGACAAATGTAAAAGATCAAATAAAGTTTTTATGATTGCATGCGGATGAAGCCGCACGGTAACTACTAGTATATGATAAATATATTCGAAAGTATCGCGTGACGAAATACAATTTGCACATGAAGTAATGCATAAGGTTAATATGCCGAAGTAGCATAAAGGAAATTGACCAAACCTTAAAAGCCGTTATGGGTCATTTATTATTTCTCAAACAAATAGATGATTAGGTGGACTTTGTGTGTGAAATATTCATTCAAAGTTACTTGTACTTTATGTAACAAAACAGCATTTTCCACTTAAAATAAACAGCGTACCTCACTCCGTTTGTTCTTAAAGCTACAAACTTCTCAACCGCATTGTTAAGACATCCTTCATGTCCAATATTGCAAGCATAGGCTAATACAAAGAATCTATTTAAAATGGTCGTATGAGAATCGGTTGGTCTGACGTCATATCCTAGTTCATTGATCACGGCGTTCAAGTATCCTAACAGGATTGCCTGTAACACATTAGAGAAATCTATTAAGAACCAATCGGGTATTAAAAAAACAAAGGTAAAACTTCGCTTAAAACAGACAAGTAAAATTAATACCATGGATAAAATATATTTTTGCTGATAAACACACACATAATTTACAAAATTGTTAAACTGCATTTGTTTAAAAAGTAAAGTAAGTAGTTTAAAAATAAAAAGTACTTACATCGAACTCCGCTAGTGTATCTGGTAAATGCAAGAACCGATTCCTTAACCAGGTAAACCCGCTGACAGCTGGATACCACACGAAAAAGTTAGTCTCATCCTTCAAGAAATCTAAGATTTGGAATCCAAGATTGAATGTGATTCTTTCTGATCTCATCAGGGCGAAAACGTCATCTACGATCTGAAAAAAAAAATCAATGCTTCTAAATTTAAAATGACTTTAAAAGTTAGATTTAAAAATTGCTTTTTAAATATTTATTTAACTATTTACCTGTGCTCTGTTTAAATAGTGTATACTATCCCGATTTTGTTTAAGAGCACTAGCTATCATTTCCCAGTTATGAGTGTCATAGTTCACCCTATAAATACCTGAATAAAAAAACAACGAATTAAAAAAAAATTCAATCGAAATTTAAAAATTATCATCAACCTGTTTTTGTGTCAATAGTTTTTGTAACCTTTTTGCTGTAGATTAAAAATGACCCATTCGTGTCTCGCCTCCTTCTGAATACGATGAGTCTTGCCAGTCATCACCTCACTGGCTTTGAGATTGTTCCAGTTTGGATTGCCACCAGCTGTATACGTGAGGGGAAGATGCCATGCTTGATCAGTAGTCTGTGCTGACGCACTGATGAAGAATCTCTCCTAGAAATACAAAACCAGCTTGGTGAAATCTTCAGAAAACATTTTATGTATCGAGAGGACGGGGACATAAACCAGAAAATATTAAGACTGATTGTGGAGGGCTACAAAGGTAGAGGAAGATCGAAAAAAGTATGTATGGGCTGTGTCAAAAAGGATATGGTTAAGAAGTGAGTGGTTTCAGATATGACGGTCTATAGAAATGTATGGCATAGCAGCACATATTCTGCCGACCTTCCGTAGGGACAAGGGCAAGTTGAAAAGATTTTTCACCTCTCTACATTCGTACCAAGTTAAGTTACATACAGACCTGTGTGAGTTCAATCAAGCCAGTATTCATGTTGACGTTGACGTTCAGTACAGGGTACCCACGCTCTTCTACCCAGTACCTCATGAACTCTGTAATATTAATACGACTGTCCACTGTACCATCCTCAGCGACGGCTTTTGCAAAGCTCTCGTATAAGTGGAACGGAAAAGCGTGTTCGTAAGATCTGAAAGAGAAAAAGAATACCTATATAATTGTATCTCCAAAATTTTTAATTATTATAAATATAATGAATAAATGAATGATTGTAAAGATTAAACCATAAAAATTAAGCCACTATTATTACTGTTAAGCATTCAAAGCGGCGTAGTACTAAAAATCAATATAAACATGAAAAAATCTCGTTTCTCTAATTTCGTAGTAATAAATACCGAATGATCTAGAAACATAAATATCAATTTAAATTTGCTCATATTCGAGTAAAATACAACATTAAATTAAATTACAATCATACCTGTCAACCAAGAAATAGTTTAACGCCTTTCTGAAAGTGTTCTCAGTGACGAAGTGCTTTAACATGAGTAGCAGAGAGGCACCCTTGCTGTAGCTTATACCAGAGAAATGTCCAGTTACTTGAGCTGGCGTATTCACTGTATGCTGTAGAGCTCTAGTCGAAGCTGACTGATCGGCTGACAACGCGCTTTGTAAGTAGAACACGTTGAATTGCGCTTCTAATTCCATTGAGGGATCAACCTGATTTACAAAACCATAAAAATAATTATCTGCCATCAACAAACTAAATAGTCATGTTAATCATCTTACCCCATCCATCGCGAAGTATTCAAAATAACTCGCAAAGCCTTCGTTGATCCAAACATTGTCCCACCAGCGGCAGGTGACGAGATTACCGAACCATTTGTGGGCTAACTCGTGAGCCGTGATTGTTGCAATGTATTTTTTATCCAAGGCATTAGTCTCACCTTCTTCGTACAGCAGACGAACTTCTCTATAAGGAAATAATTGACATTCAACATTATAAATATTAAAACACATTAGAATAGACTCTTTATTGGACAACTAAAATGAATCTATTCTCAAGGTTTCTGGCATGGACGTATTAATTTCGAAAATTTAAGTTAGTACTTAGTAACTTCTTACCTATAGGAAACGAAACCCCAATTTTCTGTTGCTCCAGAAGCCCAATCTGGTACAGCAATTTGGTCATTTTTCATATCTTGTCCCATTGTATAATAGTCGATACCGAAGTACTCCTCGAACCAACGTGTTAGTGGTGGCCCAACTGCCAGAGCATATTCTCCTTGTCCTCGAGCATTGGGTCGCGCGAGAATACGGTACGGTCTAGTTGCATCATTATTATCAGCTATGACTGTAAATTCTTCACTTATATGGAATGTTACTAGGTAAGCAGACATTCTTGGTGTTTGATGGAACACTTCCTTTACTCTATCACCGACACTGTAAGATATAATATAAACGATCACTTTATGCTTACAAAAATATGTCCAAAAATTAAAAAAAAAGCAAAATTAACTTATCACTAACATGATTGTATCGTCTTCAAATAAAAATCATAACTGTAGATAATGATGACTACACAGGTCATAAAATTTATACACTAGTTAATCAAACTGGACAAAATGACGTTTAAAATATACTTACACAGTGCTCTCAGCGATCCTCATATTAGAGTAACTTTCAGTGAAATGAATAGGTCGGTAAATAGTAATGTTGAATGTAGACTTAAATCCAGGCTCATCGAAGCTTGGGAAGACCTGTCTAGAGTTAGTTGGCTGTAAATGTGTTGCGGCATACCAGCTGAAATAAGAACAATATTCATTAAGAAAAATCACCATTTTTATTTGAATCCTATGTTGCTTACTGTATACTAATATTATAAAGAGAAAAGATTTTTGTATGTATTTAATTTACGTAAAAACTACTGGTCCAATTTTAAAAATTATTTCACCATTAGAAGAGTAATTTATCTGTAAGTACATAGACTATTCAATTTCAGGCGGGCTAAGTCGTATTAGCTGGTAATATAGAAAATTGTATACTTACTGAAGCCTTCCATCACTTCCTACATAACTACCTCTAAATACACCTCTTGATAAAGGTGTTTCGTTAATATTTCCCAAATATCCAATAGTCAGTTTGTACACACGATTGTTCTCTAACGTAACTCCATCTCGTAAGTTGATTCGTAAAAAGTGAAATTGACGGAGACGTTCAAAAGGATTCATGGGATTGAGAATTATCGGCACATTAGCCTCGTCTGTGAGTGTTATGTGAAGGATTTCTCGTACATTTTCTTGAACTATAAGAGAGTTGATACCGCTCCTTGTAGCCTGAAATGTGACAATTTTAATGGAAACAAGATTATGAAAGTGAATATGTGAGTAAAAAAAGCCCGACTGCCCTATCAAGAAACATTGTAGAGATCATGAGACACACGTAGCCAAGTAGTCAAGTAGTAATTGGATCTTGTGTATAGGATATACCTTTTTGTCAATGTAAATATTCAATTATGTAATTTATGTTACATGATTTTAATTAATATATTAAGCTATTATAATAGCTAATTCAGAAGATAATAAAAATAGTTTTGATAAAGTAATAAGTACTTACTCTGACATAAATTGTAACCAAACCGTCAAACGTAAATGCTTCTCTATTAGCAGTGGCCTCAAAGTATGGAATTATCTCCGAATCGTAATGTATGGGATCTAGGTCTTCTGGCAATCTAAACATAGTTTCAGAATCACTGCGTTCAATTTCTACGTCGGGTACATCGAAATCCAACGGAAAATCAGTTTTGACGAGTGTCAACAAAACTGACAGTATCGTCAGTTTTATTATTAGTGACATTATTCTGAAATTATAAAAGTAATTATTAAATATAACCAAACCATGTATACATCATACTAATATTATAAATTCGAAAGTTTAGATGGATGGATTTTTGTTAGAGTTTATAGCCTAAACGGCTGAACGGATTTCAATGAAATTTGGTATAGATGTAGAGGATAGTCTGGAAGAACACATAGGCTACTCACTTTTGTTTATTTTTAGTTCCACACAGATGGAGTCGATGGCGAAAGATAGTAGTTAATAATTGTAATGTACTTGTTCTTTTTTTTTTCAAATTGAACCGAATTATTTAACCCCTATTTTGTTACCATAATAAGGTTCTTTCACTCGAACTAACCCAACATATTGAAACCTTGAACTATTGAAAACACTTGGCTGAAAATTTTAAGTCAACGTGGCAGATAGTGGCATAGTAAACTTATGTTGAATATTAATGTTTTTCTAGATTGATACGACGATAGCAGACACAGTTCCTATATTTAATTTAGTGTCAGTTTTTAAATATAACCACTTGCTTTAACCCGCGACTCCATCTGCGCTGATTAAAAAAAAAACATATGCAAGTAGCCTATGTTTTCTTTCATACTATCCTCTACATCTATGCCAAATTTCATCGAAATCCCTTCAGCCCTTTAGGCTACAAACTCTAACAACCATCCATCCATCTACACTTTCGCATTTATAATATAAGTATGAAATATGATATAGTAAATGTAATGAAAATTAAAAATATAAAAAAACATGTATCCGTATAACAGTTATGACTTTTTCTTTTTAAACCAAAAATAAATTCAAATTTTTAAAATGCAGTACTATTTTAAGTGGTAATTAATACATACCTGCCCATTTTGACGGCCTCGTCAAATGAACACACTAAAAAAATATTTAATACGCTTTATCACGCATAAATAATTAATGACTTGTCTAAATTACGCGGATTATTTGATATTTCTTGCATATCTTATCATAGATATGATAAACATTTAAAGGACGTATTAGTACATCGTACTGTATTTGTTTCAACTACTTTAAATTCAGTTTTAATTGGTTTTCGAATTTCATATAACGATTGTAAACGTGACTCTTATCATAATAAATATTTAACATACAATGACGTACGGTTGATAAGTTTATTTGTCAAAAACTTAAATTCTTTAACCAGTTAACGCTTTCTATAACCTATTATCATCATCTCCCCTGCCTTATCCTACTCCCGTAGGGTCGGCGCACCGGGTTTTCGTCCTTCAAAGCACTCTATCTGTCATCTCAGTCATCACTCCTCTTGATCATGTCACCTTTCACGCAATCCATCTATCTCTTTCTAGGTCTACCTCTACCGGTGTACCTCCACATTCATAACCTATAACATTTCTATGACCTATTATTTAAATGAATTAAATATGTGAACAATTTTTAAAATAGCCTTTAATTTTAACGCGTAAGTAACTTCATCAGTCCTTCCCATCATATCTGGTCAAATTAGGCCCAGCCGCTTAGATTACAGCGCGATTAGGAATGCTTGGCGCAAACTTTTAAAGTTTATTCTAATATCAGCAATAATTTTGCATATCAAAATAAAAGATTAGTGGATTAAACTATCACATAATTAAGCTATAATATTTCACATATAAACTTATAGGTAAAAGAAATCCGTAGAAAAAAATTAAAAAACCCTATGTTCAAAATTCCCGCATAGTTGAAAATCTGCCTTAAAAATTGTTTATACTCGTAGGAAACTTTGATAGTGATCACACAAGGTAGTTTTAATATAGTATATTGTTTTTATCACAATAAAGATTGTTTTTCGGAATTTATACATATACAGAAAAATAGATAAGTTATAGACTATAGTACATATTTTCATAGCTATTTGCTATATCTCATCACCGACTTTCATTTGACGTGACTTAGCAAAATTTGCCGGTCCATCTACATCCATACATCTATCCAGACTAACTAAGTGTACTCTAACAAGCACCCTTTTCAAACCAATTGTAATGCTAAAACGTAACTAATAATCAATATTAAATTTCACACTGATTCAAGTTCCTGTAAAGATAAATAAAAAACACCATTAAATTCAGTCAATTTATATTTAAACAACTAACTACATGTATTATTTCAAACGAACATAGTAATCAACACTGTAGTGACCAATAAGGCTGTAGATACAACCAAATGAACCGCACCACCTTTCGCCGCCTCCAGTATGGCATCAACGTTATTACTGCCCCAAAGAATGTTATTCCTCGCTGACGTTATCGCAGAGAGTGTCCTGTCGTACTGGAGAGTACCGAACTGAGTACTACGAAGCCATGCCTCGTACTGGAAATAAATTAAGATTTATTTAGTACTGTCAGATGAACTCTGAGACGAATAGAATTTTACTTAGAAAACATTTGTATACCATATTTAACTATGTCTGTTTTTTTTTAAATTTTGTACTTACTTCGTCCAATCCAGCATTGTCCAGATATGAGGCAAGATTGACCATACAAGTGTGTACTGGAGTTGGAGGTGCGTCTTCTATGTACCTGAAAATAACAGTAAGTTTGAGGTTATTTTGATTTCAATAGAATTTAAGAGTTAAATTTCGACGATTCTAGCTTTTTTTTATATAAGAGAAGGGGGCAAACGAGCGGCGGGAACACAAAGGTGGTCAACGACGCCCATGGACATCCGCAACACCAGAGGAACTACAGATGCGTTGCCGGCCTTTGAGGAAATTGTAGGCTCGCTTCTTGAAGGACCCTAAGTCGTATTGGTTTGGAAATACCGCCGAGGACAGACCGTTCCACAACGCGGCTGTGCGGGGCAGAAAGTTCCGCGAAAACCGCACGGTTGTGGAATGCCAGCCATCAACATGGTGAGGATGGTACCTGGCGGTCTGTCGTGTCGTCCGATGACGAAACTCGCTTTATGTTTATCAATAATTTAAAACTAAATGTTGGTTAAAATCTTTCCACTAATACAATAAACTAATAATTGCATCTTTAATTTGCGTTTTTATACTTACGCTACTCTGATGGCATCGATATTGTTTTTAATAAACTGCAAGACGTGATAGCCGTTGCCCTGGTTGCCCAGTAGAGCGTAGTTGAAAGAATTTGCCTTGTCATGGAAGCGAACTGCCTTCGTCAATGTCAATTGAAGATATCTAAAATAATGTGTGGTTAAAATAAATGTTTGGCTTTAATGAGAAAGGTATTGTTCTAAAATCAAAATCTTATCTCAGATAAATCATTTGTTTCTTTTTTATTTTAAAAGCGCGCGCACACCTTTGATTATATCGCTGAACAGTTTAGTCGCGCAGTCAGTTAATAAGTCATCTTAATTACATCTACTAGTGTACTTTTAGCTTTTTACTAAAATACCTATTGTATATATTTCATATATACCGTGTAATTAGTTCAGGGGTACGAGCTGCTCCCAGCCCTCGCAGCATCTCGAGCTGGTCGTTCGCGTAGTTGGATTGAGTCATACGCCCGAGCAGGAACTCAAAGTCGCTCTGATCGCCCTCTCTGATACCAGTCACGTACACATTGCGACGGATTCTTGGATCCACCCTAAAAAGTTACTGAGTTAAGAAGTGATTTCATGAAGTGTTATAAATTAGCCATAAAAAAGTGTGATCATCTGTCTTGTCAACAAAATGTACAAACTAACCAATTGCCATTCTTAAGCGAGATAAATCTATCGTGTGATTCCTTCACACACTTCTCGTGTCCCAGCATGCAGGCAAAGTGAAGGACTTCTTGGCGTGTGAGACTTGTAGTGGGTCCCTCGTTACCGGCGTCGAAACCAACTGTCTCAATCACATGCTCCATTTGACTAATAATGAACGCCTAGAAACAAAATGATGAATGAAAATAAAACAAATCAATTTATATCTTTAAAAATCAGGCACACAGTAATATGTTTTATAAATTCCTGATTTGTCTATTGCTTTTTGATAGTTCTTGTTAATTTGAAATTTTAACTCACATCAAATTTAGCTTGCTCTTCAGGCAAATGGCGCAGTCTATTACGGAGCCAAGTAAACCCGCTGATAGCCGGGTTCCAGACGTGATAATTAGCTTCATTGCGAAGGAATCTCAATAAGTTGAAGCCAAAGTTGAAGGTCATTCTTTCGGAACGCATTAAAGCAAACACATCATCGACTACCTGAAAACATTAATAGAAAAGTAGGTTTTAATACAAAAACGCAATAAATAACTTTCGCATATCAGCCACTTTAATAGTGTAGATTTTATAATGAGTTCAGATAAAAAATCGACTCACCTGCGCCCTGTTTAAGTAGTGTATAGATTCAGGATCATTAAACAAGGCATCACCAATCAGATTCCAAGACTTGTCATCGTAAGTCACTCTATAATGACCTGGAACATAAAATCCAGCTTTATCTTGTACTTAGTAACTTAAACTATTACTTTAAACTAACTAAAATGAGTTTCATCACCAAGTATAAGCTTTTTTCTACTTTGTTGTCTATTTTGGTCGTAATTTTCTCTCTTCAGATGAGAGTTCGCAGTCGTGAATAAAAAAAAATATAGTCTGTGACTTATAGCATAGCTTTTTAACAGTGAAAGAATTTTTAAAATCAGTCCAGTAATTTCTGAATTATTACAGTACATACAAAAATACAAATCTTTCTGTAAAATATTAGTATACAAAAAGAAATGTGCTGCTCACCATGTTGTAAGTTATTAAATATAACCCATTCTTCCACCGCGGATTTCGTAAGTACAGCTCTCTCAGACGACAGCATATAGACAGGTTTCAAATTATTGAAGTTGCGATTCGAGTTAGTTGAATATGAAATTGGTATAGGATAGATTCTGTCGCTTGTCGCCGACGTACTTAAGAAGAACCTTTCCTAAAAACAAAAAAGATACACGTTTATTCTTTAGCAGTTTATGATGGTAAAAAGATATGGAAAACAGTACTGTGCCGAAAGTATAAAGCTATAATTCATTAAAAGTATTAACCATGCTAAAAAAAGGTAAAACATAAATAAAGGTTTTATAAAATATCAAAAAAACGAACAAACACAAGAAGACAACAATAACTAAACATCATTTCTACGTTGATCCTTAAAATTATAAAATTGCTTGCAATCATCATCTTTCTCCTTATCCTACTCCCGTAGGGTCGGCGCAACAGGTTTTTGTCCTCTACATAACTCTATCACACGTCATCTCGGTCATCATGTCACCTTTTACGCAATCCATCCATCTCTTTATAGGTCTACCTCTACCGATGTACCGTTCCACACTCAAAACTAATGTTCTTCTTGTAAGATGACCATATCATTTGTTTATTTATTTACACTTTGTACACAAGAAAAACAATCACAAAAAAATACATATTAAGCGTTGGTTGTACAGCCGAGCATAACTCTAATAGAGTTTTCTTACCATACCTTACCATATACATTGCTTGCAATATTGACTTAAAAATAGTTAATGTAGTATTAAGAACTTACTTGTCTAAGAGCCATTTCGCCATTTTCGTGATTAATGTTAACTGTCAGCAGAGGGTAGCCAGGCTCGTTGACCCAGACACGGTAATACTCGGTGAAGTTAAAGTTTTGGTACTCTCTTAGAGTTCCATCCTCTTCGACAGCTTGAGCGAATGCGGCGTATAGATCGAACTGGTCAGTTGCTTTGTAAGCACTTGAAAAAAGTAATAAAAACGCTTTGGTTCGCATGAATTGACATGATTAAACAAAGGGACAATCGTCCCTTAAAGCAGTCGCTTTAGCGACCGATTGATGAACAGATCAAAAAACCAATGTGCTAACTCTCTACAGAGTGTATGATGCTCACAAATTTCTGTACATTTAAAATGTGCGGAAACCTTTGACTAAACTATCGCACATTGTTTAGTCTCGCTTTGATTCCTTTGAGCTTATATGGAGTTGGGCACACTACTCGATTTTTAGTTGTGCAACTAAACAGTTGAATTGTCTGCGAAACAATTGATAATCGCATAATAGTTGTGCGATATTTTTAATAATTGTAATTTAGCGTAAATGTTAAAGTTAGTTCTCATTAAGGTTTTATAGGTTCTATCATTACTCACTTATTTTGCAAGAAATATTGACAAGCTTTTCTGAATGTTGCAGGAGTAATCATATTTGCTGTCATCCTAAGAACAGCAGCACCTTTGGAATAGCTGATAGTGCCGAAGTGACCTGTCACCTGCGCTGGCGTGTTAACTGGATGGTTCATTGGCACTGTGGATACTCCTGAATCGAAGGAGAGAGAGGTTTGCAAGTATCGAGAGTTGAAATGTTCATGATGTTCATATTGCGGGAACACCTAAAAATATATAGCACTCGTAAAAACAGAAAAACAGTTTTATAATGTAGTTAAAACATGATTGTGTAATGAGGAATAGGAAGAATATAGAATTATTAGCGTCTGTTACCTCATAAGTAGCTATATAACCGAAGTAGCTGGCGAAACCCTCATTGATCCAAGTGTTACTCCACCAGTAGCAAGTGATAAGGTTGCCAAACCACTTGTGTGCCAGCTCGTGTGAGATTAACGTCGCCGCGTAGTGTTCCACAGACATTATCGTCTCACGCGGGTCTAACACCATGTAAAGCTCCCTGAAAAAGATAATGGTAATTAGCAATTCCAGAGACTTAAGTAATACAACAGACAGGACCCGTTAAGTAATAGAAGTAGATATTATTCGTAGTTAGGCTCCGTAAATACTTTTAATAATTGCTTTCAGAATTTCAAAATTAATCTAAAATAACACTCACCTGTAACTAACCATACCCCAGTTTTCAGTACCGGCTGAAGCCCAATCAGGTGAAGATATGTGATCGTTGTACAAATAAGGATGCAAATCGGAATATGGTATACCGAAGTATTCGTCGAAATATTTAGTCATTTGTACTGTCATGTTCAAAGCCATGTCACCCAAGCCGACTGTGTTAGATCTTCCGATGATCCTGATAGGAGGGTTAAAGGAGGTATCCTCGGCTATTACCGTGAAAGACTCACTGACAAGGAAGGTGACCAGGTAGGAAGACATTACTGGTGTGGCGTAGAAATTGTCACGGGTGCGGCTTCCTAGACTGAAAAGTAAAATTGGATAGTTAGGTTTTCCTTTTTAATAATGTTAACTGATTTACCTTTATATTTTATCCATCTTTCTATATACTGTACCGCGGTCCTTTTATTTTTTCCTCCAAAATAACATTTTTAATATCACCAACATAATACAATATTCTAAATAATATTCTATCTTCAACAATTCAATTCTTACATGTCTGTGGATTGGATGCGAGTGTTCGAGAAAGTTCCCGAATAGCTTGTTGGTTTTGACAGGTGGAGTTTGAACGCCGCTTTGAAGAGAGGTTCATCCCAGCAGGGGAAAGCTTGTCTGGCGTTATATGGCTGGAAGTGTGTTGTGGCGTAGATCCTAGAATATAGCAAGTTATTCTATAAATTTAAATTTCGTAAATACATTATCTTTTTTTGCTATTCTAAAAAAAAACATAATTAAGGTTTCTTTGGGTCTATGTTTTCTTTATTATTTTTCGATAATTCTTTATAGTCTTTCCACTAAGGTTAATTAGTCTTATATAAGTGATTAAATAACCATGAAATCAGTTCCAGAATGAGACATAGGGTTGCGATTTTTTAGTTTTTGCTTGTTTCTACAAATGTACATTGCATGTTGTTTCTCACCGTTCGTTGCCGTTCTCGTCAATATACCATCCTCTCCAGATACCACGTTTCATTGGTCCTTCATTCATTGTACTGGAATAATCTATTATAAGAGTATAATTTGTGTACACTTCTAAAGCCTGCGCTAGATTTATCTTCAAGAAATGGTACTGGGGCTCTAGTGTGATTGGTTGTAATGTATTCAACGGGACAGGTGAACCAGAAGGTGTTAGAACACTGATAGCTTTTATAGAATCCACATTTGAATGGAGAACAATTTGAGTTACATTCTGTTCTATTGCCTGGAAGAATAAGGATTAGGTTACATGTTTTTGTTTTATTCATATTTAAATTCAAAGTACCAGTAAAATATTCTTAAATGCTTTTCATTGTTAGATTTATTAGATGGAAACCGCAATACTTTAATATTTATAATCTTAATCTGAGTTGTAAAATTAATAATTATTTACTTATCTAATCAAATAAATTCTCAACGGCCATTAATGACATTCGACTTGATTAGATTATTGTTTACAAAAATTACTAAAACAAACTAAAGTCAGCTATAATGATGACAAATTTAGTGAATCGAAAAGAACGGAAATTCCACGCAAAAGAAGTCACGAGCGAAAGCTAGTTAATGATGTTATTTAGTTCATAGTTTGACTAAGATATTAATTTTTGTTAAATCTCTTAAACTGTTATCGCCCATACACTTTTAATAGTCACGTAGCTAAATATTTATAAAGACTAGAACAAACTGATTACTACCTTAATAATGATATATTCCTTTCCATCGTAACTATAAGGTCTGTCTGTCCGTTCAGCGAAATACAAATCTATGTAAATATCATAGTCTAGAGGAATAACGTTCTGTGGAAGCCTGTACTGTTCATTATTCCTGGTAGTTGCTGCGTCTTCAGGTAACACAAGCTCCTCGAAATCTCTATATATTGATATGGGATGGTCACCAGCTACTGATGCTATGAGCATTACGCTCAAAGCTATTAACTTGGACATTTCTAGAACATAACGTTATTTACAAATTATTGAAATATTGCATACTTTTCTAAATATCTCTTGTCTAAGTCCGAAGCAGGATTCAAACCCACGCAAGGCTTCTTGGTAAAATGTACATAATGTTATTTGAGTTTTAAATCGCAATTATTTATTAGTGTCATAAAAATAAGCGAACTCACCTGATAAATGAAATGTCCTTTATACAGCGAACAATAGAATAAAATGAACTAAATTCTTTTTAGATTTTAACTTTGATAGTCATAAAAGAGGGTTTCTATATCTGATATCTCTATCACATAATTAATATTTATCAGTAATCTGATAAAAATTGATGCGAATACAAAGAAGTTTGCTATAATATATAAGAATAAAGGTGATGACGAAGTTATCCTTTGTTGCGTTATGTGAACTAAAAGTATAGAGAATAAATAACGTTTCTACAAATTTTAAATTTGGAATTGGTCAGATTATACTTTTTAAATTTCAAATTACAATCCATTAAAGAAAAGATGACTGAATTAACAGAGATGTTTAATTTCCAGAATGATGTACGCTTTTTGAATATGAATTGGTATAAAAATGTAGGTATCTACAACTTTTATGGAATGATTTGTAGACGTGGAATAAGAAACATATCTTAATAAACTAAAAGAATCAGCGAAGACGAACATTTTTATAGTTAAGGGTCACAATTTCATGCTTTCATTTCTATGTGTTTATTCTAACGCATTCAATTCTAATTATCAGTGGATTTTATTGTACATTTTTAGGTGCTTAAATAAACATAAAAACAATACCTTTATAAATTAATTATTTTATTTAATTCATAAATTACAAGATATACAATTAGTACTTAATTTTAATCACATACGTACTAAATTATTTAAAGAAATTAACAGCCAAAGCCACCATCAGCATGACAATAGAGACAGTCACAGAACCCGCAGAGCTCCTGACATTTCTCACTGCAGTAAGCAACTGGACAGCCGCGTTGTTACCCCATTCCAAGTTGGATATACTAGTAGACACGACATTCACAGCAGCAGAGAATGAAGAACCTAGTGCGATCTGGTTTCTGTATACCCAAGATTGGAACTGAAACAAATTAATTGAGAAACTGTAAAACTATTTTTTTTATTTTTTTTTTTTCAAACATTGAACAAAATACAGGCTTGTTCAGATACTTTCCAAAGTATAGCGTAGTATCCATACTATGCTATAAAATGTAACCATAGGTAAGATTTGATTTTTTGTTACAGTAACTTAGTTCGCTTATACAGTCATATACATTTGATTAAAAGATTTGATTAAAAGTTAGGATAGTAATTTTTAATGTTACCGATCATTAGATGAGAAATAAAAAACTTATGTATCAAGTGGCACGTCTCTACTGGTCAAGATTATGTAAGGACATGATGAACAAGGCTTGAACTAAAAAATTTCTCCCCTGGCAACAATTAAGAATTTTAATTTGTTAAAAGTAGATTCTAATCCTTATTCTTATTAACACCATGACTTGATGTCATTAATAACGCTAGCTTTCGCCCGCGACTCCTCTGTCCTCTACATCCATTCCAATTTTTTTCGAAATCCCTTCAGCTGTTTAGGCTACAAACTCTAATAAACATCCATCCATCTAAACTTTTTCATTAATAATTAGTATGATTTTAAATCTTATGCTCCTACCTGTGAGATATGTTGGAACTCCCTCATAAATCCTGGCAGCGCATTTATGCAGATATCGAGTCTCGCAGGACCACCATAACTGAAACAAATATTTATTTTAGAGCACAATAATTATTTATCGATTGTTTTTTAACCGCCTCAATGAAAATCATTCGATTATTGGGTAATAATCTTTCATACTCACGTGGTGCGGATATCATTGAAGTAGTTGTAAAGGAAGTTGAGCACAATCTGGAAGTTCTCGCGGTTGCCTTGTAGCGCGTACTGGAATGCATTAGTACGGTCGTGGATGCGTATCTTGTCGTTGTACATAGATTGCTGAAAATAGCTGTGAAAAAAAAACAAAATGTCAAGTAATGATTCACGATTTTTTTCTGATTTTTATGAACTCAAAGAAACTTTATTTAATCCTAATACTTATTTCACTATCTTCATTAATTATTTGCTATTTATTTACAAATTATCAGGAGAACGCAAAATTGTAACAAAAACTCTTAACCTCAACAAAGAATCGTATGGTTAAACCAGAAGTTTACTAATAATAAATAGAAAGGGAACTACTCTAGTTTGATCCTTACTGTTCCAGAGAAACCCTGTCCCTAGTGCAGGCGAGGGTACGCAGCATGACGACCATATCAGCCGTGTTTTCGCTCTCGTTGTATTTCCTGAAGAGGAAATCGTAGTCGCTGCTGTTGCCGTGACGCAGCCCGGTGCAGTATACGTAGCGACGTGCGTTTACTGGAACCCTGAAATAATTACAATTTGTTAATAGAAAAGCATGTTGATTATTCTAGAAAAGTAAATGTGCGCGCACACTTTTGACTGAACTATGACACAATTGCTTAGTCTCGCTTTGATATGAGCTAATAAGGAGCGCAATACTCGATTTTTAGTTGGGCAACTAAACAGTTGATTGGGCTGCCAAACCGACAATTGCACAATTGTTGTACGATAGTTTAATCAAAGGTGTGCGACCGCTCTATAGCTAAAAATATTCTTGCATACTATTAATATACGAGGACACTTACAGGTTGTTTTCATTTTGTCTGAATGCACGCCACTTAGCAAGACTGTCGGCAACGCAACCTTCGTGTCCCATGTTGCAGGCGTAGTTGAGAATTTGCATGCGGTTAAGGATCGTAGAAGTGGAGTCTGTAGTACGCTCTTCATAACCCAAATGACTGATAGCAGATTCCATGAGCTCCATTAAATAGGCCTGTAAATAAGAACTAAGTTATGAATTCTAACATGACTAGGAATTATGATTTTTTTTAAATAATAAAAGAAGCCAAACGAGCGGCGCAAACACCAAGGTGATCAACGACGTCCATGGACATCCGCAACACCAGAGGAACAACAGATGCATTGCCGGCCTTCGAAGAAATGGTGGGCTCACTTCTCGAAATTATTAGCATACTTACACTGAACTCTTCGAAAGCAACAGGCAGATGTTCCAGTCTAGCTCTCATCCAGTCAAGCTGTGAGAGGGCGCCTGCCCACACGTAGTAGTCAGTCTCATCCTTCAGGAACGACAGGACGTCGAAAGCACGGTTTACGTTGATAACGCCAGCACGGACGAAGTATAACACGTCATTCACAATCTAGACACAAAAAGAAAATTTAACATTTTCAACGCCAGTAAATATCTATGTACAAATTTACATAGACAATAAAAAACTTGCCTGTGCTCTGTTCAACTTGTGAATACTAGTTCTGTTTCTACGCAAATGAGAAGCGATCATTTCCCAATTATGGTCATCATAATTGACACGATAAAGACCTTGAAAAAATAAAGAGAATGTTAATATTTTATACAAATTTAATGCAATGAAATAAAATACTAGTCGATTAGTTACCAGATTGGGCTATGTTTAATATGACCCAGTGATGTCCGGGGTCTTTGCGGATGGTGGTGGACTCCGTGGTCATGACTAATCTGGGTCTCGTGTTCTCAAAGTTCATCTCAGCGCTATGTGTCCAAGAGATAGGTATTTGCCAGATGGTTAGATTCGGCGTGCCGCTCAGTTGGAAGCGTTGCTACAATAAAGAAATTTAAAATTACGTGTAAGGTCAAATCATCTCTCTTCTTTCTTAAATTATCGTTTCATTTGCTCTTTTTCCTGTGATAATGAAATTTAAGTGTTATAAACATTAGAAGCGTACCTGAGTCAGTGTAACTTCACCGCTAGTCATGTTAACGTAGACATTGACGACAGGGGAGCCTGGGTTCTGGACCCAACTTTCGAACACTCGGCCGATATCGATATTGGGGAAGTCTCTTGCGAATGTCGGGTCTTGAGACACTGCTGTTCTGAATGCAGCGTACATATCTTCGGGATAACCAATGCCATAAGCACTGCAAGTTTTAAATAAATGTTTAGACATGTTGCCCTTTAACAATAGTTTAAACATGGTTACGTTTGCGGAACTAAACCTAATACAATTTACTATTTTACAGATAGCAGTGAAAACAATTGACTACTTACTTATTTCTCAAGTAAATTCTAAGAGCGTTTCTGAAGGTGTTAAAACCAACGAAATGCTCGAGAGTCTTCAATACGGATGCACCTTTAGCGTAACTCGTAGTACTGAAGTGGGAGGATACGGACGGGTTGGTCACCACTCCGGTCCAGTTCATGGGAGTTGCGCCTGCGCCAGCGTCCCAATTTAATGCGCTGTGTACATAGTCTACGACGAATTGGTCGTCTAATTCTAGAGATGCATCCGCCTAAAACATTATGAATAGATAAAGAACATGAAAGAAATATATCTGCGTAAGTTACAATGCTATAAGTCAATCGTATACTTACATAGTGAGCGCCGAAGTATTCAAAGAAACTGGCGAAAGATTCATTGAGCCACAAGTTACTCCACCAGAAGCAAGTCACCAAGTTACCGTACCATTTGTGGGCGAGCTCGTGAGCCATGATTGTTGCAATGAAGATTTTGTTGTTCAAATTAGTGTGAAGAGGATCATACAATAAGTAGGCTTCCCTGGAACATGGTATTACAATTAGGAAATACTAATACATATCTTGGGAGATTTTCGTAAGCATACTGTCTTCTTACCTGTAGTTTACCATTCCCCAATTTTCCATAGCACCTGAAGGGAAGTCGGGCAAAGCAATGTGATCATTTTTCATTGGCTGACCTTGACCCATAGTATAATATCCAATGTCAAAGTATTCATCCAGTTTATCGGTAATTCTCAAGCCAATGTCAGCAGCATATGCGTGCTGGTTAATAGGGCCTTCTCTAGAAATGATCTGGAAAGGCTTGCTGAGAGTGCCAGTCAAGTTTGTCGCCACGAAGTCACTGACGTGGAATGCCACGAGGTATGCAGAGACTATTGGGGTCGGAAGGAATGTTTCGCGTACCCGATTAGCTGAAATTCTGTGAAATAGATTAAAAAATAGGTTAAGATTCACAAAATTAATTTAAAAAATAATAATATTTGAGAAAACTTGTTACGTACATTTGAGTTTCATTGATATCCATGTTAGAGAAGGATGGTCTGAGACTTCTATCTCTTGTGATAGATATAACGAATCTTGATTTGAATTGGGGCTCATCGAAACAGGGGAAAGCTTTTCTCGCGTGGAAAGGTTGGAACTGAGTAGTAGCGTATTCCCTAAAAGAGAAATTAATTTAGTTTATTTCCGAAAAACTTAAAAATATTGAAGTACATTTTTTCGTAATTTGAAAAAAGCACAGACTATCAAATCATTAACACTAATTATACCTTTTCTGGGTTCCATAGTAGTAGTAACCTTTGTAAAAACCACGGTCTATGGGATTTTCATTGATGCGACCCAAGTAACTGACGGTAATAGTATAGCGTCCAGGTGCGACAACTCTTTCAAAATTAATCTTTAAGATCTCGAAATAAGAATCAATTTCAAATGGACTGGTAGAGTTCAGTGGAACTGGTCGGCTGGTCGCGTCAATAACATTGACTCCTTGAATCGATACTACGTTTTGATGTAAGACAATTTGTGTGAGGTTTTGTCGCACCTAAAAATATTACAATATTTATCAAAAATGATAAAAATAATAGACTATGTTTAAGAAATCTTGAATTTTTGACATGAAAGCAACGGATCAAGAAGATATAAAGCGGGCGCACACCTTTGATTAAACTATCGGACAACTGTTGTGCGATTGTCGATTGTTTCGCAGCTAATTCAACTGTTTAGTCGCATAACTAAAAATCGAGTAAATGCGCACCTCCATATAAGCTCATATGAATCAAAGCGAGACGAAAAATTGTGCTATAGTTCATACAAAGATGCCCGCGCTCTTAAAAAGTTTCTATGTCCAATAGTAGACTAGTAAACTAACATCGATTTCTCTGAAATGTCATAAGATAAACTAGTAATATATTGTACTTGAACCATATTCAAATGTGTCATCGATACACTTAATTATTATCAAATGTACTGTTAATCATGATAAAAATGTTTCGCTTCATTGCTTTATCATTATAATGATATTCTATCTTAATCTATGTCATAAGGAATTAGTGCGGTCGGTACTGCAGTGCTTAGTGTTTATTGTGAAATTTCAAATCAATAATTTTGTGATATCATTTTTTGGATCGATACGACCGCTTGAAGATTACATCAATTTATGTTTTACGATACTAGTAATATTTATTACTATAAGGATATTTGTAAATGTTTCTTTCGATTACAAACAATGTATTTTAATTTAAATAATTTTTATCATCATCATCTTCCTAATCCTACTCTCATAAGGTCGGCGCAACAGGTTTTTGTCCTCCACATAACTCTATCATACGTCATCTCAACCATCACTCCCTTTTTGATCATGTCACCTTTCGCGCAATCCATCCTCTTTCTAGGTCTACCTCTACTGATGTACCACACTCAAAACTTTCTCCTTGTAACTCGCAGTTTTAAATATTTTTTATCAAGTTTTAAAATGGGTTCAAATGTTAAAAATTTTAATTATCCAACAACGCCATCTATTGCGTTATTAAGATAATGTTAAACAACTTTTTTTAAAACAACGCCATCTGTTGTTGTATTATGATATTATTTTAACCAACTTTTATAGAAACAAAAAATACTTACATCAACAACGAGTTGCACCAAACCATTAAATCTGGATTCAGACAAATAAACATCTAGATCTACAAAGATATCTGACGGTTGAACGATATCTAAAAGTCTGTATTTTGGTTCCGCAACATTTGTATTGTATTCTAGATATTCGAAATTCGATCTAAACTCCAAAGGATCTGCGCTTACAAATGCTACTAAAAATAAAACTAACGGCACCATCATTTTGAGATCTGAAAAAGATTTACACTTTAATATAGAGGTGATAGGGCGTACCCTTCATTATTCCGATTTACGATCGTACTAAATTAAACTCTTAAATTAATTTTCTATCATCCTCAAAACATCGTTATTTACTAAAACTATTGTCCAACATTTGAAGTATTAGAAAAGGAGGATCTTACTAATATTATAAATGCGAAAATTTAGATGAATGGATGTTTGTTAGAGTTTGTAGCCTAAACGGCTGAACGGATCTCGATGAAATTTGTCATAGACGTAGAGGATAGTCTGGAAGAACACGTAGGCTACTCAATTTTGTTTTTTTTTAAATCCACGCTGGCAAAAGAGATTTTTATAACCAATAGTTGGTCAATTATTGAATAGATTCTATCATGTTCAATAACTTACGACACAAAATAATATACTATCAGTAGAAGTTAACGTGGAAATTTATTTGTAGGACACTCAATATTATCACAATTTATCTATTCATTGTTAACGGTAGCTAAGCTGTTTTACCCTTAACGCGGACTCATTGATAAACATTTCAAGAATAAATAGAAAAGAGAAAGAAAATAATGATTATTAACTCTAAAAAGTACTTTAACATCAAAATAACAATAAGTATGTTTAATTTATTCTTTTGTCTAATATAAAAGTGGCCTTGTACATTTATTATTTGCATTAATTACTATATTAAAACTTACCCATGACGGCCACGGAGACGCAAGTGACCGACTAGAATGGCATAATTTTTATGTTGTATCTTACTAATTATCGAATTTTATCTATTTACCTATAGCCGTATTTGAGACTATAAACTTATCAAAAGCACGCGTATATCAAGGTATAGCGTAATCTCTTGATTAGTTTTATGATTAATTATTTTTATTAAATCGTGACAAAACAAAAGTATATCCGTCCGTAAGTTTGTGTAACATTTAAGAATGCTCGAAACATTTAGAAATATAAAATTCTGATGATACTCAAATTATTGTATCAACTGTTAATGTTTTTTAGTAAACTAAATAAATTCAATAACTTTTTAGATCGCCATTTTAAATTTGCCAGTACATTTATTTAAAATTACCAACAGATGGCGGTAGGTGTAACGAAAATGAGAAAGCTATTGTAATTAAATGTTTATTTTACAATAATCTGTGGTAGTTTTCCTTACTAATTTAATATTTTTTTGAAGATATAGCAATTTCTTTGTAATTAGAAGATTTTTTTTATTTAATAGAAGTGAAGCCATTTTTACGACACACTATTCTCAAGAGAAATCTCTTTCAACTCAATGGATATCTTAACTTATGTCATTAACTCAAGGATAACAATTTTAAGTTCAAATTACTTTCTTTAGTAATTAAAATAAATAAATGTATGTTACAACATCAAAGAAGCCGATGATAAAATAAAAATCCGGTATCGCCTTAAAAAAGTGAATCAGTGTTCAAATTAATCACCACGTTATGATTCATATATTTGAGTTTAATTTTCATAATATATTTTCAGTAAGTTTAACTAATAAAGATAATTAAAAGTGCTTTCTATTATGTCAAAAATGTACAAAATATATTCTTGTAGTTAAAATCTACTCTATATCATACTAATATTTATCCTTATATCTTACTAATAATATAAATGCGAAAGATTAGATGGATGGATGTTTGTTAGAGTTTGTAGCCTAAACGGCTGAATGGATTTCGATGAAATTTGACATGGATGTAGAGAATAATCTGGAAGAACACATAAGCTACTTACTTTTGATTTTATTTAATTCCACGCGGACGGACTCGCGGGCGAAAGCTAGTTTTTATCATAAATATCATATTCATTATATGAACGTACGGCCTCTCTTTTACGCAGAGTTCGGGAGAGTACCAACAACATCCTAAGAGGGCTTAGTGAGAAGCCCGACTGCCCGATGATGGGGCACTGGCGGCGCGTACATATGCGCGTAGCCGGCATCGTGTCCCCTAGATCGTTTTAATTTTAGTTTCTCCTTTTTCTTTATATGTGTGTGTGTAATGTAATATAATATGTAATTCTTCTGTCTATGTAATATAATATGTAGTGTTCCTGTAAATATCATATGTGTAATATTCTGTTACATGAATTAAATTAATTATTATTATTATATGAACTGCTTATGAATGTTATAATAAAACCAGACAAGTAATAATTTACAAATGTACAAATTTTATTGGACCCAATAATACACTATTATGCCATAATATTAACGACAACAGCAGCAAGTAGAGTCACAATACTGACAACCGCAGTACTAGCAGACCCAGTATCATTCTCCTCTTCTGGTGTCACCACAGGTGGCTCTTCAACTGGAGGAGGTACTACTTCCTCTTCCTCACCAGCGTCAATATCTTCAATAACATCTTCTTGGTAACCACTTTCGAAATAACGTTCCATCTCAGGAATACGCCGCGAAGACCATTGGAGGTTCGTTCTTGTAGCAGCGATGCCGTTTACACCGGTGTTATATGCAGCCCCTATAGCTTCACGGTTAGCATCAAGCCATGCTTGGAACTAGAAATAATAAATAATAATGCATTATCTATATCTATACTAATATTTGTATTTTTGTATGTATTGAAATAACTCAAGAACTACTGGGACAATTTTATATATTCTTTCACCATTAGAATGCACAGTTATCGCTGAGTAACGTTTTTAAATTTCCCGTGGAAGAAGTCGAGAGCAACAGCTTGTTAGGTATATTCTATTACATGATGTGTATTTCAGTACCTTTTCCAATTTCTTGGCAAATTATAATTTGAATTTAGATAGTCTTTTTCATCAACTTAGTTTTATTACCTGAGAGATATGCTGTTCATTGAGAAGTCGAGCCGCAATGTTGCTTACTGGTGTTGAAACGCTCCCCATTCTGAAAATACCACAAAATTTATTAAGCTATTCTCCTAAATTTATTTTCTGCCTTTTTAATTATCATAGATTCCGTATGTAAATTAACTTACGCTGCAATAGTTCTATTAACGTTGTTCCGCAACCACTCGAACATCCTCATTGTGTTAGCTTCGTTCCCGGAGACAGCAGAATTCATTGCTGTACTGTAATCTTGTTCACGTACTGCATCATCAAGGGTCACAATAGCATCTAAGTATTTGAATAAGCTCGCCTGACTGTTTGTACAACCGGCCGCTTCTAACATCACGACCTTTTCACTGGCAAGGTCCTCAGCTAAATAGCGGTTCCAGAAGTAATCGAAATCAGCATCGTTACCGTAACGGAGACCAGTACAGTATACCCAAGGTCGCATGTTTGCGGGAATGCTGAAATTGAATTTGAAATACCTTTTAAATAACCAATAAGGGCGAATAGTTGTGCAACTAAACAGTTGAATTGGCAGAGAAACAATCGACAATCGCACTACATGTGTGCAAAAGATAAGTCAAAGGTGCACCCGTTCTAAACGACTGAACCTATTTTGACGAATTAGATGTCATTCGATTAGAATTCTTCCCCTTAGTTTAATAGATGTACTGCCGCTGCGAAGTTTTGGTTGTTTTAACAAATTCTATAGTTCTATACTACAATACAGGCATTGCCTAGAGTGGGCATCACCAGATTAATCGTATATTAACCACAAATCGTAATTATCTTTTAGTTGGTATAACTGTTATTGTAATTGTTAATCTCTTGTTTTTCAATAAAATTATTTCTATTTCTATGTCTATTTCTAATACTAATGATTCTTTACTTACAATACACCTGCTCTCCAGTTTGCGAAGTTCCGTCTTGCTTCTGTCACGCACATATTGTGTTCATTGTTACACAGGAACGAGAGTGCGTACATACGAAGTAAGTTGTCCATGTACGTATCTGAGGGTAGCTCGAGGTAACCCAACCTTCTTGTTAGCGCAGCACTTAGTTGTATAATATTATCCTAAAACATCATAAAATACAGAATGCAAATAGACCTTTAACTGCCCACTCATACCATTTCCACTTTAAGTCTTTTAAAAAGAATCTGCAAAATTATGTCGAATTAACTGTGAGCTGATCGTCTAATTTTGCTATTGCATTAAAAAAAGCATTCATTGTTATAATTTTCAACCAGTGTCAATCTAAATTTGAATGAACTATTGACCAACTATTTAGTGTCACTTTGATTCCTATAAGCGCACATGGATTTGGGCACACTGCTCGGTTTTTAGTGTGCAACTAAATAGTTGAATTGGCTGCGAAACAATCGACAATCGCACAACAGTGCGATAGTTTAGTCAAAGATGTGCGCCCGCTTTAAATATACATAAAATCCTTCGTCCATCACACTCAAATGTTTTTCATTAGGTCACTTACCTGCAACCTTTGCAGTCTCGTGGTATCATGAGCAAGACGTCTAAGAACAAAATTGAATCCATTAATAGCAGCTATCCAAGGGCCGTACGAGCTCTCGAATTCAAGGAAGGACAAGATGTTGAACACTCTATCATAGCTCTTAGTGCCTGCTCTACCAAACGCAAACAGATCATCCACGATCTGAAAAATAATTATAATGTCTTCGTTAATTACAAATGTCCTTATTTTACCAATAGATTATCATACTAATATTATTAATGTGAAAGTTTAGATGGATGGATGGATGTTTGTAGCCTAAACGGCTGAACGTATCTCGATGAAATTTGGCATAGACGTAGAGAATAGTCTGATCAGTTTTATTTTTTTAATCCCACGCGAACGGAATCGCGGGCGAATGCTAGTTAAATTATAAATTCCTGGTCTTCGCCTCTCTTATAATTTCGAATATTTTCCAAACCTCTGGTAGTAAGCTGCTATCGTAAGCATAGTATTCGCTGTAGTATTCAGTAATAAAACTACAAGTAGAGTGCATCATTTAACGACATAAAATTACATCAGAACGTACCTGAGCTCGATTCAGTTCATGAATAACAGTTCTATCAGAACTTCTTAAATGTCTTGTGAGGAGAGCCCAGTTGGTATCATCGTAGTCAATTCTGTAGAAACCTGCAAATCAAATATGAAAGTTTGATTTATTGTAGTACAAATGTAATAGTAGAATTTTGATAGAGAGATATTAGGACCTTAGCAAAAACATGTTGTCCCTGTCTATCTATCCTTATTTTCATCAATCAAAAACAAATGTCATCAAAACAGTTAACATTTTAGATAACCTTTAAATGCACCGAATACACGTGTAGATATCGATAATTTATGATATTTATCTTCAAACATTGACGTACATAATCGCAATTGAAAATTGTTTTGAAGACCACTTAACAATGTTTAAGCCGTACACGTTTTTTAAAACGATTATTGCCTGACTTTTTCATACACGCTATCAAATCTTTGAAGTAATGCTGGTACCAGATTCTTGCTTGTTGAAAAGCACCCATTCCAGTCCAGTGCTGCCTCTGTCAATCACAGTGGTGGATGCTGATATGATCAATGACGGCTTCAGATTCTCGAAGTCGGGTAACGCAGCTCTAGTCCAAGTAATGGGGATGTGCCAAAGACTTGGGTGTTCTGACACTCCGGTGTTACGTTCCCAACGAGTCTAGAATACAAATAAATTGATTTATAAATAGATAATTAGCATAATGATAAAAAAATCATGAGAAACCTGCACGAATTTGCTAATATGTATGAAGTCAACCCGCACGCTGGCAGAGGAATTATCTCAGGAAAGCCCTTCAGTGGTGTTAGATATAAGCTGACAAATCTTAATCACCAGCTCATTATATGTCCCCAATGAGGGGTGCGGAGCCTACCCCAAAGGATGACCTTTCTTTATAGGATCTGACAAATCAACGTAGATTAAATTGCTGTCATGAAAAAGAAAATAAAACAAATGATCTAACCTGGGTTACAGTCATTTGTCCTGTTCTCTGATTAACAATGACTGTTAGCAGTGGATGACCGGCCTTCTCTGACCAGGATCTGAAGTAAGTGTCAATGGTAATGTCGCCGTATGCCGACAACGCATTGTCTTCTGCTGCAGCAGCGTCCAGGTTTTCAAACAAATGATGGGGTTCAGCGACATCGAATTTCCTGTTAAAGTTAATGTTTTTTTTTACAAACATTGATGCGTAGTAAAAATTAACAAATTAAGACGTTCATTAAATGAAACCAGCTATCATTTAAATTTGACGATTCAAATATTAATTAAAAAGTTAATGCTCGTAAGTGCTTCTGCTTAACATAACTATTCACCAATTCAATCATCACCTCCTATATAAAAATCAATCTATGATTAATTGTATTTACCATAAAGCTACATAGATTGGAATACCTGGCATTCAAATAATAACGTAGACCCTTAACAAAGGTGTTGTCTCCAAGCAGATGCTGCGTCATTCTGATGATCGAGGCTCCGCGGGCGTATGTAATGGAAGAGAAGTGAGCGCTAACACGAGACGGGCTGTTCACATCAGGATCGGTAAGAGCGTGTGCCGTATCAATAGAGTCTGATATCATAACTGTCTGCAGTTGCTCCACGATAAAACGAATATCGTATCCCAGCTCTGGTGCGACCTGAATTCAATTTATGACAATCTTAGAAGCAGACAGAAAACATCACAAATAAGTAAGAAGAAATTAAGAAAAAATCATACCGATTGTGTAAGGTAATACTGGTAAAATCTGGCGAAACCTTCGTTAAGCCAAAGATTGTCCCACCAGGCACAGGTGACGAGATTACCGAACCACATATGAACAACCTCATGAGAAACAATATTTGCCACTCGCTGCCTATAGAAGTTATTTGAGTTCAGAGGATCAAACAGTATTAACGCTTCCCTGAAAATACAATATAAAGTAAGACAAACAGAAAAAAACTTTAATTGGAATACTTTGCAGGTGACAAAGAACTGTTTCTTAACATACCTGTACGTCAATAGACCCCAATTCTCCATAGCACCAGCTGAGAAATCAGGTATGGCAGCTTGCTTCATGTTTATATTTTCAGCCATTGTGAAGTACGGAATCTGGGTGTAACGCTCCATAGCATCCAAAAGTAGTTCTCCGATTTCAAGAGACCAATCTCCGGTCGTGCCAGCATTGTCGCGAGCGTAGATATCGAATGGTCGAACAGTATCGTTGTTAGATGCGACCACAACATAGTGAGATACGATGAAAGCAAGTAAATAGGTAGAAGTCAGTGGTGTAGTCCAAAACGTTTCTGCTATTCTTCCGTTTAGTGGCCTAAAAAAAAATCAAAGTTATTTAAAAAATGCAGATAAAACAAATAATCCACGTGTGTTTTAACTTTAAAATAATCAAAAGAACTTTTTGAGAACATCTAACTAACTAATTGTACTATATTTACAACGGTACATGCAAAAAAAAAATTTTTAGATATGTGTAGTTAGATAATATATTGCAAGGTATTGTTAAATTAAATTAGATAGATAAGAAGTATAATTAAATGTCAACTACGCATTTAAAGAAGGACAATACACTTATGTTTATAATTGTAGACATATATCTACGACAGAAACTGACCTAAACTACTTCAAAGATAAAGATGTAACTTACTGTCCCGTTCTTCTAATGGGCATGTTAGAAATAGTTGGGCTGAAATTAGTCTCCCTCACTATAGTTATGTCAAAGGTGGCTTTGAAGCTTGGCTCGTCGTAGCACGGGAACGCCTGGCGAGCGTGGCCTGGTTGGAACTGAGTTGTACCCATCCATCTAAAAATGAGATTCGTTAATGTGGTCGACTTTGTTTTCTTACGTTTAACATATTTGACGAATAACAACGTATACAAAATCTTATCAACGAAATATCTTACCTTCTTCCATAACTATCGTGGTAAAAGCTTCTGTAGAATCCTCTCATATTGGTCTGCAGGTTGCCATTAAATGTTAATTGCACTACGTACTCCTGACCAAGCTGCAGAGGCGTGTTTGTACGAATCCTAAGGAAGCTGAAGGGCATCTCGCAAGTAGGTGTTTGTCCTGGTGTTGCGATCTCTACATTATTGTGCAGAACACTTAAGGAATTGATGGTTATATCATTACAATGCATAACGATTTCATTGACATTGGCCACAGTTGGGCTGATATAGATAGTGACTTCTCCATCAAAAGTAAACGGTCGTGTATTAATTGGAACGATGTCGAAGTAAGGAGTTAAGGAGACTTCGTAGTGACGGGGGCGTGTCGTCGTAGGAAGTCGGTATGCTGGATCTCTCAAAACCCTATAGAACTCGTCCCATTCTTCTTCAGGCACAGGAATCGGACTTAAACTAAGGGTGCCCTGGACTAGGACAGTGCCCACAAGTAGCAATAACCAGCGACCCTGTACAAATTTACAAACGTCTTTATTCTCAATCTCCTATACATTTTGAAAACAAACGATGGATTTATTTAAATTTAGAACACAACGTGACTTACCATGATCGTGCTGGTTCACAATGACAAAAAATTAGCTAGAATTATTCCCTTGTATCGTTTTATCTTAATCTATTTCATTCCTAATCTGTTTATCTTATCCAAATTGGTCATTACATATTATAAAAGTTGAAAAGAATTATAATATTTTGTCCGTAGCTCAACTTATATTAGCAAATTACACAATTATCTCAAATTTTATATTCGATAATTGAAGCACGTTTTCCTTATCCTTGATAGAGTACTTAAAATGTGGTAACAATACTTGATTTTAACTTCTAATGCCGATTACAATCAAGTCAAAATGATGTTTAGAAAATTTAATTACGATTGTCTATACGCTCATTACAAGACTATAACTGTAAACTTCTAGTCGCCCTTATTCTATTACCTCTTAATTGTTCACTTTTATCTTTAATAATGATATTGATAGAAATATTTACTTATCAGTACACTGATAATCCTACGTCGCCTTCATAGAATCCTTATTTTGCGTCAAAATATGTCCAATAACATTTATAAAAGAAAACAGGATTCACCAAAGGTTTTAAAAATCTATCTACCGACTAGGGCAGTCAGCATAGGCCAGCAGACATCTTAACCCTGGATTCGATATTTTTTTCATTCTTCTTTATGTGATTACAGTCAATTTTAGTTTTTTTTCTTGATATTTTAGTAACTAGATTTTATACCCTTTTTACCAACCCTCAAAATAGTCAATTATGTTCTATTTCATACATAATGAGACATTGCTCGGAAACCTGTTTCAGAAAGACACCTTAATCTGTTAACATTTTGGATTAAATCTTCTTCCTTTTTAACATTTCTAGCTTCTTTTAACAGGTTATTTGTTTTGAGCCAGTGACCAGAAAATGATTTAATTATTGTATTAACTTAAACACTTGATAGGAAGAACAAATGAGAAATAAAAGAACATTTGAGACTTAAAAAAATTGTATTTACATAAGACTCTAAATAGTAGGACACATAAATATTAAAAATAATTTCTAACAGAATGTAATTCAAAGAACGAAATTAACAACAACTAATAAAAGAGCAGATAAGGAGACGAATGACGTCATTGCTGATCCTGGTAAAGCAGGTGTTGTTGGTTCAACGACAGGTGGCGCTGTGACTGTAGATACGGTCGTGACAGGAGCTCTTGTAGTCGTAGTGAGCACAATTGGGGAATCACCATTAACGAAGTAGTTGTTGAAATCACTGGTTACTCTCGCCGCCCAGCGAATGCTTTCTCTTGAAGCTTCCGCACCATTGTACACGCTCTGGTAATCGTCTCCCAAGGCTACACGGTTCTGGTTCGCCCAATTTTGGAACTAAAACAGCATTGTTATACATTAATATTATCTCAATCACTAATCACTATAGTTTGTCTGTTATTATAATGTCTTGAGTGTAAAATGCAACATGAACATATGAGAATAAGTGAATTAACAATAATTACCTCTACGATTTCAGCTTCAGTTCTAAGTCTTGAAGAGATGTATGACAAAGGAATGGAAGCAGATCCAAAACTGTAAGAAATAAAAGAATAAGAAAATTTTAAAACATATTGTGCGCAGACCAGCAATTTAAAACTTTCAAATAATACTTACGCATTGATGACGGTCTGGAGATTGTTTCTGATGAAAGTAAAAACGATTTGAGTATTGCCCTCATTGCCTGAGGTGGCAGCATTCCACGCTGTCGTGTAATCTTGGGGACGTACTATGAAGTTGTCTTGTACAATAGCAGTCAAGAGTCTGAAGAAAAAAATATGAACATTAACACAGCTAAGAGCTAACATCAGTTAATACACGCTATCCTAACATCAACAGAACTCTAGATTTTTGTAAACTTATGCCTAACCTTTGCATGACTTTTTTAAACACTTTTAAATGCAGGCTGATTTGATTCTAGTTTTAAATTGTGTGTCCTTTCTCTTAAGAGAAACTTTATATTTATTATTTCAGTTCTTTTGTATGGCTTTATTTTCGACTTACGTGTTGAGGGAGGCAGCATGTGGAGTACAACCTAAGACGGAAAGAAGCAATATTTTCTCTGTGTAGACGTTGTGGTTCTGGAAACGGGTCCAGAGGAAGTTAAAGTCGGCCTGGGTGCCATCGCGTAGGGCGTTGCAGTACACCCAGTTACGGCTGTTTACTGGAACCCTGAAGTAAACACATCGATCAAAAAACAATAGTCAAAAAGGATGGAAAATTATATTTTGGAACACAGACCTAGAATCAAGATTTTCAAATGTTTAGAATGAATTATCAAGTTCCGTCCAAATACTTACTCTATACCATTATTAATCAGAGAACGGAATTGTGTGTTAGCGGCAGTTCTGCACTCCTGCACATTCATTGCACATAGCACAGGAGCCAGTTGGTATCGAAGGTAGGAGCGCATGAACGACTCGTTTGCTTGAGGGTAGTAGGTCAGACTTCTGATCGCTGTAGCGGACCATCTCACCATCAAAGCCTGCAAACACATTAACAATGACTTCTAGATCGGGTACATTCAAAAGTTCTACTGTCACAATTATAACAAAAGTCAAAAACAAGAAGCTCAACTTCCTGTTCAATACATACAGTATGAAACGACAACTTACCTCCGTTTGAGCCAGCAATGGTGTGCCCCTAAACCTGTTCCTAATCCAATTGAATCCAGTGAGGGCGGCAACCCATGGAGTGTATTCTGTCTCGTTCTCCAAGAAGGAGAGAATGTTAAAGGCCTGGGTGTAGTTCATAAGACCAGAGCGGGCAAATTGGAATACGTCATTCACGATCTGAAAACGAACTTGATTATAATATGGACAGGCTAACAAAAAGAACATAAATTTACGATAATTTCACTAATGAAGTCTGATTGTACACAGATAATGGACTTTAAATACCTGAGCTCTGTTATATTCGTGGATCTGAAGCCTGTCTGGTCCTCTCAAAGCAAGCGTAATGAGATTCCAAGTGTAATCATCGTAAAGAACTCTGTAGAAACCTACAAAAGTTAAATAGAAACATTAAATTTCAATGTACCAAGTCCAAGATAGAAAAAAGAAGTCTAGTGAACGTTATATACCTGTTTGCTGTTTATTGAATATAACCCATTCATCACCAGTGGAGTTTCGGTTGATGATAGTAACAGCCTTGCGAATAATATGTGTTGGTTTGGTATTAATAAAGTCACGGTTGCTGGCAGTCGCAAAGGTGATGGGTATAATCCAATTGGTGTTAACAGAAGAATAGCCAGTGTTTATGTTGAAACGGCGCTAGAAAGTAAATTCAAAATTAAAAACTACGTCATCTGATTGACTTCAGCTACTTGTATGTTATAAGTAAGTTTAGTAGACATCGACATACATCTTACAAAATTTTTATAATATAAATTTGAAAATGACACCAAGTAGATGAAAAATAAGTAATTAAAAATAAGCATGAATTCTTTCAATAAACAATACCTGAATGATTGTCATGTCACCGTTCTGATGATTAACAGTCACAAGTAAAACTGGATGACCAGACTGTTCAGTCCAGCTTTCGTAATATTCGATAAAGTTGAAATCAGTTCCATAAGCTGCCAATGAACCAGATGATATACCGACTGATTCCAAGTTACGGAACAAGTCTATTGGTTGAGCAGTTGAATATGCCCTGTGTAAAAAATGATCCATAAATATTAATTCTATAATTTAAAAATATACACATGATAAAATTCAGACTGGGACGGCCAAATGACTTACTTCTCTACCAAATAGTTGCGTAGACCTTCTCTGTGGACGTCAAATCCAAGGAAATGTTCCGTCATTCTGATGACAGCTGCACCTTTATTGTATGAGATTGTTGAGAACATAGTTCTGACAGCAACCGCACTTCCTATTCCAGGAGTTGTAAGTGGGTGAGGATTGTCGGCAGCATCAGCGAGCAACGCCGTGTGTACTTGCTCTGTTATAAACCTAGTACCTAGACCCATGTAATCTTCAACCTGGAATGAAATGACTTGTTCAAAAGTAACTGAAAAGCTTCTGTATTGTACATTTTATTGAATTGATATTACGTACCCAGTCAGTAAGGAAATACTGGTAGTATCTGGCGAAACCTTCGTTCAGCCATAGCACGCCCCACCATTCGCAAGTTACCAAGTTACCAAACCACATGTGCGCGATTTCGTGGGAAAGGATGTATGCGATCAATTGCTTGTAGTAGTCATTGGTATGCGCAGGATCGTACATCAAATAAGCCTCCCTGTTAGAAACAAACATCTTAATGTTTGCACAGATAACTTTCAAGATAATAGGATTCTTCCCAACCGTCACCCCGCTCTGTCCTCACGTGGAGATAGATAAGAATAAAAAGTTTCATCCGTCCCACCTTTTACGACAAGGGGACGGTTGAAACTTATTTTATTTCATAAGGTTTTCATCTGTCACTTTATTAGTGATGATGGGACTAAAATGTGGGACGGATGAAACTTTTTAATCTCACGTGGGGCCAGAGCGGGTGTCGGTTCGGAATAAACTGATAATCAGGCATTTTACGCTCTGTAAATTTACCTGTAAGTTAGCAGTCCCCAGTTCTCCATAGCACCCGCCGAAAAATCTGGTATAGACGCTTGAGTCATCTTTAGGTAAGGATTCATTGACCTAAAGTTCAATGCGGTGTGGTTGTTCATCTCAGCTAGAAGTTCTTGTCCAACGTCAAATGCATATTGACCCTGGTTAGCTTCAATGGCTCCCTGTCTTGCGATTACCTCGTAAGTTAAATTACCGTTCTCTAAGACTGACAAAGAATGGTATTCGGCAACAATTAAAGCTAAGAGGTATGTAGACATCACGGGAGTTTGGTAATATATGTCATCCTGATACAACCTACGAAGGAAATAGAAAGTTTTTATAGAGGTAAAATTTATATGTATTCAAATTCAATAAAAATCTTTGGAATATGGTTCACTGCAATGGATTTCATCGAATGCTTACGTGTTCGGGCTATTGACAGTCTGTCTGATCCTAGTACAAGACCAACTCCTGTGGGTCACGGGACGTCTGATAGTAATATTGAAGGTAGCCTTGAAACTAGGCTCATCGTAGCATGGCATTGCGAAACGGGCTGCTGTTGCTTGAAACTGTGTAGTTGCCATCCACCTACGAGTATAACGTCATGTTTATTATCGCATTTACAATGTGCTGTTTAACTAAGTATAAAGATCGTTTACCTTATTGGATCCGTACTTCTGTTTTTGAACCAACTTCTGTATATTCCGTACATGTCATTCCTCAAAGGTGCTCCAAAAGCAATCGACAATGTATATCTAACAGGATTTGTCGGATTGTATTGCAGTGCACTGTTAGTTAGACTAATTCGCAAGAAATGGTACACGGAATTTAACGAGTACGTGGTAGGCTGTATAACATTGTTCAGCCTCAACACCAAAGACGAGATGGTCAAGTCGTGTCCATGAATTACAATTTCATTTACATTCGCTTGAGTTGCTGTAAGGGTGATGTCAACTGTTCCCTCGAATGTTAGGTTTGTGGTATCCACGACCCATAGTACAACGTAATTCTCCGGTCTAGTTGTGTTGGGAAGACGATAGGCGCTAGCATCGATATTTCTCTCGTCGATAGCTACCTCGTTTGAGGCATCAACATTCTCAAATATTTCGCCTTTTAACCTTTCATCGCCGAATATCGTCGATCTTGATACCGGAGGAGATTGTGGAATAGCATGGGCTACAAGGCAGGATGCCAACAGGACTAATAATTTTAGTGTCGCCATCTAGAAAAATAACGAATTTTTAATTAATGGCTTATTGACTGGCTTTGTCTACCTCATTTCAAAAATAGGATACGTTTTTTATTTGAGACTTTTTATTGTTTTATTTTTTCTTATGATAAGCGAGAATAAAGCTAAAATACATTATTTATTGATATAAGTACCTAATGATACAATAAAGATTACTCAATACGGATAATTTACCAAATAATGATAATTCTGCGTACTTGTTAAGTACATGATGAATATATTTTCTATCAGGTTTTATCTTTGATAAAATTAATCATTGTGAGCTCGTTACCTACAATTACCAGTAAACAGCGGCCTTGAGAGCTAACATAATAAAACATGTAGCTTGAGTTATTGTTAATAATAACGTTTAATAACTAATTCACTTTTATCATCATCATTATTGTCCCCTTTCCAATAAAGTATGCGAAAGAGACGAGGATTTGGACGGAGAGAGGATGGAACGAGACTTAGACAGAATTCAATTCGAATAATTCCATAATCACAACAGGTAATATTATGTTTCTTAAAATTAGTTACTTTGCTAATCTCCAAGTACTTTTCAAAGTGTTCAAAAGTTTCACATTTAAAAAGTTAAAAAGTGCAATGTAAGCTCTACAATAAAATAAAAATGCAATATTGAAAACAGCGCCATCTAGTATAACACTTTTAAAAATATTTAAGACATCTAGATTTTCTTTTTTAAAAAATGCTGTATATTTCTATTCCGACACTACAATTTAGTTCAATCCAATTTCAGTAAAAAATATTTAAAAATACGGAATACTTTAATTAACCATTCATTCGTATTACGATTTTTTTGTATATTGTGTGCTATTTGAATTATACGATAATGTAGCTGTTGCCCGCGACTTCGTACTCATAGTATTAAAGAAACCACGTATCCTACAAAAACCGTAACTATTTCCGGTATCAAAACTAACATACGAGTTCTTTCAAACTATACATTTATGTCTAATTTCATCAAGATCCATTCAGTAATTTAGGCTACAAACTAACAAATATCAATCTAAACTTTAGCATTTACATTATTAGTAAAATTAGGTTTTACTTACAGTAAGGCTGTCAGCAACTACCTATCGGGACAACCTTCCCGCCACTGGATTATAATCAAAATTTATTTGAAATATACTAACTGATTCCATAATCAATAATGGCGGGCGGATATCTATTGAAATGATATAGTAATCGGTTTTTTGGTTTAATTATCTGAATACGATAAAGTCAAGATAGTGACTAATCTATTCATGATATTTAGACGAAATATGACAATGATGAACGTTTAAAATACATTGTTTAATTTGATCGTACGTATGAACTAGAAAAAGGAAATTTACGCAGCAATTATATTTTAACAGTGGTAGTGCCCGCTTTAACATCTTAGCACGAATGGGCCGGCACGCCCGGTGTAATACCACGACCACACAGAAGACAGGCGTGAAATGGGAGCAATTCCGTGTTTCGTCTGATGAGTGTGGTGCCGGAGGCCTAATTTAAGTCCCTTTCTCTTTACCACCCTTTTCTTATAAGGAGAGGTTGGAAAGAGGAAGTGGATTTCACGGTGGAGGAGATGCATAGGAAGGGGAAATATCCTCTTTCTGTGCGTCTCCTCCTCCGTCGTATAAGGGTAGGCAACGCATCTGCAATTGCGGATGTCTATGGGCAGCGGTCGCTTCGCCATTTTGGCGGTTTCAGGTGGCCGCTAGCTCGTTTGCCACCTAATGTTATAAAAAAAAAAAGCAATATAATTAAGAGTGTTTAGTCGCGCTTTGATTCCTATGAGCTCATATGGAGACGCCCAGGCCACTCGGTTTTTAGTTGTGCAACTAAACAATTGAATTGGCTAAGAAACAATCGGCAAATCGCACAACATTTGTGCGATAGTTTAGTCAATGGTGTGCGCCCGCTTTATTATTTTACTGGGTCTTCATTTATATACTAGTTTTTGCCTGCGACTTTATCCGCGCTGCATTAAAAAAAAACTTAGTAAATAGCCTATGACCAGACTATTTTCAATATCTATGCCAAATTTCATAAAAATCCATTCTGGTGATAAGAAACATTCATAGTATGATGTGTACATCTCTTTGATTTGGACCTAAAAACCTTGGTAAATTTTTAAGTGAGGTCGTTTTAATAATGTTGGTTTAAAGACAAAATAAAAAAGTAACTTATATCAAAATGTTGAGGAAATGATATTTAAATTTGTAAGTGTTTAAAATGATAAGGCCAAGATTAAACTCCAAATTCCATTAAAATGTCGATGTCTGTCAGATTGTTAGCGGCGCTTAGGAAGAAAATGTTTAAATTCCTTTACGTCTTAGGACGATAATAAATCATGCATAATTTGTTTGGATTTTATCTAATATATATTTATCTTACTAATATTACGAATGCGAAAGTTTAGATGGATGTTTGTTAGAGTTTGTAGCCTAAACGGCTGAATCAATCTTGATGAAATTTGGCATAGGTGTAGAGGATAGTCTGGAGGAACACATATGCTACTTTATTTTGTTTTTTAATATCAGGAGGACGGAGTCGCGGGCGAAAGCTACTATTGGCATAAATGAATTATGAAGGTCATTGTTAAAAAACCCAAAGCCATCTAAATTTTCTAAATCTTTATTACATCCAATTGTTTTCCCGATAATTGGAATAGAAATTATCTCATCAACAATAAATTATGGTAGTCTTTTTTTTCTAATTTAATGACTTTCTTTATCCATGTCCAGTATTAAAGTCATTTGCTGATATTGTTATTTATTAGATCAATTTGTATTCACATTAACGTAGAATTTCATTGCTGTAACATTTGTCGGGGGCATTTCCAAAAGATGACCTAAGTTTGATGAAGAGAGGAACTGGTATTAAGATAGGCTTATTCGAAATCGTTTTTATTTTACATTTGTATATTGAAAGGGAGGCAGTAGCCCGTCTACCCCCGCCCCCAACACCTGTGCAATTGTCTTTATTAGAAGTTGGTAAACGAACAAGCGGCCACCTGAATCCGTCGAAATGAAGAAGTGACCACTGCCTATAGACTATTGCATATACAGGATATTTTCCCGTTTTATGTTTCTTCTTTACCGCCAAAACCACTCTCTTCTCAACATTTCCTCTTAATAAATGGATGAAATTGGAACGGGACTGAAATTAGGCCCCCGACAGACTGTACTCTCATCTTTTCCTTACATTTATAATAAAACAAAGACAATAGAATCAAGTCTCTACGCTTCTTTTGCATTCTAATTCTGTCGACTTAGATACCATAATCCAATCGATTTGTACTTTTGTATGTATTGAAATAATTCAAAAACTACTCTGCCGATTTTAAAAATTCTTTCACCTTTAGAAAGGTCATTTATCCGTGAGTAATATAAGCTATGTTTTTTATTAATTCTACGCGGGCGAATATACGAGCAACAGCTAGTTAATATATTTTTAAATTCTCATGATGCTAGTAACTAACTAGGAATAAAAACACAAATGTAATTCATATCGTTTATTTTTAAAAAATATTCAAAGTTAAGCTTTAATTACCGACAAACATTGAGGTGACAATTTGTTCACACGACATTAATAATATTAGATTGTAGAAAAAATATGTGACATTTTAATTAAGAATATAAGATCTAGTGATTTGGTTTAGAATATTTTTAACAGGTTTTCAATACAGACTATTTTATAGTTCACACTTAAGCCTGTTATACACCTTCAGATTCACTGTTCAGTTAACACTGAAAGTGTGTTACTGGCATTAACAGTTAACTATATGAAAAGACAATATAGCATATAGAACACGAAAAAATACTTATCATACAAAATTACATGTAATAAGAAATAATTTCTTACTTACGAATCAGAAATATTCTATTCTAACATCAAATTTATTCAAACATAAATAAATAATTATTCCATTAAGATATTTGCTCATATAAAAATATTTTAATTACCTATATTCATTAATCTAATAAAAAGAATGCTAATAACTAACTTAATTTTAAGAAATTGGTGTTTTAATAGTTTGTAGAAAGATTGGTGTCATAGCGTTATAACCTGAGTGTCATAACCTGGATGTCATAACCTGAATATCATAGCCTGGGTATTATAACCTGAGTGTCATAACCTGGGCGTCATAACCTGGGCGTCATAACCAGGGCGTCATAACCTGGGCGTCATAACCAGGGCGTCATAACCAGGGCGTCATAACCTGGGCGTCGTTACCTGGATGTTATAACCTGAGTGTCATAAGTTGTCATTCGAAAAGTACACTTAACCAGATTGTTATAGGTACAGAAGAATTATTAAGTTATACTTATTGTTCATATTTTTAATTATCTTTGAAACACTATTTATATTTCTACGGACTTCTAATTTCTCAACTTTAGATTCCTTTATTAATTATTGTAATAATAATTATTAAACGATCAATTTACAAGTACAAAGCGTTAATACTTAAGATAGTTAACATAATTGATATTATCTTAACAAATTACCACTATTATATGCATCTTTATAGTTGATAAAAACCAGACATGACGTTTTCATTATACAGCATATTTTTGTACCTACTCCTCATAAAGAAAGATTTTTTGTCAGTTTTTAAATCGTCATTGATATTAATTAATAATTCTGACGAAATCAGTTATTATTTTTCTAATAATTACTGGAACTAGAAACGATTGAGACCAAGATTCGTAAAAGTATAACTTTAAATTTCAACCTTGAACGAAATAAGTATTTAAAGAGATTCCGTGATTTTAGACAGATTAGTCGATTTCAGTTACAAAATTGCAGACAGACAAAATATACACAAGGCATGAATATTATTTATTGGTACTTTCTTTATAAGGTACTATATCGGTTTGTAATTCGATTTGAAAAAGACTTTTAAGGGTTAAACAATTATTTTCAGGACCTAAACAACAGATGGCGCTAGTAACGGACTAGCGCCATCTGTTGTTTCTTTAAAGTTTCACAACTATGCCTCGTCTATAGTATTGAATATCTGCAAAATAGTTCTTCAAAAATCAGCAATTTGAGGTGTAGTTCTATCAGCTTGTAACAACCAATCGATGATGAGTTGGTAGTTGTTCTGCGTCCAGGCGACGTTGGCGGCGGTGCGCTCCAGCACCTGCAGCAGCGGCCGGCCCAGCGCGCCGCCGCTCTGCGACACGAACCTCTGCAACTATACAAAAACGTTTATTTACATATGCGGCAATGAGGAGACGAAATAAAACACTTCACAAACCACGGGTTCTGTTCATTCGCCGGTCGACGTACAAGTTAAGCCGACTACCCTCAAATTTCACTTTAAAACTACCAACAGTTTTTACATGTACCTCGGTAGAAATTAGTAGTTTATGTTTAACAAAAATAATTGTATAAAAATAATACAAAAATACCATATAAAGACTTTTAAAATTCTATCGTCAACAATTACTAATATTATAAATGCGTATGTTTAGATGGATGGATGGATGGGTGTTAGAGTTTGTAGCCTAAACGGATGAACGGATGTCGATGAAATTTGCCATAGACATAGAGGATAGTCTGAAAGAACACATAGGCTACTCGCTTTTGTGTTTTTTAATTCCACGCGGATGGAGTCGCGGGTGAAAGCTAGTACTAAATAAAATAAAATTGCAAAATATTATTATCTATGAACTAGCTGTTGCCTGCGACTTTGTTCACGCGATTATAAGATTACCCGGATCAAATACGGCTTACAGACGGACAGACAAAAAAAATTAAATGCTATTTTCGTTATTATAAACGCAAATACATCATCTGCAAATTTTCTTTTGATATTACAGACACTCCAATTTTATTACATGTATAGATTTACTAGCGATCGCCCGCCAATTTGTCCGCGTGAAACAAACAAAAGTAAGCAGCCTATGTGATCTTCCAGAATATTCTTTACATCTATGACATTTCAGCGGTTTAGGCTACATAGTCTATACATTAATCCATCCAAACTTTGGCATTTATGATACACTAGCTTTCGCCCGCGACTCCGTGGGCTTGAGATTAAAAAAAAACAAAAAGTAGCCTATGTCTTCTTCCAGACTACCCTCTATATATGCCAAATTTTCGAAAATCGTTCAGCAATTTAGACTACAAACTCTAACAGACATCCATCCATCCATCCATCTAAAGTTTTACATTTATAATATTAGTAAGACTAGTAAGAAGTAAGATTATTTGCTTATACCTCTTCGTATTCATGAGCTTGATTCAATCTTCTTGTGACGACTTTAACAATAGAATTAAGCGTTGACACAGAGCCGACACTGGAAAAAAGAAAAAATAAGTCTAAAAAAAAAATACCAACTAGCGCCATCTATAAAACTACAAGTAGACATTTTTTGTAGCCAATAGCTGTTTTATAAAATACGAAAATTATTATAAAACTTGATTAGATTGATTGATATATTAGAAAGTAAATCTTATGTTTTGTTTCTGAAGTTTACGTTTATTTTATAATTACCTAGTGATTTATTAATGTTGATAATCTATGTTTAAACGGATTCGAGTTACGTAATTTGAAAAAGCATTTCTTGATGTTATCGAACCAATAACTAACGAATAATAAACGTAGCTGGGAAACCGGCCGTTGGATATCTATAAATACGAGTGCTAGCCAAACTATATTGTGGCTTTGAATATAGCTTTTCTGGAAATTTTCGTATGGTGTCAAAATTAAATTTAAATCTGATATTTTCAGTGTTTTTATTGTTTGTAAAAGTCCGTCGCACCAAACTTTCAATTATCCGATAATAATTAAACGTGTAAAATGTTTGATGGAAATAAAAGATTTTGTTCCCTTATCTGACAGTGACGTCATATTAAAACTATCTGTGTCTCTATCAGCCAGTGGGACAGGGCCTAAGTGTTGTTATATTTTGAATTTAAAAAAGGGGTTGCAAAATATATTAATAACAATATGAACTGTGAAAAAAAGAGTACGGAGAAAGAGTCTGTAGATGTTGATTTAAAATAAAAAGTATTTTGATAGATTAAATGAGGATTATTTTTAATTAGGTATTATCTATACTTCTATACTATTATAATAAAGCGTAAACACACACTTCTTTGTTGCCTAAGATGTCAGCAATTGCAGCATATTTTTAAATAATTCTTTTTTCAATAAAAAGACCTACACTTACATCACGCTTTAGGCTATATATTTCACGCCATTAAACTTAGGGGGTAAATATTTTGGATAAAAACCCTAATGTGGGAAAGAGACCATAAGTTGCTGCCAACATCAAGAAAGCAATATTGCCATACTTTGTCATCATGTCATGTTTGACATTTGCAATTGAATTTCACAAATGTAATCAATAAAACAGTTTTCAAATTTTTTTGCGAATGAAGTCGCACGGGAATAGCTAGTACTTACTATTCCTTCAGCCTGCGCCAGTTGGCTCGTACGAAGTTGAACGCGATGGGCTCCCCGATGGCGGAGCCCGACACCGCAGAGAACACGCGCACCGTGTCCTGCTTGCGGATACCGCTGTCGTTGCGCAGAGATAGCTCCAGATATCTACAATACACAAAATTAATATGTAATTATTGACACAAAAAAGAATGAAAAGAGATAACATGAACGGGTTTATTCTAAAGAAAACAAAGTCGTGGCAAAAGGTAGCCAGCTCAGCGTATGCAGGAGGGACTAAGCCGTTCTTACGCTGGTTTTTAGCTAGCTCTTTAGCATTGAAGTAACTTTTACTAAAACTTGATATCGATGAATTTTATTTCGCGCTTTCATACCCAAAAAACTGTCGGTAACTCAGTGGTTTAAATACTAGACTTGTACAGATCCTTTGCTCGAATCTATACCAATGTGAATTTAGAATTCAATGTACAATCGCGGAAATTTGCGGTGTTTCATTTAAAAAATTGCCTTGTTATTGCAACCAAACTCCGCTTCTTACAAATAACTAATTAGATAACAGTGAGTGCACGAAGGGATGAGAAACTAGCCTTGTATTACAAACCGACTTTTTTTTTAAAACATTAAAAAGCTACATTCTATTGGTTTTTATTCCGCGCCAAATTTACAAATGTTCAAACGATTGTAGCTTTTAAGGTACACTGCTAGTTTCCCCGAGTGTACATAACTAACGTCTGCATATTTCAGAGAAGAAATTCAAAGATATGTGTGTAGTCAACCAACCAACAGCAGACCAGCGTGGATGACTATAAACTTGTCACACCTAATTTTAATTAACAGTGGTAGAGCCCGCTTTAACATCTTCGCACGAATGGGCCAGCTCACCCCCACCAATACCACGACCACACAGAAGACAGGTGTGAAGTAGAAGCAATTCTGCGTTTCCTCTGATAAGTGTGGTGCTGGAGGCCTAATTTTAGGCCCTTTCCCTTTCCACCCTTTTCTTAAGAGGAAGGGATGAGAAGGAAAAGTAGATTTGACGGTGGAGGAGACGCATAGGAAGGGGAAATGTCCTTTTTATGTGCGGCCCCTCCACCATCAATGAAGGGTAGACAACGCAACAATTGCGAATATTTATGGGCAGAGGTTGCTTTTCATTTCGATGGATTCTGGTGGCCGCTTGTTCGTTTTAATATTAAAAAAAAATTAGTGTAGGGTTCGAGTTCTTCAGTGGGGACGTATAGAGTGATATAAAGGTAACGCAACTCGGAACATAGAAAAGGGAAATAATTCTTAATAGTTAGTACCTGTACAACAAATGCGGAGCCCTGGTGCAGCCGAGCACGGAGAGCAGCAGCTCGCGCTCGGCGGGCGCGCTGGCGGCGGCGAAGCGCTGCCAGGCGAAGGCCCACTCGCGCGCGCCTCCCGTCTGCAAGCCCACGCAGTACACCGTGCTGCGGATGTCGGCGTGGATCCTGACACGAAGCAACACAATATTACTATTATAATAAACTATTATTTCTTAGTATACCTAATACGAGTATTATAATAACTCAAAACTGTAATAACTCAAAAACTGTAATATTTCAAAAATTCTTTCACCATTAGAAAGCTACGTCATTAATAAATAACATAAGCTATGTATTTTACTATTTTTTTAATTTGTTAGAGTTTGTAGCCTAAACGGCTGAACAGATCTCGATGAAATTTGGCATAGACGTCTAGGATAGCCTGGAAGAACACATAGGCTATTCACTTTTGGTTTTTTTAACTCCACGCGGACGAAATCGCGAGCAACAGCTGGTTAAACGGCTGAACGGATTTCGATGAAATTTGGTACAGATGTAGAAGATAGTCTGGAAGACATAGGCTATTCACTTTTGTTTTTTTCAATTCCACGCGGACGGAGTCGCGGACGAAAGCTAGGACTAAAATAAATAAACCACTTGATCTTCAGTATAATAAGGTTAAAAAACAAATGAATCACGGTTGAATCATCGCCTTTCATTTCCAGTTTTATCGAGTCATTATAACATTGTTTTTGAAGAAAGCGGATTTAGTTTTCAAATTTATTTTAAAATATGATTGATAAGTAGGAAATTAGTCATCTAGATAGCCAACAATATAAAGCTAAAGTACCTCAACAAGCAAATAAGTCATTTTAAGGTATTTACATGGAGTTTTGTCATCAAATAACTCATAACTTGTTACTCATAGCATAAGGGTTATACCAAATCCATTTGTTAAATTATACTAATATTATAAACTAGCTGTCGCCCGCGACTCCGTCCGCGTGGAGTTAAAAAAACCAAAAGTGAATGGCCTATGTGTTCTTCCAGGCTATCCTAGACGTCTGTGCCAAATTTCATCGAGATCTGTTCAGACGTTAAGGCTACAAACTCTAACAAACATCCATCCATCTAAACTTTTACATTTATAACATTATTAAGGTATGAAAGTTTCAATGAATGGATGGACGGATGGATGTTTATTAGAGTTTGTAGCCTAAACAGCTGAACAGATTGCGATGAAATTTGGTACAGATGTAGAGGATAGTCTGGAAGAACACATAGGGTACCTACCTTTGGTTTTTTTTTTAAATTCTACTTGGACGTTGCGAGCGAAAGCTGGTAATCAATATTTATTACTTAAAACCACACATTTTCTCTAAGGTATCCCATTTCTGGGACATCTTCGAGTGAAATAATTACTTGTGTGTGTGTGCCATTCTTCAATATATAGCTTTCGCCCGCGATTCTGTTCGCATCAAATTAAAAACACAAAAATGAGCAGCCTATGTGTTTTTTCAGAGTATCCTCTACATATTTGACAAATTTTATAGATCGTTCAGTAGTATAGACTACAAACTCTAACATCTATACATATAAACTTTCGCATTTATAATATTAGGTAAGTCATTTTGTTACATCTTAATTATTTTTAAAACATTTATTTTAATTTATTTGTGTGTGTGTTAAACTGAAGACATCTTACTCATTGTACGCATCAGGGTTGGGGCTGATCATCCAGTTGGTGTACAATCTGACGGCGTGTTCGAGACAGTGCTGGTGCTGCAGGTGGCAGGCGGCCGCCAGCAGGTCGGCCCGGTACTGCGCGCGCACCACGCTCTCCCCCGGCGACACCTGCCACCCCACCTCTTCCACCGCACCACTTACCAGACGAAGGACGTAATTCTGCGAACAACAGTTCTTTTAAGTCTCTAGCTGTTGCCCCCGACTCCGTCCGCGTGGAAAAAAAACAAAGTGAGCCTATGTGTTCTTCTAGACTATCCTCCAGGCCAAATTTCATCGAAATCAACAAGCTCTAAGATCCATCCATCTAAACTTGCGCATTTGTATTTTTAATATGGAAAATGATTAGTAGATTTTTGTTAATCTATACTCTATACTAACATTATAAAGAGAAAAGGTTTGTATTTTTGAATTTTCGTATGTATTAAATTAACACAAAATCTACTGGAGTGATTTTAAAAATTCTTTCACTATCAAAAAGATATGTTATCACTGAGTAACTACATTTTTACTGTAATTTTAAATTCACGCAGGTGAAGTCGCGAGCAAAGGTTAGTTTAATATTTCCTTTAACCATTCCAACTAAGCTTTAGGCTTGTGCTTGGAATGGTTCACAATAATCGAATAGCGGGTTTCGAACCCTCGACAGTAGATCGGTAATCAACACCCAAAACTATTAGGCTCTTGGAGCATCGATAACTTTGCAACAAGTAGCGCCATCTCTTATCCAGTGCATGACAACTAAAACTAACAAAGTCATAATCGGTATTATCTAATAACCTTGCCCTTATAAAATAAGATAAGATAGTAAATAAGAATTTATTGCAGGATATTGATAGGCATTATACGAATTATGTTTAACTTTTATTGCTAATAAAACACGATACTAAAACTAGCTATAGATAGTAGAACAAATCTAGATTCTAATTATGTAACTAATCTAAAAAGTATTAAAAATAAAACCCATATTATTTTTTTTAAATCATTGTGCAATTTTAATTGATTATAAAATATTTATTATTATATATTTAATCTACATTCTGATCTCACGTGAATTTGATAAAATATATCTGAAAACGAGATCTCTTGTCCCACTTTACAAAAAGAATTTTATCAAACTATGTCATTTTATGTAAAGAGGGCAAAGTCAATCAATTTATAAGGTAATAATAAATTTATATCATATCATTAACTAATCGTGGAAATAAAACAAGATTAGTTATTTGGACTAAAACAGTTTACCTACAAACATAAAACTTTATTTTAACTTCTATTATATACTAACGACATCTAGCGATGATTTTATCAATCATGTAGTGCTAAATATTTGAAATTAATTTTTGAAATTCATATAACTTTTAAAATCACGTACCGATTCTATTTTATGTCGCCTATAAATATAAAGAAAGTAACTGCTATTTTCAAATTAATTCTCCTAAACCTTCAGCGCCATCTAGCGTTAAAAACTAAAAACAAAAATAGTTGCCTGAAATTTTAATGTAAATTTATGTTCTAATAGTATCGAACTAACCTTGTATTCCAGATAATAAGCTCCCTTTGACAGCATAATATCAATATATCCCAAAGCGACTAAACCCGCCTTCCATGGCACATAGCTTCGTTCATGTTGTAAGTAACTGGTGATATCCAACGCCGTTCTGTAATCCAAATGTCCCGCTAACGCTAGATTCATTGCATCATCGATGATTTGAGCTCGATTTATCGGATGTATCTCTTGGAATCGATTTTTATCGTTCAAAATATTCACTAACAGCTTCCAATTGTGTCTATCGTAGTTAACTCGATAGAAACCTGGAACAGAGAGGATTAACAATTGATATAAATAACTCTACAGTAGAGTTAAAAACGTTTAGAGTGGCCACCCACTTATTTATTGTAAAACTAGATTTGGTATAGGAAATCTCCTACTTAAAACAGATAAACTGAATGAGAAGAAATCTTCAAATTATTCACTAGCTTTCCCCCGCGACCCCGAACGCGTGTAATTTAGTAGTCTATGTGTTCTTTCAGACTATCCTCTACATCTAGGCCAAGTTTCATCAAGATCCGTTCAGCAGTTTGGGCTACAAACTCTAACAAATATCTATCAATTTTCCAATTAGAAGTGTTTAATACAATTTATTAGTAAGATTTAGTTTGTAAACTGACAGACAGACCTGTCTGCTGTATATTAGCGATGAACCAATCATCTTCACTGACGGAGATATTCTTCACAGTTATAGCTCTTTCTCCGCGCAGCCAAAGTTTTGGTCGCGTTGATTCGAAATCTTTCTCCGACGCCGTCGTATATGATACTGGTATCCACCAAACGGGAGATTTCTGATCTTCTGTCGTTATATTCACCAGAGCGAATCTCTCCTGGCAATTAAAGAAAATAGTGCTAATCATTTGTTATTTGTAGTTTTATTTTCTGTCAATGGATGGCGTTAATAACAGAAAAAGTGCTTATTGTTTGGTTCGATTTGTAGTTTCGCTTTCTGTCAATAGATGGCGTTAATTTCGGAAAATAGTACTTTTTTTGGTTCGTTGTGTAGTTTTATTCTCTGTCAATAGATGGTGTGGATTTATAATCCTGGATTGAACTTTCAAATAACATAAATAACAAGTTTTTGAGATCAAAAATTATACGAATTATATTAAATTTTTATTTTGCGTTGGTACTACGTATAAAAAAATATTATCTATAATGATATTATAAGGAGAAAAGATTTGTATTTTTAGATTGTGTAGAAATAACTAATTGACCGATTTCAAAAATTCTTTCACCGCTAAAAGGCTATGGTTACAGTGAATAACTTAGGCTAAACATTATTTATATACTAAAATAGAATACCAATTATCACAAACCTGTTTAAAGTGGATAATACCGGTTTTATAATCTCTAGTGATGGTCAGTACTGGGAAGCCGGTCTGCAAAGTCCAGGAGTCCATCACCACACCCACGTCAGCGTCAAACGCCTTCCTCTCCCTCGCGGCGTTCGTCAGCGCCCCCCACAGGTCGCTCTGTTCTGCTTCACAGAACTTCCTCGCGTTCAGGTACGCTGTGATACCAGCGTTGAACACGGAGTCTGTGAGGAAATGATTCATCATACGAAGAATTGCTGACCCTGGAATACATAAATATTCGTTATATTTTGTTTGATTAATAACGTATATGAATTATCGAATTAAATTTGAACGCAGCTTATAAATGTATACGAAAAAAAGATTTGGTTGATACAGGGCTAGTTTCTTTTTATTATTATTCCTTTGCACTATACTGGTGTCTAATAATTTTTCGATAAAGGCGGAATTTGTCTTGTTACAATGAATAAGGCAATTTCTACTAAAGTGGATCACCGCGGAAAACCACGACTGTACAAAAAGGTAGTATTTGATGACTGTTTTAATAAGTTTTTTGTTGTTGAAATTAAATCTGGAAAGAAACTTAAAAAGGTAAATAACACCGATTAAATAACATTAAATAAAGAAATCCATACATCTGTTGTATTTGTATCCGTTTGTAATAGGATCCCTATCCTCGGATTGGATTCCCACAGGATTGTATGGCTTTTCGATATCCAATTGTGGGTTTGTCTACACTTGTTATTTCAAAGATTATCCTTTTACTTTCATTAAAAATGAAAGCAGCTAATATTTGATACTGTCTTTTTACTTAATATGTTTAACACAATAGTTTTTCAATTCAAAATTGAATTGTTTTACGTTATAATCATACTAATATTATAAATGCGAAAGTTTAGATGGATGGATGTTTGTTAGAGTTTGTAGCCTAAACGATTGAATGGATCTCGATGAAATTTGGCGTAGATGTAGAACATAGCCTGGAGAACACATAAGCTTGCTTTTCTTTTTTTTAATTCCAGCTAGTAATTGAAAGCCAGTAGTTAAATAAATTCACCTTTGCCGTAAGAAATTTTATCAAATATTGCACCAATTTCCTCTGGATTCCCGACTTCTACAGATATCTGATGAGACGTAGTTAATGCGTCCAGTTTGAACACACTTTGAACTTCATTCAGCACAAACACTTCCATTAATTTCCATGTCTTTTCCACCTTAAAATAGAAATTAATATTAGTAAAAGTAATTTATTCACACCAAATATTTACACATTTACATTTATAATCATTTCATTATTACTATAAAATATTGGAGGTTGCTCCCGACTTCGTACGCGTAAAATTAAAAAAAATATAAACACAACCTATGTTACTCAGAGATAAATTACCGTTGCAATGGTGAAAAAATTTTAAAATCGACCCAATTTTTACATAAATCGAATAAATATACATACAAAAATACAAATCTTTCCTCTTTATAATAACAGTATAAATGTAGATAGGGAGGTCTCAGTAATTAAGGAATTATTTCGTTACTTTGCAGTGTATTCTTTGTTATGAATATTTTATTTGAAAGTCGATTTTGTTTTTTAATATTTTTTAACATTAGTATAGATAATGTGACTTACCGCATCCACGGCAACATATTCGACGTAACTAGCAAATCCCTCATTAAGCCATATATCCGACCACCAGGCGGGGGTGACCAGATTTCCGAACCACTGGTGTGCGATCTCATGAGCAACCACTGACGCGACTCTCGCCTTCGCTGTTGTCGGCGATACGCCTTCGTCGTATAACATCGCTATTTCCCTGAAATATCCTTATTGATATAGCTATTCTAGGAGAGTATCTCTAAGTTTAGTTAGTAAAATTTTAAATGAGATAATTTACTTATCCAAAACAACTTAACGAGTATCGACAAAATTAGGGACAAATATACCTAGTGTGAAATAACACGGAGGTCACTTGCTATTTTTTTTTAAATCTTGCGTGAGTAGAGGACAAAATCGATCTAATAAAGATTAAAGTGGAACGAATCAGAACAGTTTTGTTCTGTAGCTGGTGATGGTTCATAGGAATAAACTAAATCGAAGCTAGATTAATATTAAAATTGGCTTATCTTAAGTTCTAGTTAAATTTTACCGCAGTACGCTGTAGGAGCATTGTTGTTCATTTAGATTCTTAATCAGTCCATTTCGAATTAATGTTTTTGTCTTTCCATTGTAAACTGTAACTTCGTCAACGCGGAATTATTAAACATGTATTTAGCCTGTCTACCAGACTACATCTATACCAATTGCCAAAAAAATCACGGAGATCCGTTCAGCAGTTTAGGCTAACACATCCATCCATTTAAACTTTCGCATTTATAACATTAGTAAGATAAATTGTATGTATGAAAAATTGTTACATAATAAACTAGCAACTGTCTGAGGGAATCGTTAATATGAACAATAGAAGCAATTGGTGGCTAACGTATAGGGTGACAATCAGTGGCGGTGAAATGCTTCATTAAACTCCTCTATTGAATATTTCTCTTCCCTCGCAAATGAGAACTGTTTGGATTTTCTACATCGGTTATTTCGTATATAATCCAAATCACATTTTGGTTTACAACAATAGGGAGACGTATGGATTTTGTACCTTTAATTATTGTTTAAAATAATAGGAACGTTATTAGTTGAAAACTGTTTAGTTTTTTTTACAATCAGTTGGTTTAGGGAATGTAATTTGATGCCTGGGATGTGCTAAGCAATAATACATATGGCCTGTCTCACCACTGGCTGATAGAGGCACAGGCAGCTTAATAATGACGTCACTGTTAGATAAGGTTACAAAATCCGATATTTCCATCACATATTTTAAACGTAGGATTGTTCAGACAAATTACAATTTGGTGGGACAGGCCCTTAAGAAGCTTAAATTGCTATTTTGTTTTAGAAGAACGAATCTTACAAATAAATACAGTTAACTTAAGTAATGACAAACATACTTTCATACTAATATTATAAATGTGAAAGATTAGATGGACGGATGGATATTTGTTAGAGTTTGTAGCCTAAACGGCTGAACGAATGTGGATGAAATTTGGCACAGATATAGAACATAGTCTGGAAGAACACATAGGACACTCGCTTTGGATTTTTTTAATTCCACGCGGACGGAATCACGTGCAAAAGCTAGTCATACTTAAGAAACCATTTAATCTTAGTATACTTTTTTTCCTTTAGCTTCAAATTGGGTTAAAATAGCGACATAACAAAACGTTATTTAGTAATGTATTGCCTTAGCAATAACGTTTTATTAGCCTTATATTTTATTGTGTAATAAATCGTTATACTATGCCAGCTTTAACGTTAAAATATCGTGCCTCCCTCTTCAATATTCCTGTCACGTTGAGCCACCAAATCTAAATTACGAAACGATTGGCAAAGACCGAAAATTCAAATGAGGCAGATACAAGTCCTAGTGACTTGGTGACATGAATAAAGGCTAAATTCGATTTTGTTTACAGAATCTTAATATTATTTTTATACTAAAATTTACTATACTGATAAAGTAAGTCTCTAGAAAATCATATTTTATAATGAATGACATTCATGAATTTCGCGGAATCTTATTAAACCTTACTAATATTATATATACGAAAGTTGGTTGGATGTTTGTTAGTTTGTAGCCTAAAATGCTGAACGGATCTTGATGAATTTGGCACAGATATAGAGGATATGGATATGGATATGTTTCTATTCTACTCGAGCTGAGTCGCGGGCAAAAGCTAGTCTAGTGATAATTTAATTTTCTAAAGATGAGAATCATTTTAGTAATTCCCGGAGCCTTATCATGCTAACAATTAAACCTATATGAATATTAAATAATTCAATCATACCTGAAAGTTAGTAGTCCCCAATTCTCCATAGCGCCTGCTTTGAAATCGGGCAACGCCATCATGTCAATTTTAGGCAAAGGGAATTCTATCTTATAATATTCTTCCAAGAACTTTAATATCTTCGGTCCTATGTCCAAGGCATAAGCGGCAGAGGGCAATGCTTCCTTTCTCGCCCACACGGAGAAATTATTATCGCTCATATTACCGAAATCAGTCACCGCGAACGCGACTAAATACGTTGACATCGGGAGAGATTCCGCATAGTGGTCCCACATGTAACCCTTGAGAGATTCACTGAAATTAATTACTTAAAATATTGCAGATGTTTATGAGCAGTAATTAATTTAACGATTGCTGCTTGCTTGTTGTTCCACATTTTAGTACAAGTAACATTCCTATTGAGGTCCAAGAAAAGCAAAATGTAGGACAAAGGAAAACATCCTGGCTTAAAAACCAACGTTAATAGATCGGAATCCATTCACTTTTCAGGGCCACGGTCTCAAGTGCAAGTTGCCCTAATGCACTAACTTCGAAAGATGGCACTTTAAGAAGAGCAAAATTGGGTACTAAATGTGTATAATGTCTGGTCAATTGACATTATGTACAAGTTTAACAGGAAGTAACGACTTACTGTTTCTGTGTGGCGATTATATTCATGTTGGATACTGAGGTCATGTTGATTGGTCGTGCGATGCTGATGGTGAAGCGAGCTTTGAGCGCCGGCTCATCCCAGCAAGGAAACGCACGCCGCGCGTCCGTCGCTTGGAACTGTGTCACCGCTATCCATCTAACAAATGCAGCACCACATTTTAGTTACCTCATTTCAGGCTTAAATATAGATTTAAAAAAAAACATTTAATCCTTAACAACACAACAACATAATCAGAAATAACAAAAGAAAAACAAACATGACATAGTAATTAAGTAAACAAAATGTAATTCAATAAAAGATTACAACAAGTTTAGTAATGCTGGCCGGATTCTAGATAAAGCCTTTTATTTGAATACTAGAAAGCACTATAATGACTTATTTTTTTTTCCAATGAATGTAATTGAAAATCATCATCATCATCATCCGTATCCTACTCCCGTAGGGTCGGAACAACAGGCTTTTGCCCTTCAAATAACTAGTATCATACGTCATCTCAGTCATCACTCCCTTTTTGATCATGTCACCTTTCACGCAATCCATCCATCTCTTTCTAGTTCTAGGTAATTGAAAATCTAATCTTGTAATTTCATTAGTAAAATCTTAAGTATGCTTAATTTAGAATTTAAAGTTAATCTACCTATGTATGAAAATTCAGAACTTTGTAGGACAAAATTAATTCTTTGTTTATGCATAGAGAAGCAAGTAATACTGCAGCATCACGGGCCGCGGGGAACTTCATCAAACCAGCGCGTCGACACCTTTTGAATACAAATGATCTCATTAAACGTATCGCCTTTGGAACACGGAACTCATTTATTGGCCTTTGTCTATGTGAACTATGGTGGCTTAAGTCGCAATTTCACTTATGCTAGGTTGCTGAAGTCTCTATTTATTTTATCATTACCGAGTTAGTTTCACACACCCTTCGAGAGATTGTCAAGAGTAGGCGTCAGGAATGAGAAAACGATCCGGAGAGAGAGAGTTTCAAATTTGTTGAAACTTAAAACTAACTAGGTAATGAAGTAAAACTCAAGTTAACGAATTTCATGGAGTTATCGAACTGAAGGAACTAGTTAAATGGAGTTCGGAAACCGGCCATAAAAGTGTAGTTTTTGGTGTTGTATTACTCACCGTTTAACTCTCTTCTCTTCGTACGAACTTCTGTAGAAACCATGAAGATTGTCGTTTAATATCCCCGTGTACGATATATTTAAATAATACTGCTTCCCAGCCACGAGCGGTTCTTCTAGCAATAGTATTTGAAATTGTCGAGGTACATCTTCCGTTCTACTTAGGATTCTAATTTCCTTTCCATTTTCTTTTTTTAATACCTTTATACTATGATAAATTAAATCTACACCGTGAAAAGTGATTTGTTTCGTTTCATTCTTTACTGTTACAACTATACTGATTTCCCCATCGAAGGTGAAATTACCTTCAAAGATGTAAGGAGTCAATTTGAGATTGTAAGTATCTGGTTTAACATTCAACGGTAAGCGTACATCTGATACTGTTTGTATTTCTTCAGTAGTAGTTTCAACAAAAGCGGTTGTTGTTTCTGTTACAACTGTTTTATTATCAGCAGTTAATGGGATAACTAATAGTTTGGGTTGCTCACAATGTGTTAGTTCATATTTCGTTACATTAGCTAATTGGTCAGTCCTCGGACAGGCAGCGAAGTTATACACTAAGAAGGCAGTCGCCACTAAAGCTAATCCAAATATAACTAAGATAACGAAAGCGAGACTCTTCGATAGGTAAATCCCGCGTTTTGTTTTCGTTGAGAAGTCGCAGGTCGGCGGATTACCGTCCATTATGGTGAGTGGTTGACGACCTTGGGTCATCACACCATTTTCTTATCTGTAACAAAAAAAAATTCTAAAGAGATAGATTCTTACGATTGTTTTGATATGTTAAAATGTTCAAGCTTTGTTTGAAAAGATAACTAATGTTTATTATTTCTGACTTGTTGTCAAGCGAGCACCAAGAATCGTATGAGATTTTTAAGGTTGTGTTAATATCTAAGTTTTACGGATAATCTCTTCTTTTTTTTAAAGTTAAAAATAAAACAACCGGTGCAACAATATTACTACTTATGCCCGCGACTTCGTCCGTGTGGGATTAAAACAAAAACAGTTAGCCTATGTGTTCTTGCAGACTATCCTCTACATCTATGCTAAATTTAATCGAGATCCGTTCAGCAGTTTAGGCTACAAACTGTAACATCGATGCATGCATCTAAACTTTCGTATTAGAAAGAATATTAAAATTGATGATGTGGACATAACTGCCAACGTAAAATGCACCGTAACAAATATTTAGTTTAAGTACTTTCTTTTATTAATTACTCGATTCATTCCAAACAAATCCGGGTGCAAGAGAATATTTATCCGTGATGTAAATGCTACAACACGCGCGTTGTCATACCCTCGTGTAATCTCTGTTTACGATCACCCTGTTTAAAACTTAGAAGACATTGACCTCTTAGTTTAGTTACAATTCTATTTTGTCAACAACGATAACTTTGACTCTCAGTTTGATAATTGAACTAATGTTTTTTATTGTTGTTAGTTTGAACAATATCTTTATCAGCCATTTCGTTTCTATGAGGTCTTAATTCCGATTGTCGGATGTATCATGTTAACTTGATATTATGTGAAAACATTGGTGGACTGTTTCTTAAATTGAATTGAAAAACAATTGCCATCTGTGCAAAATGTTGTTATAGAATTCAAGGTTTAATGTTCCTGATCAAAGTACCTACTTTAAAGAATCGCCTATGTAGGTTTCAATAGAGAAAATTAAGTATTAAGATTGAATGTCGATGGCTGCAAATGCAAGGATGAAGAAAGTATTAATGAATTTTGTAAAAGATAGTAATTCGGTTATGACAGCTGATAGAGATGTATGGAAAAGTACATACTGTGCCCACCCTCCATAGAGAGGAGAGAGATAAAGATATCCAATCAATTAAAAAATTGCACGACGTATAAAAAAACAAAACACGATTCCCTATTCCACGTAAACATTATCTCCCTTTACCCTATTACCTTACAGGAAGGTTTTCTCGTCCTCCAGATAACTATCATGCATCATCTGTCATCATTCCCTTCTCGTTTATTTCACCTTTCATTCAATCCATCCATCTCTTTCTATGTCTAACTCTACCGGTGTACAACAATCATAACTATTATCACTATAGCACGTTAGGTTTGACCTAAATCGGAATGAGGGTAGATGTCATCTATGTAACAATGTATACACCCAGCCAACACGCAGCCAACAGACAATTCATTCAACTCTGATTGAAATCTGTAAAAGTAATCACAGCTAGGATTGTCACAATTCACAAGCGATACGACTGATTATGTGAAAAAAAACGTAAAAAACTTGTCATCGTGAGATAGAGATAAATGAAGCTAACAACCTATTTATAAACTACGTAATGAAGTTAGACGAAAGGTAACATTTTTATAAGACTAGCTTTCGCCCGCGACTTATAACAAAAGTCAGAAGCATTTGTGCTCTTCCAGACTATCCTCTACATCTATGCAGAATATCATCGATATCTATTCAACCGTTTAGGCAACAAACACTAGGAAACATCCATCCATCTAAACTTTCGCATTAATATTAGTAATATAGTACAGAAAGGGTAACCTGCTAATCTAAGAAATGAAAAATATTGTCCATTAAATTCCTTTAAATTTGGTTATCGTCAACAGGTCTTGTATTTATTTATTGCAATTTGCATCTTTTAAAAGTACAATATAATTCTAGTCAGTCTTCATCTTGAAATAGCAATGATGAAGAATTCGAAATATAGTAAAAAAATATGACTGGAATCCGCTAGCGCTTATGCCTTGTTGTTCTAACCCTTACGTTTCATATGCATCGAGCATGCAGTCGAACATCAATTGGGTCAAAGTTTAACTTTTATTACTTTAATATTAACGCCTAGCTCCTAGTGCTTTGTGTTTGATTGAGTTTTATAGATGCCCGTATTTTTATTGTATTTTATAACTTTTTATATCACGCTTGATTGCCCACATCTGTCAAAACGAATCATAAAAATTCAAAAAGAATTTAAAATATCTTTTAACTTTCAATTTTTTTTTCTTCCCAACATTATGTGAAAATTACCAACATCGTATACAATAGTAATTACACGATGCAATCTGCATTCAATGAACTATTTTTTTTATGTTTTCACAAAGGCTTAAGTCTTATCCACGCTATTATTTTTTTATTTGATATTTTCTCTTAACTTTTCTTTTAATTATTATTTTTATTAACTAACAAACATGGAGAACGCTTCTTTAAACGTAAAAACAATTTTCAATCTCTACACGAACTATATTTTTCTAAGTAATAGAAATATCTTGAAGCATACAATCAGTAAGAAGGAAACGCCCATATACTTATACAACTTCCTCACTCATCGCCATAACTTCCCATTGTTTTTTCAGAACACATTACAAGCTATTGTTCCCTAAGTGACGGACCACCGGCAGGATGTTCAATATAAAACATATTTAGATAATAATAATGTATCAAATTACTAGAATAACGTATTGTTTTCACATTTATATTTGGGAATAATGTTATAGTTAAGCTTTACCCTCGAATCCGTCTGCTCATTAAAAACAATCAAGAGTAAGTAAGCAGCTTATCTGCTCTTCCAAATTATGTATTACATTTTCCAACAAGATCCGTTAAGCTGTTTCGGCGACAAACACAAATATCCACCCATCTAAACTTTCGCATCTATACTAATATTATAAAGAGGAAAATTTTGTATTTTGTATGTATTGAAATAACTCAAAAACCACTGAACCGATTTTTTTTTAATAAAATTATAATAAGTAAGAAGTAAGATTTAAATAATCGATATATCTCTTCATGAAATTCCGGAAGAGAACATGATTCAATTGATAATTCATTTGACAAATACGGTTCAAACATTAAGTCTACAGAAGGTCACAACAGAATAAATTTTAAACAATGGTAGAGCGCGCTTTAACATCTTCGCACTGCAGGGTCGGTGTAATACCACGACCACACAGAAAATAGGCGTGAAGTGGAAGCAATTCCGCGTTTCGTCTGATGAGATTGGTGCCGGAGGCCTAATTTTAGTCCCTTTCCCTTTCCACTCTTTTCTTAAGAGAGTGTGGGAAGGAAAAGTGGATTTGACGGTGGAGGAGACGCATAGGAAGGGGAAATGTCCTCTTTAGGTGCGTCTTCCCTCCGTCAATGAAGGATAGGCAACGCATCTGCAATTGCGGATGTTTATGGGCAGAGGTCGCTTTCCATTTCGGTGGATTTAGGCCGCTTGCACGTTTGCCACCTTATATTATAAAAAAAAATATATTTTTTAACACAGCACGACTCTGACCATCACCATTAACTATACAATAATATTACTAGTTTATTACTAACTCGTTAATTAATACTATTTTCCTTTGGAGAGTTAGTTATTAATTCAAAGCTTGCGTTAGCAGCGTCTTGGAATATTAAATAGTACGTCAGACACCCTGGGGGTTGTAAACACGATGGGGCGCAGCGATAAAAGCAATTTGTACTAATGGATTCACTAATGACAATTAATTTCGTGTTACAAGCAAAATGTATAAGAACAAAAACATTTAAAAGTGCAAAAAAATGTTAAAGAATTGTATATTTAAAAAAAAATAAATAAAAACTAACAATGTTATTTTTTTTTACTTTTGTATCATTACTTTATTTTTAAAGTAGCTTTTGCCCGCGACTCCGTCTGTGTGGAATTAATTAAAAACAAAAGCCAGTAGCCTAAGTGTTCTTTCAGACTATCCTCTTCATCTACTCGTATGGCAAATTTCATCAAGATCTGTCTATCCGTTTTGGCTACAAACTCTAACAAACATCCATCCATCTAAACTTTCGCATTTATAATATTACGAAAAGTAAGAAGTAAGGTGTGCATTTTTCTCTTGAATATAGATGCATTAAATGTGATGTTTCTTTTTACCCTGATAATATTTGTCTTTTAATTAAAACAAAATCGAATCCAGATTACTCTAACCTTTTATGTGCCAAATAAACGGAACCACTTTTCATTTAGTAAACCTTCATTCTACCGTAAAGATACGACAGCACATTTAGATAACGAAGAATCACGTACATAAGAAATGGATTCACTTAATAAGATAAAAAACCAGGGGAGAGAAAATTACCTTTTCTATTAGGATTGGAAGACAGCAGCATAGGGTACCTTAACACTGACACACTTGGCAAAGAACACTTTGATAGGTCACATTTCTTTACACTGTACGACAAATATAATAAAATGACTCAACCTATCTCACATAAATCGAAACCAATCATTCCTGAAAAATGTAGTAACAAGCTTAGTAAGTAAACAGCTTTCTTTAAATATTTTCTTTTAAGGTATATTGTAATTAAATTAATATGCTTTCTATGAAATCAGGTGTAGAATCGACATCTAATTGCATGGATCTCTCTCACTCTCATCTCTCTCAACTCTCATGGACAACTCTCAATCTCACTACAAATATATTTAGTTTAAATAGTATAAATCTATACTAATATAATAAAGCGTAAACACACACTTCTTTGTTGCCTAAGATGTCAGCAATCACAGCATATTTTTGAATATTTCTTTCTTTAATGAAAAGCCCTACACTAACGTCACGCTTTAGGCTGTATATTTTAAACTTAGGGGGTAAATAATTTGGATAAAAACCCTGATGTGGGAAAAGGACCATTCCTTTTCCCACATCAGGGTTTTTATAGCCTAAAGCGTGACGTAAGTGTAGGGATTTTTTATTAAAGAAAGATTTTTTTAAAAAATATGCTAGCTA